GGCTTTTTGATAATGTTTTTTATAATTTAAATGAATACTTCAATCTTAAAACTAATTAAATTAATAATTAATAATAGCCGCCTATGGGCCCGCACCCGCTGTCCGCGGGTCAAGCGTGAGCTCAACTGCCTCGCTGCGGAGCTGTCGGACGGAGTCCGCGATTGGCGCGGCTCCTCGTGGGAGGGAGTCATCTCCCGAGCGGGTGAGCACGACTTCTCTCTCTACGCGCTCAACCGACAGCTCACTAAAGCACGACCCCCCGTCTGCCCGCTACTCGATGAGGCGGGCAGACGTCGTTACGCAGCCTCTGACCGGGCAACCATCCTGGCACAACACCTGGAGGGGCAGTTTACTGCCAATCCGGTAGCCGCCGACGCACCGCATACTGTCGTCGCGCATCACGAGCGAGTAGTACGTCGCGTAGGCGAGTTCCGTTCCGCCCCGCCGCCGGACTTGACGGAAGTCAAATTCGTCTCGCCCGGCGAGGTCAGGCGCATCATCGAGCGCCTGCCTCGGCGCAAGGCGCCCGGGGCGGATGGAATACCCACCCCGGCACTCGCCCAGCTGCCCCGTAGAGCATTGGTATTCATTACCAAACTCTACAACGGCATACTCCGGACCGGCCATTTTCCCTCTTTATGGAAAATAGGTAGAGTCATAGCCCTCCCGAAAGCCGGGAAAGATAAAAGACTCCCGGCCAGTTACCGGCCGATAACACTGCTCCCGCACGTAGCTAAAACCTTCGAGCGTGCGCTGCTCCGCCGTCTGTACCCGCATGTCACCCCGCGGGATGAACAGTACGGTTTCAGGGGCGGCCACTCTACCACGCTCCAGCTTGCGCGCGTGCTCCACCACATGGCCGTCGAGCATAACCGCGGTCGACGCGTAGTCGGTGTGTTTCTCGATATAGAGAAAGCGTTCGACCGCGTGTGGCACGACGGCCTAGTATACAAGTTGGTGGAGTATACTAGCACGCCGCAAGCCTACGTGCGGGTCATAGACAATTTTCTTACCGGCCGGAACTTTTATGTAACGGTCGAGGGCACGGACTCTACCGTCCACCCCATCGCCGCCGGAGTGCCGCAGGGCAGCTGCATATCGCCAGCTTTGTACGCGACGTACACCGACGACATCCCCACCTTGAGGGATGAGCTCCTCGGGGGAGAGCGCGATGTCGTCCTCGCCCTTTTCGCCGACGACAGTGCCTATTTCACGTCGTCGACCAGTGTCGTTGCCGCCGCACGCAAGATGCAGCGGCTGCTGAACCTCCTGCCCGAGTGGCTCGACAAGTGGCGCATCGCCGTCAACGTGGGTAAGACGGTGGCGCTCGCCACTCGCTGCAGGACCCACTATCCGCCGCCTCTCAACCTCCGTGGCACGCCCATCTCATGGGAGCGCACAGTGCGCTACCTAGGGGTCGAGATAGACCGGTCGCTGCGTATGACCGCGCACGTTTCACGCGCGGTCACGCAGGCAAAGGCCGCACGCGGCATGCTGCGACCGGTCCTACGTTCCAACCTGTCGCTGCGGACGAAAGTAGGTATCTACAAAGCCTATATTCGTTCGCAGCTGACGTATGCCTCCCCCGCGTGGTACGCACTGTGCTCCGATGCACAGAGGCGGCGCCTGCAGGTTCAGCAGAACTGTGCCTTGCGACTGTGCGCAGACGCTGCTAGATACGTCAGAAATGACGTCATAGCCCGAGATCTCGCGGTCCCTAGCGTGGACGAATTTGTCCGCCGGCTGGCACGCGCTATGTTCAGCCGGGCGGATAATAGCGTCCACCCCCATCTAAGGGACCTCGCCCCACTCCATGCGCGTCCCCCGGACGCAACGCGCGCATTGCCGCGAGATCTCCTGCGCACAGCAGGCACAACGCAGGGCGACGGTTCAACCGGCCCTGCACGGTCGACGACGTGAATAGATTTCCCCCATTTCCCATTTCTCCCACGAGAAATGTTTTCCCCTAGCCGACACTATTTACAATAGTGTCGGCTCGGCCCTACGGGTCGAAAAAATCGACGCGTAGGCGGCAGCCTACGCAGTATGCGCCCGGGCAAAGAGCCATTGCTCGAGGCCCGCACCTGCAACCCTGTAAAGGGTTGCGGATGAACCTTTATTCATATTCAATTAATAATAATTGACATGTAAGCGAAATTATGTTTATTTTATTTTAATTTGGTTATGATTATTCTTTGTCTTGTTAATTGTATTGTATAATATTTCATATTTATTTGTAATCAAGTAATGGTAATAGTATTGAATGTTTCGATGTTAATATAATTACCTGTTCTTAAATTGTTGCATGCCCGATAGGGTATAACTGTTGATACTGATGTCAAATTCAAAGCAATAGTTACTGCTATATGTATGTACACAGTTAGCAATAAAATTCTATTCTATTCTATATTCTATTCTAAGATTTGACAGTTCAATTAGAAAAATAAAAAATATAGTTTATAGCACTTTTTAATTTTTATGAATAATAATAGATTACGGACTGTACATACGGTTTTAATCTATAGACATATATAGACTAGACATACTGTTCTATATCTATGGCTCATAATAAGCCCATCGATACTTTTTTTGTCTGAATTGTTTACATAGATAAACGATTGTCGTAATTCTGAATTTAATTACGTTATTACTTTTCCAGTAAAAAAAAAACATCGCGACCGTACCGTGTTACACATGTTACCCGTGTTAAACATAGTCAGTGTAATAAAAAAAACAGTTGAAAATGTTATAAATCACCTTTTTATTTATTTTCAGATCTTAAAATTAAAGTTAGTCATTGTTGAGGTTTTATTTATGTTACTTTTAAAAATAGAATTTATTTATTTTCTTTTTCTGTCAAGGAATATTTTGTTTATTAGAGAACGTCATTTTTAAACATCATTATTATTGTACTAGGGAAAAATATAATATATCTTTATTCAGTATTTTCTATTTTATTGTTCTATCCAACGAACCCTTCACAGTCATATTTTATCATCATTTTAAATGTACCTAACAAAACAGAATCTTATGGAAGTTTGTTACAAATTGTTTTAATAATCAGATAGGTAGAATTTTTTAAATCCGGACTAGTCCCGCCCAGACGCTCTCCGGATGCCCTCTAAACTAGGACAAATCCGGGGAAACCTGGACGGATGGCAACCCTAGATATGCGAGGTGTTCGACCTAAGAACAAGGAATTACATAGAAGGAATGATAAAATAAAAACTATAAATCATATGGTTGCCTCCTTTCTTGTTATGCAAATATAATTAGTAAAAAGAGGACCAAAGATACACCATCAGTTGCTATTTTTCTCAATTCATAGCAGGCTAGTGTATAGAAAATGTTATACGGCCGTATAACCCTACCAAATTCAGATACAACCCGCTTGAATACTTTCTACATAAACTGTGTCGAATATAATCTAGGAATGTAAATGAACAAAAAGTTTACATACACTAGCCTGCTATGAATATATATACACTATTGTTCCCTCCATAAAATTACAATAGTAAACTTATTATAAATATAAACAATTACAAGAATAATTAAACATATATATTTGAAAGATACAATTTTTTTTGATGAGTGAAAATGGTATTGTAACTCCGCCTGCGCTAACGGGATACACCGGCGGAGCACCAGTGAAGGGTGATAGATGAGAATGAAAACAGGCCAGTTAGCCCATCGTGATGAATTCATCAGGAATTAACCATGATAGTTTCCAAGGAGAACCGCGAGGAGGTCGAAGTGGTTGGGTATATTGCTAGCAATAGGATTCTCAGTCTCCATTACTAACAATCCCTTTCCCCCCCAGATACAATATTAATACGTATACATCATACGTACATACATATATACCTTATATACATAAATATAAACCTAATTGAATAATTACAATAAGATTTTTTATGAACAAAACTGAGAAGAATTCGCAAGCCTTGTAAAGGTGAACAAGTTTTAAAACGACTTAAAGAACAAGGAACATTCTCAAATCGGTTGTATATATATATTATATATATATATATATATATATATATATATATATATATATATATATATAAAATATACAACCGATTATATATATATATATATATATATATATATATATATATATATATATATATATATATATATATATATATGTTACCTCATTACTCCGTCCGTTGAAAAACCAATTTGTTTTTTTTTTATTTGAAATTATATATATACAAATCGGTCCGGTAGAATATTTATCAAAGTCGTTTAAGCATTTCAGTTTTTTTTTTTTAAACAAAATAACTGATTTTGATACTAATGCAATTGGGGGGAAAGGGATTGTTAGTAATGGAGTTTGACAGCCCCATTGCTGGCAATATGCCCCATTTAGGTCGACCTCCACGTGGATCCCCCTGGAAACCATCGTGAACAATTCTTATTGAATTCGTCACGATGGGCTAACTGACCTGCTTCATCTTCACCTATCATCCTTCACTGGTGCCCCGCCGATGTACACTGATAGCGCGGATGGGGATACCATTCTATTATCACCCATTAAAAAAAGAACTAATGCAATTGGTGTTTTTTTTTTTAATGTAAAATTTTCCTATTATTTCTTATATTGTTATTAAAATATTTAGATTGGTGGCGACGTGGTGGGGCAGGTCGTTAGACTCCCTATAATATGGTTGAACACAACGACGGCTGACTCATCCGTCATACTCGTGAACGGGTGCCTCTAGTAAGGACTGGTCTGTTAAAGAATACTGTATATATATTGTAGCTTGGTAGCTTTTTGTTTTCTATCTTCTTATCAATACAAAGTTATTGTAATTTTTTGTTATAAATTTAAATTTTATTAAAAAAAAAGCAACAGCCGTCTTTATTGCCCGTTCTTCGCAACTAAAATAGCATTTCGAACTAAGCGGTATTTTTATAAAAAAAAATGACTGAAAAATGCTTATTGTTAAATTTAATTGAATAAAAATAGGAAATTAAAAAGTATTATTTTAACTCACCTGGACGCAGTGACAAATGAGCAGTAGCGCGACACGTCCGCGAAGCTCCATGGCTTTGTTGTAAATAAATGAAATGAATCTGTGAATTCTGTAATCATAATAAAATTATGGACAGCGGGATCGGGCGAGGTACGCAATGTTTATTGCCATACATGTGTCGACCATATTTGTTAAGTGAAACAGGATTCGTGTAAACGTCTCTGTTAGACGTCGACTCTATTAACCGACTTCGAAAAGAAGGGAGGTTCTCTTTTAACCGAATGGTTAATATTTTTCTGTTTGTTAGTTCATAATTCTGTCAGTTGTGAACCGATTTGGATAGTTCTTTTTTATCTGAATGGGTATACTTCCAGATTGGTCCTGTAGGAATTTTAGTAAAAACAGTTAAATAGTTTGGTTTTTATATCAAAATAATTGGTCTTGTTACTATTTAAATCGGTTTTTTTTTTTTTTGCGCAACATAATCTTTATTAATTTAAAAAAAAAAATATGTGTTTCTTTTTTATACAACTTTGAATGGCAAACAAGCTGACGGCCCACCTGATGGAAAGTGGTAACCGTCGCATATAGACATGAGCAGTACCATGGACATAACAGAGTATACTGTTTCGTCCATTATACCCCCTACGCGTTGCCATTCCTGAGGACTCGGGTGTTATTCCTCTGTACCCTATAAATTCACGTTATATCACCCACCCTTCAAACCGAAACAAAGCCATGCAAACACAACTGCTTCACGGTTGAAACACGAATGGGACAGAGGTACCCAAGCAATCGACTTTTGTACAAAGTCTCCCTCTGGCAAACGAGCAGACGGTCCTCCTGAGGATAGCGGCTATCGTCGCCCATGTACACCTGCAGCACAAAAGGAAGCTTGTGCGTTGCCGGCCTTTATTTTTAACTAGCTGATGCCCACGACCTTTTCCGCGTGGTATTTTTTATTCTTGTTTAGTATGTATCGATGTACGTACCTACCTATTTATTACGTCCGGGAATACTGGACCAAAATTAACAAATGACGTGTCGTTCTCACTCTTTGCCTCAGGTCGAAATGTCTTTACTTAAGTAGGTTGTGTACTAAGCTGTATAAGTTACTATAGTTTTTTTAACTATCCCACGGGAACTCTTTAATTTTCCGTGATTAACAGTATCTAAACTGTTGATCGGGGATGTAAGGTACTACCATACAAAGTTTCATTTAAATCGGTCCAACAGTTTCGCAGATTAGCCCGTACAAACAGGCAGAGAAACAAAAACGTTTTAAAAAAATCTGAATGTGTCCTATTTCACATCTAACATCCCCGTGACTCGGTTTTTAGCGTTTTTTTTTCTATGTACAGACATTCGACCTTTATAATTTTACTATATGTATAGATTTCACGTAAATTTAATATCCAACGGTATAATATATTGTTGATTTTTTTACTTTTTTCAATATTTAATTTTTTTTTTTTTTATATTAATACCCGCCCACTATGTATATTTTTATTATAATACATTGTGATTTGTTAATCTTTGTCGGGTGCCCACCATACAGGTTCGCCTAGTGTGGGGCCCACTGTATTTTGTATTTGTAACTTTGTGTTTTTGTCAAATAATAAAATAAATAAAAAAAAATAAAAAAAAATACTTATATCGTTTAAAGTGCTCATACAACAATATTCATAATACATGAGTATTAACATTTACAATGTAGAAGTGTGGACGGGTCCTATGCTTATTTTTATTTTTTACTAACTTATGCCATCTACTTAATCCACATGGATTTCAGAAGTAATAAAACCAAAGTACATTGGTACCTCGATTACCTTAACCCTTTGAGTGGGGGAAAGGGATTGTTAGTAATGGAGACTGAGAATCCCATTGCTAGCAATATACCCAACCAGGTCGACATCCTCGCGGTTCTCCCTGGAAACTATCATGGTTAATTCCTGATGAATTCATCATGATGGGCTAACCGGCCTGTTTTCATTCTCACCTATCACACTTCACTGGTGCTCCGCCAGCGTATCCCGTTAACGCAGGCGGAGTTACTATATATATACATATATATACATATATATATATATATATACCATTTTCACCCATCAAAAAAAACCCTTTGAGTGCCGACGAGCGCCATCTCGCTCGTGCGCATTGCAACTAAAAGTGCCACGAGCGTCATAGCGCTCGTGAAATCAGTCGCTGCTTAGCTCGCTGTAAAAAAAATATTACAATTGGATAAGTTTTGGAGGAGATACAGTTCGTTTTAGAGACAAGGGTAAATGACATCAACACGACAAAGGTTTCTTTGGCATTTTTAAGTAAATATGAGTAAAAATCAATGGCACTAAAAGGATTAAGCGATATTTTGCTGCAAGATTTGTGATACGAGAAATATCTCACACATATCAGCATATCAACATCTAACACTTTCTCTCAGGGGGGGGGGGGGAAGGGATTGTTAGCAATGGAGTTTGACAGCGCCATTGCTAGCAATATGCCCTATTAGGTCGTCCTCCACGTGGTCCCCCCTGGAAACCACGTGAACAATTCTTAAATAGGATAGACAGATAGTCTATAAAAAAAAAGTTTACCTACCTGCACATGTCAAACACAAATCATTGGGGGGAAAGGGATTGTTAGTAATGGGTTTTAATTGACCTAATGCTAGCATAATACCCTATCAGGTCGACCTCCACGCGTTTCCCCCTGGAAACCACTATGGTTAATTCTAGTGAAATTCGTCACGATAGGCTAACTGACCTGACCTGCCTTTTCATCCTCACCTATCACCCCTCACTGGTGCCCCGCCGGTGTATACCGATAGCGCAGACGGGTTTACCATTCCATTGTCATCCATTAAAAAAAATTGACCCGACCATAAAACAGGTTATATATCTTAATCAATGAGAGATTAATTGATCCAATAGTTAATTTTAAACTTTCCCGTTGTTTACACATCTTTTTGAATACACAATCGACACAATACGATGTAAAACCCCGCCGGTGTATGGTAACAGATAGAAGTGCGTAGGTGGCGCGAGAGGGGATTAATAATTTTTCGTGCATAAAATACAAAAACATGTAATGCACAAAAATATATGTAATACATATATATACATACAATATCAACATATAATATAATTTATTAAATATATATATATATATATATATATATATATATATATATATATATATATATATATATATATATATATATATATATATATATATATATATATATATATATATATATATATATATATATATATATATATATATATATATATATATATATATATATATATATATATATATATATATATATATATATATATATATATATATATATATATATATATATATATATATATATATATATATATATATATATATATATATATATAATATCTACTAAAATATCATAAAATTCTTTATTATTTTACCTGAAAGTTTATTTTTAAGCATCGCAGATCAAGTCGGTTTTTTTTTGTGAAAAAACAATCAAGATTCATGTCTACAACATTGAAAATCATTACCTTCTTAACTTTAGGAATCAGTACTCATAAAGCATCGATTATGAGCTTTGAATATTACCCGCTAAGGTTTAAAATTGGTTAAATTATTGTTGTAAATTGCAAATTGCCGGATATACTCGACTACAGTGTTTGTAAACTAACTGGTTATGTTTTCACTGCTTCAGTTGGTACTGGTGAGGTGATATTTTTACATTATTTCATTAACATGTTAAACCAGAGGGAGACTTTGTACAAAAGTCGATTGCTTGGGCACCTCTGTCCCATTCGTGTTTCAACCGTGAAGCAGTTGTGTTTGCATGGCTGTGTTTCGGTTTGAAAGGTGGGATATGGCGTGAATTTACAGGGTACAAAGGAATAACACCTGAGTCCTCAGGAATGGCAACGCATGGGGGGTATCATGGGCGAAACAGTATACTCTGTTATGTCCACGGTACTGCTCATGTCTATAGGCGACGGTTACCACTTTCCAATAGGTGGGCCGTCAACTTGTTTGCCATTTTTAGTTGTATAAAAAAAAATTTTAAAATTTGCCGTGTGGTCCCGGCATAGAATATGCCACCCCTTCCTTTCCCGTGGGTGTCGTTAGAGACGACTAAGAGAACTCAACGGTCGAAGGATAGGCAGCAGCGTCCCCCTTAAAACATCGCCAAAGCCCAACTGCGATTGCCAACCCGGCTGCCAAACATGGCAACTACTGTCCAAAATCTCCCTTATGGGGGAAGCCTATGTCCAGCAGTGGACAGTTAACCGCTGATATGATACGATAAATTGCATAAATAAGTATTAAAATCAGATCCAAATTGGCAATTTAATCACGTATCATACATACATATTATGTAGACACCAGATAAAAAACTGTGTATTACAAAAAAAAAGACGTCAGTGTCGCAAAACCGGTTATTTTGATTTAAAAATTAAACTAGTGAACCGATTTTGAGAAAATTTCTATGAAACTTGTCTAAAACTATATATATATATATATATATATATATATAATAACTAGCTGACCCCGTAAACGTTGTTTTACCTCTTATTGCGAAATATAAAAGTCGCGATTAAAATACAGGGGTTGATCGTAAAACCATGAAAATTTAAAGTTGTGTGTATTTTTCAATGCTAAATCATAATAAAATAAAAATAGAAAAAATTGGTAGAAAATTAAAAAAAAAAATTTTTGGGGACCCTTATCATTGAGGGGTATGAAAAATAGATGTTGGCCGATTCTCAGACCTACCCAATATGCACACAAAATTTCATAAAAATCGGTAAAGCCGTTCCGGAGGAGTTTGGTAACAAACACCGTGACACGAGAATTTTATATATTAGATATAAAAAGAAACAATTTACTAAATCGATCTACAACTGATTGAGTTATGAGGTAACAATTATAAATATGATATAAAATTTATTATATAAGTAGGTAGGTATTATATTTATTCATAGTGTATGTATTTATGTAATATTTTATTATATATTTTAATATTTTATTTAACTGTATATTTGTTTATGTACACTAAATATTATTAGTTGTAGCACTTCAGCTGCCCGCTGACGACACACTTCCTAACTGTATCGGGTTGACTGGAAGAGATCTCTGTTATTCTTTATTCTTTCTATCCTGTCTCTGTCATCAGGTGACAGGTGACAGATGACAGACAGACTTTTACCAGAAGGAGACTTTGTACAAAAGTCGATTGCTTGGGCACCTCTGTCCCATTCGTGTTTCTACCGTGAAGCAGTTGTGTTTGCATGGCTGCGTTTCGGTTTGAAGGGTGGGATATGGCAGTGAATTTACAGGGTACAGAGGAATAACACCTGAGTCTTCAGGAATGGCGACGCACGGAGGGTATCATGGGCGAAACAGTATACTCTTTTATGTCCACGGTACTGCTCATGTCTATAAGCGACGATTACCATTTTCCATCAGGTGGGCGGTCAGCTTGTTTGCCATTCTAAGTTGTATATAAAAAAATACACGTGATTATATTAAAGATATAAGCACTTTTGTACTGACCCGTACCATGCAGGCCGAGTCGTCATAGGCGAATCAGTTCTAGCATTACATTTAGCGGCTAACATGAGCTAACATTCTAATCACATAGAATATTACAAAATGTTATTAATATTTCTTAGTTTATTAGTTGCAGTGGAAGCTGGACCTTCCATCGAAATATATAAAGGTCAATGTAAGTTATCAACTCAAGGCTTGTGTCACTATAGTACTCTAAACTGTATAATATCATTTATCAATCATCAATATATATATGGGGGGGAAAGGGGTTGTTAGCAATGGAGTTTGACAGCCCCATTGCTAGCAATATGCCCCATTTAGGTCGACCTCCATGTGGTTCCCCCTGGAAACCATCGTGAACAATTCTTGTTGAATTCGTCACGATGGGCTAACTGACCTGCTTCAACCTCACCTATTATTCTTCACTGGTGCCCCGCCGGTGTATACCGATAGCGCGGGTGGGGTTACCATTTCATTATCATCCATTATATATATATATATATATATATATATATATATATATATATATATATATATATATATATATATGTATATTCCATCATATAGGGTGGCTTTATGAACGCAATAGAACACAAAACAATGATTTTCAAAATTTTTGTCTGTGTGTACGTTTGTGCACGCTAATTTGCTTTTATGCATTTTAGAATGGCAACCAAGCTGACGGCCCACCTGATGGAAAGTGGTAACCGTCGTCTATAGACATGAACAGTACCGTGGACATAGCAGAGTATACTGTTTCGCCCATGATACCCCCCCATGCGTTGCCATTCCTGAGGACTCAGGTGTTATTCCTCTGTACCCAGTAAATTCACGCCATATCCCACCCTTCAAACCGAAACACAGCCATGCAAACACAACTGCTTCACGGTTGAAACACGAATGGGACTGAGGTACCCAAGCAATCGACTTTTGTACAAAATCTCCCTCTGGTAAAATAATTGGTTAAATGGTTGGTAATCTGGTGGCTGTGTTTCGGTTTGAAGGGTGGGATATGGCGTGAATTTACTGGGTACAGAGGAATAACACCTGAGTCCTCAGGAATGGCAACGAATGGGGGTATCATGGGCGAAACAGTATACTCTGTTATGTCCACGGTACTGCTCATGTCTATAGGCGACGGTTACCACTTTCCATCAGGTGGGCCGTCAGCTTGTTTGCCATTCTAAGTTGTATAAAAAAAAAAAAAATTTAAATAAATACACACGTAATGTTAACAGAGATTTAAAAGAGTAACTGTTGAGTTTCTCGCGGGCTCTTCTCAACAGATAACGACCTTCCGAACCCTGCAGTAGATTAAAAACAAATAACGATTTAAAAGTGCTAGTTATTGAAGTCGCTGGCGGAAGAACCGAAAAAAAACAATTTTATAAATATAACAATTTTTTTTTAATAGGTTATAATGGAATGGTAACCCCGCCTGCGCTATCGGTATACACTAGCGGGGTACCAGTGAGCGGTGATAGGTGAGGATGAAAGCAGGTCAGTTAGCCCATTGTGACAAATTCAATGATAAATTGGTCACGATAGTTTCCAAGGGGAACCGCGTGGAGGTCGACCTGATAGGGTATATTGATAGCAATGGGGACTAAACTCCTCATTACTAACAATCCCTTCCTCCATGTAACTAAATTTAATTCTAAAATTAATTATTACAATAATAGGTGTCTTCAGATCGATGTGTGATCCGTAAGTGAAGTTATATAAAATCAAACATAAAGGAAATGGGTATTTTTGCTGCGGGAATTGAAATGTTAACTCGACGCAGGTGTCTTTCTCGGTAGCGCACCTTCTTGTGCCATGCTAGGTGGTCCGATCCGATCGCCGTTGAGGGTGTGTCGTAATACTTGATAGGTAATTATCAAAAACATTTGAAATAGTCAAGCTTTCTAGCAGTCAAGCTGTCTTCGGCTATATGTGATCTTAAAACTGCATTGATTTTCAGACTGTACAGACCCTCGGACGATGAAGAAGCACCCTGCGTACACGGAATGGGCTGATGCATACTCTTGCTCCCGACACCGCTGCCAGCCAGGAGGGCGCAACTTAGCTATATATACAGTCGGGTAAATTAGTTTTTGCCACTCTTTTGCCGTATGGTTCTGGCATAGAATGCCAGAACTATACGGCAAAAGCCAACCCTTTCTTTCTGGGGGAAAGGGATTGTTAGTAATGGAGACTGAGAATCCTATTGCTAGCAATATATCCAACCAGGTCGATCTCCTCGCGGTTCCCCCCGGAAACTATAATGGTTAATTCCTGATGAATTCATCATGATGGGCTAACTGGCCTATTTTCATTCTCACCTATCACCTTTCTAAATACCTTTCAATTATTTATTATAATATTTTTATTTCAATTTATCAATATAAGGTCTGAATCGTTTAGAAACCATTGTCCCTTGCTCCGTGCTTTCGAGGGCATGCAGCATCTTCTGGTAAGTCAACTTAAACATATTTGAGTATAAGGAAGACAACCTAGAGCCACTTGATACCACAGGATGGCAACCATACGGTTACTAGTAGTAGCTTAGCTATGGTACCTATGATACCATTGCATAGCTACTACATTCGTGTTTCAACCGTGAAGCAGTTGTGTTTGCATGGCTGTGTTTCGGTTTGAAGGGTGGGATATGGCGTGAATTTACTGGGTACAGAGGAATAACATCTGAATCCTCAGGAATGGCAACGCATGGGGGTATCATGGGCGAAACAGTATACTCTGTTATGTCCACGATACTGCTCATGTCTATAGGCGACGGTTACCAGTTTCCATCAGGTGGGCCGTCAGCTTGTTTGCCATGCTAAGTTGTATAAAAAAAACCTAACCTTATAAAAAAAGAAACTTATTTCGCAGCTGCAAACGCGTGGAAGCCCCAGAATCGGCAATAGAGTGCGAGGAAGTGGTGGAGGACACCAACATGCAGTTTCCATTCTGTTGTACTCGACTCAGGTAAACCCATGGTCATATTTTAATTGTCCATAACAAATTAATCTACATATATATATATATATATATATATATATATATATATATATATATATGTGTGTGTATTCCTTATGTATTATTATGTATAATTATTTCAGTATGTTGCTATAATTATGTCCCATATTTTTCACCACATCTGCCCTTCACACGCTTTCTGTTCTCACCTAATGGTTACCTGGTAGAGAATGCCATATGGCATAACTAACTAACATAACCTTCAAGAAAAGAGTATATTCCTTTTTAAAAGGCCGGCAGCACACCTGCAATGCCGCTGGTGTTGTGGGTGATCATGGGCGGCGGTAGTCACTTACCATCAGGTGAGCCGCATGCTCGTTTGCCCCCTGTGTTGTAAAAAAAAAAAAAAAAAGCTCGCCATTTGTACAAAGTTTTATTGTGCAATAAAGAATAAATAAATAAATAAATATCCCTCTCCTTCCTTTCTTTGGACGTCGTAAGAGATGACTAATGGAAGTTAATAATCGAAGAATAGGCAATAGTATCCCTATTAAAACATCACCAAAGTATAACCGCGGTTGCCAACCCGCCTGCCAAGCGTGGCAACTACTGGCAAAACCCCCACTTATGGAAAAGGCCTCTGTTCAACAGTGGACAGTTAACGGCTGTCCACGAGTATAGTTTTTTAGCGACTTCCAAAAGACGAAGTCTAAAAACTCTTAACACCAGGCGACACTGTGTATACAGTGCTGTTCATATCCACATGCTATAGCTATATATAAAACTTTGTTCCTCGCAGATGCCTAGTCGTGGTGCGTGGTGAGGTGTGGACACGTGTGCTGGGACAACCGTGGGAGACCCTACCAGCGGCACCCTGGAGTCACATGTACAAAATGAAGAAACCGCCGCCGAGTACTGGAGGGCCATTCCTGCCCAAGTAAAGATTTACTTTGTTACGGATATGAATGGACAAGTTACTGTGGTCCCGGCATAGAATAGGCCATCCCTTCCTTTCCCGTGGGTGTCGTAAGAGCCGACTAAGGGAGGGCGAGGGATGGGCAGCAGCGTCCCTCTTAAAATATCTCTAAAACGTAACTGTAGTTGCCTATCCGCCTGCCAAGCGTGGCAACTACTGGCAAACCCCCCAAGGGGAGGCTTATGTCCAGCAGTGGACAGTTAAAGGTGGATATGATGAGGTCGATAGAAATTTTGTTCCATAAAAAAAACCAAAAAAAGAACAAAATAAATAACTAGACTACTGTACCGATATTAATGAAATTTCTATAAAACCAATCTGATAGTAAGAGAATTTTCCAAATCGGTATATAAATGACAGAGTTCTCAGGTATTTGTTATAGTAAGTAGTTATAATAATTAATCTATGGGGGGAAAGGGATTGTTAGTAATGGAGACTGAGAATCCCATTGCTAGCAATATACCCAACCAGGTCAATCTCCTCGCGGTTCCCCCTGGAAACTATCATGATTAATTCCTGATGAATTCATCATGATGGGCTAACTGGCCTGTTTTCATTCTCATCTATCACCCTTCACTGGTGCTCCGCCAGCGTATCCCGTTAGCGTGGGCGGGGTTACCATACATTTTATTCCGTCAAAAAAATCTATCTATACTTACAATAAATCTGTAGAAAGGTCAATTCTGTACATGAAATATATTTCCAAAATCACTATCAGGGGGTACTTCACTTGACTTTTTCTAATTGTCATTGTATATTTTTATATTTCTGATGCAATAAAGAGATAAATAAATAAATAACAAACGTAACAAAATATAAATTTGAGTACCTCTTACTTTTTAGGGTTCCATACCTCTAAAAGGACAAACCCTTATAGGATCACTTCGTTGTCCCTCCATCCGTCCATCTGTCTGTCAAGAGCCTTTTTCTTAGAAACGCGTGAAGGTATAAAGTTGAAATTAATATCATATGCTCAGGTCTGCAATCTCTTGAAGCAGTGAAAAATCAAGCTTCTAAATCGACGCGATCGAAAGATACGGCCATTTATGTTACATTTATATCGCATATTTTGACATTCGCAAAGGGAATCAAAACCTATAGGGTACTTCCCATTGACCTAGAATCATGAAATTTGGCAAGAAACAATGTCATGTAGCACAAGTAAAGGAAAAAATCGGAAAACCGTAAATTTACGTGTTACTTATTTCACACAATTTTTTTTTTTTGTAAATGTCGCTGCACTTTTTTGCCTAACTGCTTACTTTATGGGGAAAAGGATTGTTAGCAATGGAGTTTGACAGCCCCACTGCTTGCAATATACCTTATTAGGTCGACCTCCACGTGGTTCCCCCTGGAAACCATCGTGAACAATTCATGTTGAATTCGTCACGATGGGCTAACTGACCTACTTCATCCTCACCTATCATCCTTCATTGGTGCCCCGCCGGTGTATACCGATAGCGCGGGTGGGGTTACCATTCCATTATCATCCATTTAAAAAAAACGGCTTACTTTTGATTTCCAATTTTTAATTTCACCTTAAATAACATTAATATTGTAATTGGAGTCGCTTTGGGGACAAATTTTATAGAGAAATTTACAACATAAAAGAGGAAAAACAGAAAAAATCTTCGAGACTTCATTCCAGGAATGAACGACCAATTTACATTGCTTACAAGTTCGTACGGGACCCTCGTTGCGCGAGTCCGACTCGCGCTTAACCGGCTATTTTTATTTATAGTTGGTTATTAAAAAATAGAAAGTTATCGTAAATGATACTAGCAATAATATATTAAAATTTGATTGCCCTATTTATCATTACCCCTCTATGATAACAATAAAATATTTTTTCCACTCATATCTATCCGTTTTTAAGTGGCCATGTTTATTTACAGAGCGCTATCTCTCGCCGGCCTAACGACAGTAGCATTTCCTTTGTCGGTTACTTATCTAAGTGTAGGGCGGTATGCACAATGCACACGTAACAACTCTTTGGTAGAATAAGCGCGTAGTCACAAGTAGACAGGTTAAGAAATTTTAATTCAAATAAACTTAAATAAGAAATAAGTAAGTCCACCCTTGCTCGTTTATAAATTTATAAACAACATTTATATAGTACATTACTGCAGCGGACAGCAACTGAGGCATTGATAGACGAACGTGCAAATGTGGGCCAAGGCATAGCCGAGGCACACATACGTGAGTCCATCAATGCCTAGTTGTGACCAAGGCTTGTATAGTACTTTTCTCAAACAATGCGCGGAAATCAAAAACACAATTTTACTTTTTAAGTTCAATGACGAACAACGATCAATAATAATTTTTCACGCGCCATAATGTTCCTTTGTTTTTTTTTTCCATAAACAGCTTTCTATTTGCAAGCCAGTTCGAAATTTAAATAAAACCTTTTTTTAGTTACCTCCTCGGTAGCCATATTTCAAAGTAAAAGGTCATTCCATTTTTTAATTACAGGACAGATATGAGTTTACATAGTAATTTAAAACACGACAGATATGGATTTTCATACAACTTTTGCCGGTCGCTGCCCGCATGTATCTGGCCAGTACGGCAATTTTGATTTATCTCGAAGAAGATTGTCAAAATAATGCTCACATTTCCAAGCATGTTTGAGAAAAATACATTATCTTACGTGTAATTTACAAGTACAATAAAGAAATATATATATATATATATATATATATATATATATATATATATATAGTAGTTGCCACGCTTAGCAGGCGGATTGGCAACCGCAAGGAAGGGGTGGCTTATTCTATGCCGGGACTACACGACGTATTTACAATAAAGCGTATTTAAATATACAAGTACTATACATGGGTGATATCAGGAGCACTCCGAAATGTATATATTGGTTCCTTCAGGACAATTATGTGGGTCAAGGTCATTGTTCATTTTAGTATCGTCCATATCAGTCAGATATCATATGATGCGACACTGTCCATTCGTCTGTCTGTCACAGCGTTTTTATCGACTTGAAATTTGGTATAGATTTACACATTGTGTATATTATTATATATTTATTTATTTATTACATCCACTGGGTGAGCCTTACAGTCTTCCAATACGCTCACCCAGGAAAGCATGAGTATGTATGTGTATATATGTGTATGTATGTATATATGTTTGTTTACACTAATATTATAAAAAGGAAAACTTTGTTTGTTTGGTTGTAATGAATAGGCTCAAAAACTACTGGACCGTTTTTAAAAATTCTTTCACCATACGAAAGCTACATTATCCACGGGAATCGCCACTTTTTTAAATGTGAAAATGTCCACCCGTGCGAAGCCGGGACGGGCCGCTAGTCTCTAATAAGAGATTTCATCCAGCTAAACCTTTTCATGTGAATTGGATGTTATTTTAAAAAATAAAAATAGGCAGTCATACAATTTGCGTCCATTGTATGAACACATTCATAAGATGTGTATACACACAAAGAATAATACAAACTACACATTATAAATTACATAAAATACATAAACCCTCTAAACATATACTTAACACATACATATAACTTCTCCACTTGAGGGGGCAAGGGATTGTTAGTAATGGAGACTAAGAATCCCATTGCTAGCAATATACCCAACCAGGTCGACCTCCTCGCGGTTCCCCCTGGAAACCATCATGATTAATTCCAGATGAATTCACCATGATGGGCTAACTGGCCTGTTTTCATTCTCATCTATCACCATTCACTGGTGCTCCGCCAGCGTATCCCGTTAGCGCAGGCGGGGTTACCATACCATTTTCATCCAATAAAAAAAATCTTCACTTGTAGGAGTCCAAACGAAGGTCCTGTCTACAAGCTGACGGAGCAAGAAGACGTATTCCCCGACAAAGTGCTCAGAGCTGCCAAGAAATGCAGCGGCGACTCGCCCGAATGCAACAGCATCGCTCCACGGGCCGTCCCATTACCGGATATTGTTGTGAGTACATATGTCAAGCTGCCGCTATCCTATTTAGGAGTGCTGCCCATCCCTCGCCCTCCCTTAGTCGCCTCTTACAACACCCACGGGAAAGGAAGGGGTGGCCTAATCTATAGCGAAACCTACATGGTTTATTGTTGGTTTTACATTAATTAATTAATACTATAATATTGGTTTCAGATCGCTTTATCCACGAGTAATGAGCAAAAGGAATCCAAAAAAATAAAAAATGTCAGGTAAATAATAGAGTTATTTTGTCATATGCAAACTAGAAGACGTCTGTACGTCTGTACATAGGAGATATTAAAAAAAATGAAAAATGAATACGTATTAATAATATCAATACAGGTGAAACAATTATTAAAAAAAAAAAAACATTACTGTCTCTCTATTGGCGATTGGCCGATACAAATTCCTTGAATTTTATCACATACTTTTTTTTTTATGCAAACAAGCCGACTAATAGAAAATGGACGTCGCCTATAGACTGGTTTTATCACAATTTAAGTCGGTTTTTTGTGGGACCCAATTTAATATTCGATGTCGGTTAACATTGTTAAATATTAAAAAAAAAAAAAACTATCTGTCCAAATATTTAAATCCACGTGGAAAAAAAAACAAAAGTATAAAACCAATTCCCAACAGCAATATATATAAAGAGATGTAACATTGACACCTTTAAGAATGGAGCATACTTCTTACCAAAGGGCTGGTAACACACCTGTAATGTCTTTAAAGTTTATGGTGCCTATGGGCGGTGGTAATCACTTACTATCTAATTTTTTTAAATGTTATCCAGAAATAAAGAGGTAAGGCACAAAAGGGCTCGCAAGCAACCGTCTTCGTATTATGACGAGGAAGCTCCAGAAGCTCACATCGATCGAGAGAATGAATATTTGCCAAGTGTATGTACTGAGTTACATTAAATTTTTTATAATAATAATTATTCATAACTTTTGCTTAACGAGATGCTTGCTTGACAAATTTACAATTGTCTGTAAATTTTTCAATCATCATCATCATGATGATCAGTCGTTAATTGTCCATATAAAAAGTGATGCATTCATCCGGAGGTATTCTTTAGAGAGCGTACGGCATTTTACGTCACAGCGCCTCATACACTACACATTCTTGATACATTTTCATTCTTCTAAATTACTACAGACCGCGTTATATAACCAGAGGGAGACTTTGTACAAAGCTTAGGCACCTCTGTCCCATTCGTGTTTCTACCGTGAAGCATTTGTGTTTGCATGGCTGTCTTTCGGTTTGAAGGGTGGGATATGGCGTGAATTTACAGGGTACAGAGGAATAACACCTGAATCCTCACGGATGGCAACGCATGGGGGTATCATGTGCGAAACAGTATACTCTGTTATGTCCATGGTACTGCTCATGTCTATAGGCGACGGTTACCACTTTCCATTAGGTGGGCCGTCAGCTTGTTTGCCATTCTGTTGTATAAAGGAAAAAGGTCTTTGTATGGATACCTATGTCCCAATCGTGTTTCTCTTTCCCATCCGTGTTTCTACCATGTAGGATGGGACAGAGTTAGTACTTTGTCCCATCCGTGCATTAGTATGCTTGGCTTGAGCAAACTCTTCCTTCCAATTCAAAAGAAAAAAAACATATATGCAGGAACAGGTTGGCGTCTCGTATGAGAACGTCTACCATCAACCCGAATTCCCACCAGCTGAGACCGAGAAGAAAGAGGAGAAGTCGACCAACCTCCAGGCCCTGGTAGACGCGATCGGCACCAGGATGAGGGACATTGAGAATGTGGTGCAGAAGATGAGCGAGAAAGTACACCAGGCGAAACCCGAAGACGTGGCTGAATTTAGCGTCGAGAAGTGAGAGAAAATGCTGTTCTGTCTTTTTTTTATTACAGCATTAATATGTGACCACACTTTCTTGAGAACATAAAGGCAACATGGTCCATGAGTGTGGTCAATCAAAAAGAGAATGTTTTGCTTTCAAAAGTTGAACGTACGTGTGTCGGCTTACTCGCTGGTATCGCTAGGTCTTGTAAACAAATCGTTTGGTATATTATCCATTATCATAACTCATGCATGCATGTCAGTTCCAAAATGCTCAGACAATTCAAGAAAATGAGTCTTATTCTTCTGGCTACAGGTGCCATTTCACCACTATCTGTTTCTTCATTCCTTATTCCCTATTTATTCAACATTTCTTTCAGCATGCCCTAATCGAGGAAGCTGAAGGAATAGATTTTACCACGCCATTTCGATGTTCTCATTGTTTCCAGGAAATTAACTTATTTAAGACGCTTCTTCGCCATCAGAATGTGGAGCTCTTAATTCCTAGTGTATTTGTTACGGACGTAAATGGACCAACTGACCTGACTTCGTACTCATCTATCCCTTACTGGTGTCCCGCCAATATATACCGATAGCGTAAGCAGGATTACCGTTCTATTATTAACCTACCGACCAGCAATATGCCCTGTCAGGTCGACCTCCCCGCGGTTCCACCTGGAAACGATCGTGATTCATTGGTAAATTTGTCACGATGGGCTAACTGACCCGCTTTATTTCACTTATCATCCCTCACTGATGACCCGTCGGTGTATACCGATAGCACAGGCGGGGATACCATTCCATTCCATTATCATCGATTAAAACCTACCGACCAGGGGGGAAAGGGATTGTTAGCAATGAAGTTTAACCCATTGCTAGCAATATACCCTATCAGGTCGACCTCCACGTGGTTCCCCCTGGAAACCATCGTGCTGAATTCCAAGTGCATTCATCACGATGGACTAACTGGCCTATCTTTTTATTCTCACCTATCATCTCTTATTGACGCCCCTCCAGCGTATACTGTTACCATTGTCACCCATTAAAAAAAACATACCAACCATTTGACTTTTTATTGCATTTCCAGTTTGTATAAAACTTTTGTCACGAAGCAAAAGTAAGTTTGTGCGTTTTTTTTTTATACAACTTAGAATGGCAGACAAGCTGCCAACATCTATGCCAACAAGCCACATCCCACCGTTCAAACCGAAACACAGCCATGCAAACACAACTGCTTCACGGTAGAAACACGAATGGGACAGAGGTACCCAAGCAATGAACTTTGGTACAAAGTCTCCCTCTGGTTTGTGCGTGAGAGAGATTTTACTTTTATGTCTTTAGAGCATTAACGGATTCAGACGGATCGCTGCTTCGCAAGCACCATAAAAGAGACAACGCAGAACCCGGGAATGATTTTAAAGCGAAAAAACCAAGCCCTGATGCTGAACACTATAAGAGGTACGTAATATTGATCCTCTAGATCTTTCATCAGGGTTTCTTAATGTGGAGTATGTATGTCACTTGAGGTACACCAGTTAATTGTAGGGGGTATGCGATAAAAATTACGTAATCATTCAAAATGTCTACCAAAAATTTAATACCATTTGTACTAAAAAACAAGCACATATGAATAAAATACCTTATTTGTTTTATCTCTATTTTAAAGGGTTTGCTGTGATCTAGAAAATCTAATAGGAGTATGTGGAGACATAAGTTTAAAAAACTTTGCTCTGAACAAATCGCAAATAAATATAATTTATATAATTTACGATGGCAAACAAGGTGACGATCCACCTGGTGGAGAGTAACCTTCGCCTATTGGAGGGAAATGGATTGGTAATGAGATCTAAAAGCCCCATTGCTAACGATATATCCTCTCAGGTCAACCTCCACGCGATTCCCCCAACGTGGAAACCAGCGTGGTTAATTCTTGTCGAATTCATCATGGTGGGCCAACTGACCTGCACTCAATCTCACCTATCATCTTCCACTGGTGCCTCGTCGGTGTATACCGATAGCACGGGCTGGGTTGCCATTCTATTTCCCCTATAAGAAGAGGCACTATAGTGTTATGCCCCTATGGTTTTTAACTTCACTGCCATATAACAGGGGGTTGCCTTGTGGTCCGGGCTTATAGTGAACCAACCCCTCCTCTCCCATTGGTGGCATAAGAGGCGAAGTTGTAACGTAAGGGAATTTAATGGACGAGGACCAGGCAGCAGCGTCACTCTTAAAACCAAAGACTACCTGTGGCTGCCAACCCGTATGCCAAACGCAGCAACTACTGGCAACCCCTCCCCCCTTATAGGGAAGCCTATCTTCATGGATATACCCTATCAGGTCGACTGCCACGCGGTTTCCCCTAGAAACTATCGTAACTAATTTATCGTTGAATTCGTAACGATGAGCTAACTGACCTGCTTTTTCATCCTCACCTTTTTTTATACCACTGAGGTGGCAAACAAGCATACGGCCCACCTGATGGTAAGTGGTTACCGTAGCCTATGAACACCTGCAATACCAGAGGTATTACGCGTGCGTTGCCGACCCTGAAGAAACCTTTTGAAGAACCCCACGCTGTAGTCTCTTGGGAAAACCTCGGCAGGGAGCTCTTTCCACAACCTGAGTGTTCGTGGGAGGAAGCATCTCTGAACCTATCGTCCCTCACTGGTATACCGATAGCCAGACCGAAGTTACCATTCCATTTTCACATTTAAAAACCTACAGATCCTTTTTTACGCTTCTTCTGTTTAAAGGTTCTCTATTCGTAACCGCGCCAGTAAGTACCTGCACAGCACGACAGATGGCAGTACTGAACCAACGCTCTTCCTCGAAGACACCAGCATGAATGGGTACTTCAGCGATGCCAGTAACAGCGTGCTGAGGAGAGCTGGCAACCCACCAAAGGTAACTATTATTAGTGTTGGGGGGAAAGGGATTGTTAGTAATGGAGACTAAGAATCCCATTGCTAGCAATATACCCAGCCAAGTCGACCACTTTTGTTAGGGGAAAGGGATTGTTAGTAATGAAGAGGTTAGTTCTCATTGCTAACAATATACCGTATCAGGTCGACCTCCACGCGGTTCCCCCTGGAAACCATCGTGACTAACTTATTATTGAATTTGTCACGATGGGCTGACTGACCTGCTTTTTTCATTATTCACCTATCATCCCTCACTGATGCCCCGCCAGCGTATACCGTTAGCGCAGGCGGGGTTACCATTCCATTAATCATGCATTAAAAAAAACAGATCGACATCCTCGTGGTTCCCCCTGGAAACTATCATGGTTAATTCCTGATGAATTCATCATGATGGGCTAACTGGCCTGTTTTCATTCTCATCTATTACCCTTCACTGGTGCTCCGGCAACGTATCCCGTTAGCACAGGCGTTTTCACCCATAAAAAAAAACTATTATTAGTGACACATATAAGATCATTTACAAAGATTGCTCTCAACAATAAGACCGCCTCGCTGTACTTATACAACTGTATCGTTACATTTATCGTTTTGCTTATTCCTTATATTGTATAATGCAAATAAAGTATATATACATTATTAATTCATTTTCCAAGAGGCCTGGCAATAAAAAAATAGCACGTGTGTGATGTACTTTTAGACATGTTTTTGTTCATAACTGAAATCCTCCAAAATCGTTAAAATAATGGTTAATTGAGAAATACTTAACCGATTTTAGAAATTTATTATTTTTTCCTATATAAATACATATTTATCAGCGAGTAACATGGGTTATGTTTTATGAGTAACGCGTGGGCTAGTATAGTATTATATTATCTGTGGCGTGGGTGAAACGGTATACTCTGTTATGTCGATGGTACTGCTTATGTCTTTAGGCGACGGTTACCACTTTCCATCAGGTGGGCCGTCAGCTTGTTTGCCATTCAAAATCATTAAAATTCATCTAAAATCGCCGTGCGGTCCCGGCACAGAATGGGCCATCCCTTCCTTTCCCGTGGATGAGGTAAAAGGCGATTAAGGTAACTTAACAGTCTAGAGTTGGGACAGCAGTGTACCTCTTAAAACATGACCAAAGGTTGACAGCGGTTGCCAATCGCCTGTCAAACGTGGTAACTATTGGCAAATCCCCCTCTTATGGGAAAGGCTTATGTTCAGCAGTGGATGGTAAGCGGCTGATAGGATGATGAGAGATTTAATACTGTTTACCCGTGCGAAATGTTATTAAAATATTAAATTACATAATAGGAACCAGTGGCCATCTACATGGCGCCTGTGGAGATCCGCCGAAAAAGTCACGCCAGCGTCTCCGACTCCTCGAGCGAGGTGGAGAAGAAGCATAAGAAACGCACTCATAAGAAGAAGCGAACTAAAGACAAACCCCATAAGAAACACCATAAGGAGGAGAAAAGGAAACGGTTGAATAGGTTAAACTCGGTTGAGGCGGACAGGATAGTTGTATCTTTGGAAGACAGTAGTGAGATAAGCAATAAATAGATATGATAAAATTCAACGATGTCTTACACCTCAAGAATGGTAATGGATAACGGGAACCATAGATATTACAGAGTGTTCTGTTATGTCTATGGTACTGTTCATGACTAAATATGATAAAATTGTCAATTCATAGCAGGCTAGTGTATAGAAAAAATATACGGCCGTATAACCCTACCAAATTCAGATACAACCTACTTGCATACTTTCTACATAAATTGTGTCGAATATATATAATCTAGTAATGTAAAATTTGTTATTGTCAAATATTTGACATATCATACATTTTCTACACACTAGCCTGCTGTGAATTGAGAAAAATAGCAACTGATGGTGTATCTTTCGTCCTCTTTTTACTAATTATATTTGCATAGGAAGAAAGGAGACAACCATATGATTTACAGTTTTTATTTAGTTGGCATCATCTTATTTGCCTTTTTAAGTATCATAGAAAAAAAATGTGGACCTTTTAGCATTTTTAGTGGATGTTTTTAGTTAGGTTATAGGTGAACTTGATAAATGGCTTCATATTTTTAAAATAATGCTATGAAATATTCAGTCATTTGTTGACAAATCAGAATATATTTGTATCAATAATTCTAATAAAATTTTATATTAAAAACTTTTTTTTTTCTATTTTTCTTTTTAACACCGATTGATGTCCTCGATATTTTAAGATTGTGATCCAAAAAAAAAATCGACTTGAGTTGTGGCAAAAGTAGTTATTTCGATTTAAAAGTATTTTGAACTTTAAGTATAAACAATTTGAATATCCTTTCAAATAAAAAAAAATCAAATCGGTTTATAGCGAAATTGCAGAATTTTGCTTTTAATATTTAAGAGGGACGGTAAGGGCGAAGAGCAGCAGCGTCTTTCTTAAAACATCTCTAAAGCCTGACTGCGGTTGCCAATCCGCCTGCTAAGCGTGGCAACTACTGGTAAAACCTCCTAAGAGGGAGGCTTGTGTTCAGCAGTGGACAGTTAAAAGCTGATATGATGATGATGATATTTTATATTACTAAAATCCATTAGCAAGCGAACAGCAATAAACATTAGTGCTGCCTCTACAAAGCGATGTAGGTACTAAAGTTATTATGAATTAGTTTCATTTATTGCTACTCGACCACTGGTGGCGCTATTTATCAGTGAAAATAGGTTCTAATCCATCTTGGGACTATAATAATAATAAATGCTACACAATCACACCATTTGTCTAGTCTTCAAGCTGGGGAAACAAGACACTCAGACCCAAATCAATTCAGAAAAGTTCGTGTCCTAAATTGGTCTCCCCGGGAATCGAACCCGATACCTCATTTACGCATAGCTACGCATGGTTAAAATACCTTAAAAATATATTAAATTTTCACTAGATAGCGCTTCTATATGTCGTTTATTCTGTGCAGGTAACTTTTACTTACTTAAATTACTTTTTTGTGATTGGATTCCAATTGTATGTATACACTATATAATTTAATATTTCTATGAAATTAAAATAGTAAATTGATTAAGTCTAGAAGATAAAAAATCTTATTTGTCTAGAAATTTATCATAGAAATGTCAGATGAGTTTCTTCTTGTCTTCAATGGCAATCGGTCATTTTTACGACCATTTCGGCCAGCATTACGTATAAGAGGCTCGTAACTCGAAAATTATTATTATTCTACAAGTAATATTTAAAGCACACCACAATTATAACAAACGTATTGCCCCATCGCGTATTAATGTATACTCAAACTACAGCTATTCAATTTAAAATAAATGTTCACCGTTCCCGCCATTTTTTCCAGATGAATTTCGTAAGTTTTGTTTCTTTAAACCTGTTCGAGTCGGAGAAAAGAGTAATTCTATGTAAATAACGATTCATCCTCAGAAAAAAAAAACATTTTATTTTAAACAAAATACTTAAATGAATATACCTGTCTATACTTCCTTAATAATAAAAATAAATGTTTTGAAGTAATTCAATTAGTGATTCAGAACGCACCGCAAAACAAAAGAGTTATCTACGTGTGTGTTGCCAACTTTGCTTTGTCAAATCTAGGATTAGCTATTTATCACTAGGGTGTGAAATTGTTAGTGATGAGGTACGAGTATAAGGCCCCCGTTGTTAGTAATGTACAATATCTGATCGATCTTCACACATTCTCGTTTAGAAACTATCGTGATAAATTTCCGGTTAATTTCACAATGGGCCTATAAACCTGATTTTATCCTCACCTGTCTTTCATTATTCATTGATGCTTCATCTGCTTATATTAATAGCACGGGTGACAGTACCATTCCATTTTCATTCCATAAAAAACATAAATATCTCCTCTCCTTTATATTAATGATACAAAAAATATCCTAATTTAGATTTTTTTTCCAAATACAATGAAACTATAAATTTAAGTAAATAATATCAAGATAAATTCTCACGGATTTACCAGTCCATCATCGCCCATTAAAAAATTGTTTTAGTGCCTTCTTTTCAGTCTCTTATATTTTATTTAGCCGTAAATATGTCCCAAGAAAGGAAATGAAACATGTTTAAATAAAAAAGTTTCCACCAAAAATAGAGTTAAAAGTATTAGCTTCTAGAGCTATCCACAACAATTATAATAATAATTATTAATGATATATTCTGTTTATTTAATTATTTTATTGTTTTGTGGCCTTTTTAGAAGTGAAGAGTGTAGTAAATATATTACTGCACTAGGTATTATTTTGCAAAAGTCCATATCAGTGACTAAGCAATTAGAATTATTTTAATTCCGCTAGAATTAGTATGCGTGTGACAACCCACAAGCATTCCCAGTAGCATCGAACGATGATCACTAGGCATATTTGTTTGATGATACCTTATTTAGAATTTAAACACGTCTCGCAATATGGATGTGGACTGAATAACGGTTGAAGATTGATGACTAATATGGAATGTCGTAAAACGTATGCTAATAATAAATTGATCATAGTTCATCTTCATTTAATAGTTAATATCCAAATGATGGCTATCGCGGCCATATCAATAGTAGCAGAATTAAACGAAATAATTCTAACCGACTGACCAGTAAAGCATATAGCAATTTAGTTTACCTTTTTAATTTTGTACTAAACAGGGCACATAATACAGCCATTCCGTTTGATTTAGCTCGATAATATAATCAGAAGTTGGCAACACTGTTTATACCTACACACGTCTCTTGGTCGGCCAGTGAAAAATCAAATAAAAGTCGTCCATATTTCTATTGCGCTGTATTCTAGTAAATATTGAATTTTTTAGTACGCGCGTGTAAGTGAAATTTTACATTGTGGCCAAGGTGACGCCGTACCCGAGTATGACTTATTCCGGAAGGAATAAATTCGAAGTGAGTACGATCGATCAATTTGTCAAATGTTTGTTTTCATTTTGATTGGAAACAGCTGACATCGGTGCATGCAAGGCGCAGGGCTTATTTCTTTGTTCTCAGATATCCCGGAAAAGTTATATATTTGTCTTACGAAAGATCTGTATACATAATTTTAGTACCTACTTCCAAACGCGTGCACGAATACGCTGATATTGTAAACAATATAATTCTATTTTTAAATTTGTAAAAAAGTTTTCTTTATTTTTTTTTTATTCAGACCATAATGTAGACTAGACACAAAATCGAGGTACATAAAGGAAGTTAGTGTTTTATCTAGGTATTGACTTGCATTTTCCTTTGTTTGGTCAGTGTATTGACCCCTAAGCGGCGGGCAGTCAACTCACACATTGCTGATATACCGTTACATGAGTATTATGTATATTTATCGGCCTTGGCTGACCCCGAAACATTGGGGAAATGGGTATTTGCACATGTGCCAAATAATTTAGTGTTGTGTCATAACTTGACAAAAAAGTAGGTATGAATTCATCTCACCCTGGTAAATAATATTGCTAACGTTCTATTTTTTTAGAATAAAAATATATATAGAAAAGTCCATATATATATAAATATATATATTTCTAATTATTTATATACCTACACTGTATTAGTAATTAATTACTTACATAATTTATATACTTTTTTCAATGTGAACAGTAAAAACATGCTCATTCATCCCTTGTTAAAATATTTTTTTTTAAACAAAAATGTTGCCAGATATAACTTTTCAAACTACCTCAAATTACTAAAGGATTTTAATTATTTCAATCAGGAAAAGACTGTTATGGATGTTAAAATACATGTTTAGACAACTAACAATCTAAAGAGTATCCAGTATATATGACTAAGCATAAAAAAATCTGTTTCATTAAAAATAAAAAAATATTTAAAGTAATGAATTTTATTTCAGTAAATGTATAGATTCTGTTACATTTATAAAATTATAAATAAATATTAACACATTAATTAAACAATATTTAATACATTTTACAGTAAGAGGTTCTTCAAAATGAGTGTATTAAAGTTTCAGCAATGTCTGCAACATGCATGTGACACCCCTAGTGTTGATGGGCTGTTTGCTTTGCTTTTTATATTATGAAGGCTAACTTCATAATATAAAAAAAAAATTATCACTTATAAAGTTTTTTTAAACTCTGGATTAACTTAGAATAGAATAGAAAATATTTATTGTTAGAAAAACACAATTACAAAAGAAAATACAAAAATATTACATATATATAAGAAGCGTCTTGTATTAAGCAAAAGGAACTGGCTCAGCTGATGCTGTGAGTGTCCCAGTGCAGTGTGTTCAGCTGCATAGCGTTGGCTTTCAGCCAGTTCCTCTCTTAATGAAATACAACAAAAATACGGGGTACACATGAATAACACCTGAGTCCTCAGGAATGGCAACGCATGAGGAGTATCATGGATGAAACAGTATACTCTGTTATGTCCACGGTACCGCTCATGTCTATAGGCGACGGTTACCACTTTCCATCAGGTGGGCCGTCACCTTGTTTGCTGTTTTTGAGTTGTATAAAAAAAATACAAATGCATACAACTGCAATTTTATTATCTCTTTATGACATACTAGTTATTTCCCACTGTTACTCACATATTTTATAAAATATCCTATGTGTTAACTTAGAATGTAACCTATTCACATACCAAAACTTCAAATATGTTCAGTTATTTAGGTATTATTGAGTAACAAACAAACTTATAAAGGGGGCACGATAAATAGATAGATAGATAATTTATTTGCATTACTTACAGCATACAAATTATAACATATACATAAAAAAACGAGATAACATAAATGATTAAAAAAAAACACATAAAACCAAGTAAAATTTTTTCTTTTGTACGTGTGCCATAACAATACAAAATGGTCACAACTCAGTTTATTGCTTCGCACTCAAAAAAGTAAAGCACTGATATTCTGTTGCGGCCAAAGGGAATAGGGTAACAGTAAAACAATACTACCAGATTATCTATATAGTAAATAGACAGATATGACAGTCTATCTAGCAGACAAATGGAACGTAGAGGTAACTTGCTGGAATGTTTAACTTTTGCTCTCAATTAAGATTTTTTTAAAATTAATTTTGAAACTAGACTTAGTGGTGATCAGTCTTATGGGAGGTGGTTAGTAATGGAGGTTATTTTGATGAGTGAAAATGGTATGGTAACTCCGCCCGCGCTAACGGGATACGCTGGCGGAGCACCAGTGAAGGGTGATAGATGAGAATGAAAACAGGCCAGTTAGCCCATCATGATGAATTCATCAAGAATTAACCATGATAGTTTCCAGGGGGTACCGCGAGGAGGTGGACCTAGTTGGGTATATTGCTAGCAATGGGATTCTTAGTCTTCGTTACTAACAATCCCTTTCCCCCCAGTAATGGGCGGTTAGTCCCTATTGCTTTCTTTTTTTTTAATGGATGATAATGGAATGGTATCCCACCTGCGCTATCAGTATACACTGTCAAGGTTGGCGAGTGAGTTAGCAACTGCAGTTAGACATTGCTGCTACAAAAAACATTTTAATATTCCTATCATTGATAGGAACTTTAAAAAAGGGCAAGCACTAAAAATCATGGAAAGGTCGCAGTGTCACAGGTTTATCTGCCTGAAAAAAATAGTCTTGACGGCCCACCTGATGGAAAGTGGTAACCGTCGCCTATAGATATCAGCAGTACCGTGGACATAACAGAGTATACTGTTTCGCCCATGATACCATCCATGCGTTGCCATTCCTGAGGACTCGGGTGTTATTCCTCTGTACCCAGTAAATTCACGCCATATCCCACCCTTCAAATCGAAACACAGCCATGCAAACACTTTTTTTTTTTACAACACAGGGGGCAAACGAGCATGCGGCTCACCTGATGGTAAGTGACTACCGCCGCCCATGATCACCCACAACACCAGCGGCATTGCAGGTGTGCTGCCGGCCTTTTAAACACAACTGCTTTACGGTTGAAATACGAATGAGACAGAGGTATCCAAGCAATCGACTTTTGTATAAAGTTTCCCTCTGCTACCCCTTGGGGTTTTGCCAGTACTTAACACGCTTGGCAGGCGGAACTTGGCGGGCGAAACAGTATACTCTGTTATGTCCATGGTACTGCTCATGTCTATAGGCGACGGTTACCACTTTCCATCAGGTGGACCATCAGCTTGTTTGCCATTCTAAGTTGTATAAAAAAAATTCAATGTTATGATGGAAATCTCCACCGTTATGCAAAGAAGGGTTAAAAATATGTGTTAACAACGTGAAAGCTTAAAATTATATTTAATTCGTTCGCAGATCGCTCGGTTCACGGGCGAAGATGAGAACCATATAAACAAGAAACTGCCCAAGGAGCTACTGTTACGGATACTGTCATATCTAGATGTAGTTTCTCTCTGTCGCTGCGCTCAGGTAATATTTTTTTTCTTTATTGCACAATAAAACTTTGTACAAGTGGCGAGCTTAATGCCATATGGCATTCTCTACCAGCTAACCATTAGGTGAGAACATATATATATATATATATATATATATATATATATATATATATATATATATATATATATATATAGATGTTCTGTGTTCTTTAGAATGTGCGTGCGTGCGTGCGTGCGTGTGCGTCACGTGTTAAATATTCAATCATCAGAAACATTGAAATTCTTCAGTTGTTTTTGAAAATTTACAGATACGAGCGCAATGTTGCCACACTTCATTATGAACGCTCTTAATGTTTTTTTTTTTGATGGGTTAAAATGGTATGGTAACCCCGCCTGTGCTGACGGTATATGCTGGCGGAGCACCAGTGAAGGGTGATAGATGAGAATGAAAACAGGCCAGTTAGCCCGTCATGATGAATTCATTAGGAATTAACCATGATAGTTTCCAGGGGGAACTGCGAGGAGGTCGACCTGGTTGGGTATATTGCTAGCAATGGGATTCTCAGTCTCCATTACTAACAATCCCTTTCCCCCCACGCTCTTAATGTTATAAATTATTTTAATTGCAGGTTTCTAAGCTATGGAACATATTGGCATTAGACGGCTCCAACTGGCAAAGGATAGACTTGTTCGAGTTCCAGACAGACGTCGAGGTAAGTGGACAGCTTTCTAGAATATTCTTTTATATGTATGTATGGTATACACTAAATACTATTAATAATACACTATAATATTTATGTAATTCACTGTTCCAGTTTTTGCCAAGCTTATACAGGGTGTGAGGGACTCACACCCTGTATATTACTAAATTGTTACTCGTTGTATTTATTCACTTATATGTTACATGAATCATCATCACCTATCAGCAGTCATCATATCAGCTGTTACCTCTTCACTGCTGAACGTAGGCCTCTAGGCCTTTTGCCAGTAGTTGCCACGTTTGGCAGGCGTGTTGGCAACCGCAGTTAGGCTTTGCTGGTATTTTAAAAGAGATGCCGCTCTTAGTCGCCTATTACGACACCCATGAGAAATTAACGGGTGGCCATTTCTATGCCGAGACCACATAGCAATGGATACCTATGTAGGTATGTCATCGTCAACATGTCCGCCATTTTCTGTCCACTACCGAACGTTGGCTCCCCCCATGGACTGCCATAAGGAACAGTCCTGAACCTCCTGCATCCGCTGACTCCCTGCAATGCATTTGAGGTCGCCACTCCATGTAGTAGGTGGGAGGTCGTCCTACACTACGTTTGCCTGTACGGGGTCACCACTCAAGAATCTTTCTCCATCGGTTGTCGGTTCTTCGACCAGCCTGTTCCCACATCAGCTGTGGAGTGTATGTATGTAATTTGTAATAATTGATTGATGTAAATTTATAATGATTCTTGGAAGTCGAAATAAGTAATTAAGTATTCAGATTTTAGTTTTTTAACTTTATTCATTAACAGAATAAATATTAGAATATGATAATTGTAGTTTAATATCTTTTTTTTTTTATTTATTTTAGGGGCCAGTTATAGAGAACATATCGCATCGATGCGGCGGCTTCCTGAGGCAGCTCTCGCTGCGTGGCTGCGAGAGTATAGGGGATGGCTCCATGAAGACACTAGCACAGGTGAAGATTAAATTTTTATGTAATTTAGAACGACAGGCTGACGGCTCGCCTTATGGAAAGTGGCAAACGTCGCCTACAAACTTGACGCATGCCCCGCCAGCGTATACTGATAGCGCAGGCGGAGGTTTTTTTTTAAAGATGATAATGGCATGGTAACCCCGCCTGCGCTAACGGTATACGCTGGCGGGGCACCAGTGAGGGATGATAGGTGAGGATGAAATAGGAGGTGATGATGTCAGGTCAGTTAACTAATCATGATGAATACACCTGGAATTCAGCACGATGGTTTCCAGGGGGAACCACGTGGAGATCGACCTCATGGGGTATTTTGCTAGCAATGGGACTGGTATGCCGCATTACTAACGATACTAGACAAGACATAACAGAGTATACTGTTTCGCCCATGATACCCCCCATGCGTTGCCATTCCTGAGGACTCAGGTGTTATTCCTCTGTACCCTGTAATTTCACGCCGTATCCCACCCTTCAAACCGAAACACAGCCATGCAAACACAACTGCTTCACGGTAGAGACACGAATGGGACAGAGGTACCCAAGCAAACGACTATACAAAGTCTCCCTCTATCAGAGGGATTTATGAATGATGGAGGACTGAGGTAACAGACGAAAATATACAACCAATTTGAGAAATGTCTTCCTTTTTTAAAGTCGGTTTAAAATAAACATGCTATATCAGCCGTTAACTGTCCACTGCTGGACATAGGCCCGCCAATAGTCGCCACGCTTGGCAGGCAGGTTGCCGCAGTTAGGCTTTGGAAATGTTTTAAGAGGAACGCTGCTGCCCATCCCTAGACTGTTAAGCTCTCTTAATCGCCTCTTACGACACCCACGAGGGGTGGCCTATTCTATGCTGGGACCACGCGGCTATAAGCATAAACAATAGATGTTATGTTTTTTTTTTTCAGTTTGTTAATAAAAAAGAATAGACACGCAATATATTTTTTTTATTAATAACATACATACATACATACATATCTGTCACGCCTGTCTCCCATTACGGTAGGCAGAAACAATGGAACGCCAAATGCTACGATTCAAACAAACCTCTTTCGCTTCCTCCACATTCATCAATAAATATTAATAACTTGCATGTTAATTAAAGAGTAAATAAATAGTTACTTCTGTTATCTTCTTGCAGTCGTGTCCAAACATAGAAGATTTGAATTTGAATAAATGCAAGAAGATCACCGACCAGACCTGCCAAGCTCTGGGAAGGAGATGCAACAAACTACAAAGGTATTTATATTTTAGTTTTTATGCAACTTAAAATGGCAAACAAGCTGACGGCCCACCTGATGGAAAGTTGTAACCGTCGCCTATAGACATGATCAGTACCATGGACATAACAGAGTATACTGTTTCGCCCATGATACCCCCCATGCGTTGGTATTCCTGAGGACTCGGGTGTTATTCCTCTGTACCCTGAATATACAAAAATTAACCCTTCTTTGCATGATTCTGTTTATTGGTGAAATAAATCAAGGTGATATAATTCATGTACAAAATTAAAGGAAAAATGATTAAAAAAATAAATTTGACAGCTATGTTTTTTTTTTGGGCAATGAACATTAAAAGGTATCCAGACACGATCAACTTGAAGTGAACTTGTTCTTTTATATAATTTTTTGGCATACAATGTTATATGATGGAAATTTCCACCATTATGCAAAGTAGTTTTTGCGTGATAGAATAACAAACATCTGTCCACTGTTACAAACTTTTGCATTTGAATGTATGAATGAATGAATGGTTTATTTTTCTCTTCGCAAAAGGTAGTAAAAATAACTGCTCGAGGTACAATTAAACATGTGAGACTAGTCGTGTATGAGTTATTATATTAATTTTTTTTTTTTTGTATTTCCAGAATAAATCTAGACTCGTGTCCAAGTATAACGGATATATCATTAAAGGCTCTCTCAGACGGCTGTCCGGTGAGTTTAAAAATAATTCTTTTATGGTTCTTGCTGAAAAACAGCGCTGTAGCGCTTCAAGCGCTGCAGCAATATGCTGAGCACGGACCTACATCACAGAACATTGCGACACACGCGCGCGCACGCGTACATTATAATTTAATTGCTATCTATTTGTATATAATTATTATTTTCTTTTGTTTGTTTTGTTTTTGATTTCTTTTGTTCTTGTTTTGTGCGCTACTGTGTGGGCCGCATGCTTCTTTTGATTAAATTATTTCTTTCTTATTTCTTATGTTGATAATAATAATATATATGTATGTATAATATTTTATTTTTCATACAACTTAGAATAGCAAACAAGCTGACGGCCCACCTGATGGAAAGTGGCAACCGTCGCCTATAGACATGAGCAGTACCGTGGACATAACAGAGTATACTGTTTCGCCCATGATACCCCCCATGCACTGCCATTCCTGAGGACTCAGATGTTATTCCTCTGTACCCAGTAAATTCACGCCATATCCCACCCTTCAAACCTAAACACAGCCATGCAAACACAACTGCTTCACGGTTGAAACGCGAATGTGACAGAGGTACCCATGCAATCGACTTTTGTACAAAGTCTCCCTCTGGTAAATTATATATATATATATATATATATATATATATATATATATATATATATATATATATATATATATATATATATATATATATATATACGAGGTCTGTCCGGAAAGTTCGTATAAAAGTGTTCTGGAATGCGAGAAAGAGGAGTGGGGAGGCCAGGTAAGCGCAGGACCCCTTCCTTATGTCCCTAACAATGCTTCAGTTCTGGTCTGACCGCCGTGCGGTGCGAACTGGCTTGTCACGCCATCTGTGAAGTTACCTCTTAACGAAACCCCGTCGGCATGGAGCCTGCTTCCGTTGAAGAGCAGCGCGTCGTAATCAAGTTTCTCTCGAAACTCGGCAAGAATGGCCGTGAAATTTTTGCCGATCTAATTCGATAAGACATCCGGGGAACCACGAACAAAAAAATCAAGAAAATCCCGCTCAAATGTCAAGACAATGTTGATTGTTTTTTTCGATGTTCGGGGGATTGTCCATCAAGAATTCGTCCCTCCAGGCCAGACAGTTGATGGAAAATTCTACGTCGATGTGCTCAGACGCCTCAAAGCTCGTGTGGCACGAGTTCGTCCAGAATTGGCGCGAGAGGGGCGTTGGATTCTTCACCACGACAATGCCCCTGCCCACACCTCTCTTGTTGTCCGTGAGTTTTTGAGTAAAAATTCCATTACGGTGACCGAACACCCCCCCTATTCGCCGGATTTGGCCCCGTGTGACTTCTTCTTGTTCCCAAAAACCAAATTGGTACTTCGGGGGCGGCATTTGGGGGACATAAATGAGATAAAAAAAGCTACGACGGGGCAGCTGAGAAACCTACAACCAGAGGACTTTCAAGGAGCCTTCTCACAGTGGAAACGGCGTTGGCACAAGTGCATTATGTCACAGGGGGAGTACTTTGAAGGGGATAAAATTGATTTACCTGAATAATTGTAAAATAAAATTTTTAAAAAACTTTTATACGTACTTTCCGGACAAACCTCGTATACACCCTGTAAGGGACAGGTTGGCAAAAACTGAAACAATGAATTCAGACATGAACCCTGACAATAAACTAAACACCAGTGGAAATTCTTTCAGGACATCTTCAAATTTTATACATTTTCTATTCTATTCTACGTTCTTGAGGGTACATAGAAATATCCAACTTGGTTTTATGTCAGGGGAGTGAATACGTGTGCTCTGACAAATTTAACATTCCCTTTTTTTTTAACGTCTGGAAAATGCTTTATGCAGACCTATACACCTTGTGGGAGGTGAATGGGTACTGTGAGAATCCCCCCACAGAATAAGGTGGGGGTGTACCCACCAAAAACCAGACGATATACCCTCGAGGTGCCATATGTCGGAGACATGGGTTCGCTTTCGCACTCACCACATCTCCGACGGCAGCGACCCGCCCCCTGATGGTAAGAGTAGGTCTTCTCTCAAGATAGGGTGGCTGGCGTGCTCACCCTACCACTCGGGGGATGCTCCGGTATATTAGCACATCCCCCAGAACCATTGGGACAATACCTTCCCACAGATATCACCCCGGCCCCAGTGGGGAAGGAGGAGAGGCGGAACTGAGCACGCCCCTTCTGCGTCTGACTCGTCTGCGGCGGATTGATAATGCGAGAGGGGCACTCTCCCGCTCCCTTTCCGCCGCCTCCTTCTGCGACATGACGGCATCGCAGAAGGCGAGCATCGCTTCCCACGATCTCTCACTGCTCACCATCCGCCGAACCACGGCGTGCAAATTTAACATTCCCTGGCCGTTACATATTACTATATACATAAGAGTGATATTTGAACATTTGTCAACAGTTGCTGACGCATGTAAACGTGTCGTGGTGTCAGTCGATAACGGAGAACGGCGTGGAAGCGCTGGCCAGGGGCTGTCCCAAACTGAAGAGCTTCATCTGTAGAGGTATGTCTAGTGGCGCCTGGCCCCTGCCTATAATGGGCCATCCCTTCCTTTTCGAAGGGCAAGGGATTGTTCGCGATGAGGATTTAACAGACCTATTGCTGGCAATACACCATTGGGGGGAAAGGGATTGTTAGCAATGGAGTTTGACAGCCCCATTGCTAGCAATATACCCTATCAGGTCGACCTCCACGTGCTTCTCCCTGGAAACCGTCGTGACTAATTTATCGTTGAATTCGTCATGATAGGCTGACTTGCCTTTTACCTTCCCTATCATCTTTCACTGGTCTCCCGCCAGTGTATACCAATAACGCACGCGGGGTTACCATGACATTTTTATCTATTAAAATACACCCTATCAGGTCGACCTCCACGCGGTTCCCCCTGGAAACCATAGTAGTTTCTTTTTTCAATTGGTTCAATTCAACTGACCTGCCTTCATCCTCACTTGTCACCCTTCACTGGTAACCCGCCAGCGTAAACCGATAGCGCAGGCGGGGTTACCATTCCATTAAAAAAAAACCTCTTTCCCGTGGGTGCCGTAAGAGGCGACTAAGGGAATATAACGGCCTAGACTCTAGACCATTATATTTCCTGCTGACTCTAGACTCTAGAGCAGTATTCCCAAACTTTTTTGTGCCATGCCCCACATGAACAGTTCTAAAATTTTTATGCCCCCATACATAATTTTTCCCGACAAAGTTTACTTGACGACTCTAATCGCCCAGTTGATATTTTGGTAACGTCAAACGAAATTGTACCTAATAAATATTTACAGCAATTTTTTTTATTTGTTAAATTTGGCATCGATATCTACTCGTAGCATTGCATTTTAATGGCATGGAGCAAGAGGATTAAAATCGATTCGAGTTCATTTTTAATTGCCCCCTCTCCCCCCCCCCCCCCCCCTTAAACTATCAAATTGCCCCTCTGTGGGCATGCAAACGATTTTTGTAAAGTGTTCCTCTGGTATTTTTTTTTTATAATTTAACATGGACATATAAATTTTGAAATAAATGTCATTTATATGGATTTATTTATATTGCAGGTTGCAAGAATGTAAATGACAAAGCCGTATCGTGCCTAGCTACGTACTGTCCGGACCTTGAGGTGCTCAACGTGCAGGGCTGTGATGTAAGTGATTTATCTAAGAACAGCACAGGGTTGGACAGTGTGTCAAAGAATTACTTGTAATTTAAACACTGGAAAGAAAATCAACGACTATCAAAACGTTTATTACGTCTAGATAGAAAAAAACCTCAAAATAATGATAGGGACAATAACGGGCCACTGTCCATTAAACAAACATTTATACACAATAAGAGCCACAGACAGCCCTCTATGTCGAGGCTGTTTCGACGCCGAAGAAACGGCTGCTCAATGTGAGGCTGTGGCCCATCGACGTTTAGAAATCCTCGGCACGGTGAGGTCGCTCCGTAAGGACTGTGAAGAACCCAGGAAGCTTTTGCGCTTCTGGACGGAGCTGGGCTGGCTGCACTAGCCACGACTCATACGCACAACGGTCCAAATGAGAGGCTAAACGCGGAAAATAGAGTCCTTTTCACATCACATCTCGGAAGCTTAGAAGCTGTAAATAATAGCTGACTCCAAGGATTAAATCACCTAAAATCCTGATTGTTTTCAGAAAATCACTCCTTAAATTACACGTTTCCTTTCCCATGAGTATCATTAGAGGTGACTAAAGAGGTCAAGGCCATCCCTTGACCGGACAGCAGGCAGGCAGCAGCATCTCCCTTAAAACATCTCCAAATTCTAACCGTGCCTTCCAAGCGTGACCCCTATTGCCAAAATTTACTTTGAATTTGGCGTGAATTTACAGAGTACAGAGGAATAACACCTCAGGAATCCTCAGGAATGGCAACGCGTAGGGGGTTTCATGGGCGAAACAGTATACTCTGTTATGTCCACGGTACCGCTCATGTCTATAAGCGACCACTTTCCATCAGGTGGACTGTCAACTTGTTTGCCATTCTAAGTTGTATAAAAAAAAAATTAAAAAAAAACCTTATGGGGGAGGCTATGTTCGGCAGTGGACAGTTGACAGCTGATAGCAGTGGGGCTGTTAGTCGGTTTTTTTTTTATAAGATAATGTAATGGTAACCCTGCCTGCGCTGTATACACCGGCGGGGCACCAGTCAGGGATAATAGGTGAGAATGAAAGCAGGCCAGTTGCCACATCGTGACGAAATTCATAAAGAATTAATCAACTTGGTTCCCAAGAGGAACTGCAAGGAAATCTACCTTAGGGGTTAAATTGCTGGCAACGGGGCCACTAGTCCTGATCACTAACAATCCCTCAGCCCCCTCCTCATTTTAAGCTGTCGTCTACCTACAGAGCCTGACGGACGAGTCGATCTGCAAGCTGGGCGGCAGCATGAGGCGGCTGTGCGTGTCGGGCTGCGGCCGCCTTACGGACGCAGCGCTGGCGGCGCTGGCGGCGCACTGCCCCGACCTGGTCACCCTCGAGCTGGCGCTGTGCAGCCACCTCACCGACGCTGGCTTCCAGGCGCTCGCCAGGGTGAGTTACTTATTTTCATCCACCAGGTGCAGTTGAAACGCGGCCTGGTTACGGGAGCTGGTGCATGACACTCGCCAGGGTTAGATGACCATCCAGTAGGTATGCAGGTCCAGCATACCGTATGATGCCACTGCCCCGCCCTAGTGACCCTCGAACTCACGTCTGACGCTCACCAAGAGTGAAATGATCTGGTCTCACCTATTATAATTTGAGCATGAACAAGAACACTACCAGAGGGAGACTTTGCACAAAAGTCGTTTGCTTGGCCACCTCTGTTCCATTCGTGTTTCCACCGTGAAACAGTTGTGTTTGCATGGCTGTGTTTCTGTTTGAAGGGTGGGATATGGCGTGAATTTACAAGGTACAGAGGAATAACACCTGAGTCCTCAGGAATGGCAACGCATGGGGGGTATCATGGGTGAAACAGTATACTCTGTTATGTCCACGGTACTGTTCACGTCTATAGGCGATGGTTACCACTTTCCATCAGGTGGACCGTCAGCTTGTTTGCCATTCTGAGTTGTCTGAAAAAGAAACACTTCTCAAACAAATGAATTCAATTGTGAACGCACCAATAAACTATGAAATATTTCGTAGATGTACCTACATTGTAAATTTTGCATGTTCACATACAGATTTTGCTTTGCAATAAGCAGTTTTTTGCTCCACAAAGAAAGACAGCAGCTTCAATAAGATTAGATGACATAATGGTATCTACACTAACATTATAAAGAGGAAAGATTTAGTTTTTCCCCATTGTGATTTGTTACCAGTTAATTGTATACATAGGCCCCCATAAGGGGGTTTTTGTAGTAGCCACGCTTGGCGGACAGGTTGGTAACAGCAGTCATCAAGCTTTGGTGATGTTTTAAAAGGGATGCTGCATCCCATCGCTCGATCGTTAAGTTCCCTTAGTCGTCTTTTATGATACATACGGTGAAGGAAGAGATGACCCGTTCTATGCCGGGACCACATGGCAAAAAGTATATGTAACATATATATCTTGTTTTAGTAAAATTCATATGAATGAATTGTGCAGAGCTGCCGCCTGCTGGAGCGTATGGACCTGGAGGAGTGCGTGCTGATCACGGACGCTACCCTGGTGCACCTCGCGATGGGCTGCCCCAGGCTAGAGAAATTGGTGAGGGAATATACTGTACTTTGAGATGTGAATGGGTAATCGTCAATCGACTATACATTCGGCATATTGGGGACGTTCCAAGTAACGTAAAGCAATTATTGGCGATTTTTAACCCCCCCCTCCCTCCTTATGTAACTGTCTCCCCACCCCCCATTTTTAAACGTTACATGACACTTAGGCATACACAAAAAGGGTTGCAAACTTGGGAGATTTTAGTCCTCTAGTTTTTTATTTGAATAAAAAAATTTTTTTATTCCCGAATCCCCCTCCCCCTCCTCTAACGCGTCATAACGTTTTCCAAAACCCCCAACTTCCTCCCCACTTCTCCCAAATTACATTACGTTACGTAATATTTAAATCTATTCATTGAGAGGGAGACTCAGTCATGTTCTCGGATACTGCTGTCCCATATTATGTAACCCCGCCTGCGCTATCGGTATACACTGGCGGGGCACCAGCGAGGGGTGACAGGTGAGGATTAAGCAAGTGAGGGTCAATCGGCCCATTGTGACGAATTTAAGAATAAATTAATCACGATGGGATTTATAGGGGAAACGCGCTATAATTACTATTGGATTAACAAGCACTTTTAAACCGTAATTTTTTAATCTACTGCAGCGTTCGGAAGGTCGTTATCTGTTGTGAAGAGCCCGCGAGAAACTCAACAGTTACTCTTTTAAATCTCTGTTAACATTACGTGTATTTATTTAAACACATAAAACTATACACAAAAAATTATAATAACACAATAAATAATCTAAAAATCTTAATTTGTACAAAAGTCGTTTGCTTGGCCACCTCTGTCCCATTCGTGTTTCTACCGTGAAGCAGTTGTGTTTGCATGGCTGTGTTTCGGTTTGAAGGGTGGGATATGGCGTGAGTTTACAGGGTACAGAGGAATAACACCTGAGTCCTCAGGAATGGCAACGCATGGGAGGTATCATGGGCGAAACAGTATACTCTGTTATGTCCATGGTACTGCTCATGTGTATAGGCGACGGTTACCACTTTCCATCAGGTGGGCCGTCAGCTTGTTTGCCATTCTAAGTTGTATAAAAAAAAATTAAAATAAATTTAAAAATAATATAATTTTAAACTAACATTCAATCAAAACCATTCTCACGTTCCATACCCGATCCAAAGGTCCTTATAGGGACCTTTGGATCGGGTATTTATTTATTCATTAGTACAAATATGTGTACATGGCGGACTTAATGCTAGAAGCATTCTCTACCAGTCAACCGTAGGCAAGTGTCAGAATACTCGAATGCGGTACTAGTAATTATTGATATACATACATACTAAAATTACATATATAAACGAATAAATATATATAAATAACAAATATACTTACACATATATGGTATGCAGCATTTCCACATTGGATTGCCAGAGATGTCTGTTTAAATGGTAAACTCTCCCCCCTAAGATTACTGGGTACGGCGATGTAACATGCAGACATCTGGCTGGTGGATTCTGAGGTTAACAACTTTCTAAGACGATTACCACTTGTTTTTCATTTTTTTATACCACTGAGGCTGCAAACAAGCATGCGGCCCACCTGATGGTAAGCGGTTACCGTAGCCTATGAACGCCTGCAATACCAGAGGTATTACGCGCGCGTTGCCGACCCTGAAGAAACCTCTTTACCTCCCTTTTGAAGAACCCCATGCTGTAGTCTCTTGGGAAAACTTTGTGGGCCTTTTTTTCGCCATTCGAAATATCATAAAGTGTATCGTGTCCTCCCCCAGACGCTGTCCCACTGCGAGCTGATAACGGACTACGGCATCCGGCAGCTGTCCATGTCACCGTGCGCTGCTGAGCATCTCACTGTACTAGGTCGGTTTGACTTTTGAACTGTCCACTGCTACACATAGACTCCTCTGTAAGTGGGGTTTGCCAGTAGTTGCCACGCTTGGCAGCCGGATTGGCAACCGCAGTTTGGCTTTGGAGATGTTTTAAGAGGGACGTTGAGCAGCAACTTCGCTCTCCTTTAGTCGCCTCTTACAACTTTGCATGTTCGTCCATCAATGCCTCAATTGCTGGCCACTGCAGTAATGTACTATTAAAGTATCTTTTTTTTTTATTTTTTTTTTTTCAATCAATTTAAAAAAAAGAGGTCTAAATTTGGCTGTATTTTTTTTATGTTTGTTACCTACCTAATAACTCCGTTAGTTATAAACCGATTTGGAAAATACTTGTTTTTTTTTTTTTAACTTAAAGGATATACTTACAGATTGGTGCCATAGAAATTTTATCAAAATTGGTTCCATGGTTTAGTTTTTAATATCCTTCTCCGCCCCATATAGTATGTGTATACCTTATTTCATTGCAGTGGTCCCGGCATGGAATAGACCACTCCTTCCTTTCCCGTGGGTGTCGTAAGAGGCGACTAAGGGAGGGCAAGGGATGGACAGCAGTGTCCCTCTTAAAACATCTCTAAAGCCTAACTGCGGTTGCCAATCCGCCTGCCAAGCGTCGCTACTACTGGCAAAACCCCCCAAAGGGGGAGGCTTATGTTCATTTCATAGTAATTGATTAAGCCATTATAAAGATAATAAAAGTACATAAAGGAAGTAACATATGTTTTTCCTTTCATGCTTGTGCCATAACAAGACAAAACGGTCACAACTCAGTTTAATTAAGGCTGCTCACGTAATCCTGGAATGTGAGGCTGTGGCCCATCAATGTTTAGAAATCCTCGGCACGGTGAGGTCGCTCCGTGAGGCCTGTGAAGAACCCAGGAAGCTTCTGCGCTTCTGGACGGAGCTGGGCTGGCTGCACTAGCCACGACTCATACGCACAACCGCCCAAATGAGAGGCTAAGCGCGGAAAATAGAGTCTTTTTCACATTCACATTCTCAGTTTATTATTATTGTTTTGCCCTCAAAGGAGCAAAAACTGATAATCTTACAAATAACGTCCCTCGTTCAGGACTGGATAACTGTCCGCTGGTGACGGACGGAGCGCTGGAGCACCTGACTTCCTGCAATAATCTTCAACTGATAGAGCTGTACGACTGCCAGCTGGTCACCAGGAACGCCATCAGGAAACTCAGGGTGAGTGCTGTAATGCCTAAGTAAACAACGCTTGGAATATTAAACTTTTGGTCTCTCTCTCCCCTATATCTTTCTCTACGCTCTCTTTCTCCTCGCTTTCTCTCTCTTTCTATCCTCTCTCTCCCCTCTTACCTCTTGCTCCCTATCTTTCTCTTGGTTTTCCTCTCTCGGTATTCCTCTCCTCTTTCTCTTGGTCTTCCTCTCTCTTGCTCTCTATCTCCTCTCTCCCTCTCTCTCTATCTCCTCTCTCCCTCTCTTTCTATCTCCTCTCCCTCTCTTTCTATCTCCTCTCCCTCTCTTTCTATCTCATCTCCCTCTCTTTCTATCTCCTCTCCCTCTCTTGCTATCTCCTCTCCCTCTCTTTCTATCTCCTCTCCCTCTCTTTCTCTATCTCCTCTCTCCCTCTCCGTCTCTATATCCTCTCTCTTCTCTTTATCTCTTGCTCTTCCTCTCTCTTGCTCTCTATCTCCTCTCACCCCCTCTTCCTGTTATAAGCCCTCGACTTGTGAGTTCAATTCGCACATGACCGATTTCTTAGTTTACGAAGCATAACTTACGTCTGCCAATAATATATTGTGTCCCTTCCAGAACCACTTACCAAACATCAAGGTGCACGCGTACTTCGCGCCGGTGACGCCCCCTACAGGTGGCGGCGGCGCGCGGCCCCGCTACTGTCGCTGCTGCAATATCATATGAGGGGGGGCGGAGGTATGTCTAACAACGTTCTGTTATACATTATAATACATAATCCGAGATATCGCTCAACCGATTTTAATGACATTTTGTAAACTGACCTTGTAACTGACCTGCTTCATTCTCACCTATCATCTTTCACTGGTGCCCTGCCGGTGTATACCGAGAGCGCGGGCGGGGTTACCATTTCATTATCACCTATAAAAAAAACACACCCACGGGAAAGGAAACGATAGCCCATTCTATGCCGGGACCACACGGCGGATATTTATTTATTTAAATATATTATTTCTATTTTCAGATTGAAATATCGTAAGCAGCCAACTGCTTTTCGTCCTATCCTCATCGCGGGATGAGAAACTCCGGTCATCGGACACCCAACCAGAAATATTGCATTTACTATGGCCTCGGTTTGTGGCCATAATTGACAATGGTGGCCTCAGTACGCCTCAAATAGCCTGTTCTGTAGAATTTAATAATGTTTGTAAGTCAGTCAACTAAAATCTTACAGAGATATCACTGTAAGAAGCTGAATATATATTCCGTACTGCTGGATTTTATTCCGTACTGCTGGATTTTATTGTGTACTGCTGGATATTATCCCGTACTGCTGGATTTTATTCTGTACTGCTGGATATTATTCTGTCTCCATTAAAGGAGGATTTTTTCATTATATATCCTACCATTACTGGCCACGCGCTTTGGTATAGTATGTTATTTAGAATTTTCCATATCATGGGTGTACTAAACTATGTTTTGTTCACTTATTCACCTAATGATATTCCGGTGACGAAAAGGAATAGTGACATATCATGTTCCTACTTCGTCACCACACTACATTTATAATATTAAATACCACTTAACATAATTCATAGCGCACAACGCCATCTAGTTTCGAACTGAGCAAAGCTTGGGTACTGGACAACTGATAAAAATACTGTTTTGTTATTTCAACAACGTATTCATATAATTATTTCTGGTTGGGAGGGGCAAGGGGGGAAGATAACGAATTTTCGAAAGCGACACGCGACTTAGTTGTACGCATGTAGATACCAGCCTTATTAACAAATAGATAATAATATTAAATGATATTGACAACGGTTAGATTGATAGAAGCGAGCCTCTTATGTATATATTAAAAACAAACCTATTTTTACAATTGTCATGTTTTCCAAATTTAAAATTTGGCGCTAAAAAGAAAAAGCAAACTTCAATAGCTAAAAATAGGTTTAAAAACTGCTGTGAATATGTATTAAATACATAAAAATATATTACGTGTAAGTCGTTTATTTATTGGACAATAAATATTAAATAGTTTGTACATAACAGTTTCATATTGGAATGTCTTCTCGTTTCATATTTAATTTAATTAGAGCTTGATTTTTCAGTCAAGTTTAATTTTTTTTTATTTTTTTTTTTAATAGCCTAAGTTTTCTGTATTATACAACATGAGAATTTTTTAAGAGCACAGTAGAAGGAAACATAGAGGGCAAAAGAGGAAGGAGAGGACTGAAGGGATAACTACATGGGACAGATAAAGGAAACACTAGGTGTAATGTCGTATAGGGAGGTCAAAGATATGGCCTGTGGGATAGAGCTGGCTGGAAGAGGATGCATGAATTTGTTGCACCGATAGGAGGAAACTCTTAAATGGAAAGAGGTTCGATATATTATAGTGTACCAAAGAAATATTCCACCTTCGTAACTATACATAGTCGCGAAAGCGGAATCGTGTTACGAAATTAATTGGAAACTGGGAAAATCGTAATTTTGAAATTTTTATTTTATTCAATTTTTAATTAAAAATTATTGGAAACTATAATGAAATTTAAAGTTTTTTTTTTTTATTTATTTTTTAGAGTCGTAATAAATTTAATACATTGAACGCTTGTATCAATCTAATCGTGTTAAGTAATTTATTTTAACAAATGCCTTATTACTGTACGTACACGCGGTGTGTGTGAAGCGTTAACCTTTTTTTTTATTTCCCATCAAATCACAGTATCTGTCATTCGCAAAATCATTTCAAGTGTGAAAAACATGTTGATTCTAAATTACAATTAAACGCCAATTGGCGTCTAATAGAATGTTTCCTTTTTTAATTTGAAAAAATAACTTTTTTTTTTGTATTTTTATCTGGACAATTTTGTGCCTGAAATGTGTAATTTAAATTTGTAATTTCTTACATTCACATGAAAAATTTATGAAAGGTCATAGCGTTTACAAAATACAGTGTGTATGTACAGTGACTTATTCGCTATGCCGAATTTGTACTCTTAATATGGACGGAAAGACGATTAGGTCTTATAGACGTACGAGAGCACGTCTGTGCGGTTAAATAAATAAATAAAAAAAGAACATAGTCATTAGAAAAATTGGTGAAGTTTTTTTTCTACGAAAGTGATTTTTTAATTTTGTATAATTGTAATAATAGAACCGCCATCGTAACTGAGGCGATTGTAATGATAATAATTATAATAGATTACAGGATCGCTGGTTCGATTCCTGTTTACAATTGTAAGTTACATTTAGTTATTGTAAGTTAACAAACTTACAATAAATTGCGTCCGAAAAATAGGACGTGGCGTCGCTATGCCGATTCATATTTCAGTTAAAATAAAACGGTGGAACATATCAAATTAAAATAAATATTTATACGGAAACACGTATAAATATATCGCTAAACGTGTTTGTGGTGTGATGTGTATTTTTTTCTAGAATATTCTAGAAGTATTAGGTTCCAACCTTAGATTATATAGGTAGAGCGTCGACCCTCAAAAACGGCTCAACTGTTTGTCAGCTAATTGTCAAATTATCTGACTCGTTTGTTGTATCAGTGTTCTATATACTTACGCACACAATGTACCTTGACGTGTCTATATTTAATTATTTAATAAATAAATTGAGTTGTTACATAAAAAAGATGCAGGAATTATAAGACAAAATAAATATAGAAGTTATAAAGGAATCACTCGGTAACTATTTATCACGCAAAATTGTATGAAAAAGTTGATCAATTTTTCTCGTATCATTTGTATGGAGACACTCTATCTATATAATTTTCCAGGGTTACATATGCCTTTCTGTTGATAGTTTCATGGCCGCGAGAACCAAAAGATATTCGAACTTGAAAGAGTGAAGATTTCTTTTATATGTCTTTATCAATAAAACTAAATGATAACGTAAACTATGGAGTAATCGACCCGGCCGCAAGACAGGCCACTGATGTCCAGCAGTGGTACATATATAGTTATAGTATATTTTATGTACGTAAAAATATATTAATCCCCTCTCGCGCCACCTGCCCACTTCTATCTGCTCTTTAACCAAAGGTTGTCTGTAAGAGATTGCCCTAGCGATAAGACTGCCTTTTGTACCTTTATGTGTATATTTCAATCTGTATTTATGTTACTGTATTTCATTTGAATTATTCACTTGTCATTGTATATTTTTGTTTATGGTGCAATAAAGAGTTAATAAATAAATACTACAAATCAAACGTCGATCAAGCAATTGGACGTTTGGATTTGTCATTGATTACATATAGTGTTCCTGGGATAATACCGACAAGACTGGGTTACATTCTCAAATATTTGTATTGGAAGAACCTATAAAATATGGGTGGGCAATATATAGCAATATCTATATATTTCAGCTACAATATCTATGTACTGGTTCAATAACGTATATATTAAAAGTCTGTTATACAAAAAATTATATTGGATAACAGACTTTTAACATATTCGAAAATAGATATCCGACCGATATGGGCGATATCGTGACGGCTGATGACCTTTTTCCGCCATCAATGTGCAGAGAAACCCAATATATAGATACCGGAACGGTATCCATATTATCGGTATCCATGACTTATATGAAGTCGTCTATTCTCTGTTTACGTTACAATCTTCTTTAATTGTAAAAATAGTAACCAGACTGGATTACGTGTGTTTTTGTAAAGTAAATAACCGGATTTATTATTTTTACAATTAAATATATATATATATATATATATATTCTTTATTGCACAAAAACATACAGTAACAACAATAAGTTAATAACAATGTTAGCAAAGGCGAACTTATCTCTAAAAGAGATTTCTTCCAGTCAACCTAACGCAGTGGCATAGGAAGTAGTGAGTGGGCAGTAGTAGTGCAAGACAGAAATTTAAATAAATATTTAGATAAATTATAAATAATTATATATATACACACATGCATTCACATATATACATACATACACATACACATATATATACATATACACATACGAGGTCTGTCCGGAAAGTTCGTATAAAAGTGTTCTGGAATGCGAGAAAGAGGAGTGGGGAGGCCAGGTAAGCGCAGGACCCCTTCCTTATGTCCCTAACAATGCTTCAGTTCTGGTCTGACCGCCGTGCGGTGCGAACTGGCTTGTCACGCCATCTGTGAAGTTACCTCTTAACGAAACCCCGTCGGCATGGAGCCCGCTTCCGTTGAAGAGCAGCGCGTCGTAATCAAGTTTCTCTCGAAACTCGGCAAGAATGGCCGTGAAATTTTTGCCGATCTAATTCGATAAGACATCCGGGGAACCACGAACAAAAAATCAAGAAAATCCCGCTCAAATGTCAAGACAATGTTGATTGTTTTTTTCGATGTTCGGGGGATTGTCCATCAAGAATTCGTCCCTCCAGGCCAGACAGTTGATGGAAAATTCTACGTCGATGTGCTCAGACGCCTCAAAGCTCGTGTGGCACGAGTTCGTCCAGAATTGGCGCGAGAGGGGCGTTGGATTCTTCACCACGACAATGCCCCTGCCCACACCTCTCTTGTTGTCCGTGAGTTTTTGAGTAAAAATTCCATTACGGTGACCGAACACCCCCCCCTATTCGCCGGATTTGGCCCCGTGTGACTTCTTCTTGTTCCCAAAAACCAAATTGGTACTTCGGGGGCGGCATTTGGGGGACATAAATGAGATAAAAAAAGCTACGACGGGGCAGCTGAGAAACCTACAACCAGAGGACTTTCAAGGAGCCTTCTCACAGTGGAAACGGCGTTGGCACAAGTGCATTATGTCACAGGGGGAGTACTTTGAAGGGGATAAAATTGATTTACCTGAATAATTGTAAAATAAAATTTTTAAAAAACTTTTATACGTACTTTCCGGACAAACCTCGTACACATACATATACATACATACATACACACGTTAAATACAACATATAAATATCAGATACAAGAGAACACAATGATGACAGTCCTCTAATCATTTTTATATTTAAATTAAATTGGAAAGATAAAATGATTTTAATCTTTTTTTGAAGGAACTGCTAGACGAGCTATTCTGAATATTCACGGGAAGTTTATTCCACAGCTGTACAGCACGATATGCAAATGAGTTACCCATAAAATGGGTTTTACAGCTTTAAATAATAAATTTTGTAACATTTTTTTTTGTTTTTATTAAAGAAAGACATATGTAACATTCTGTTTGGACACATGGTGACCACAATTACAATTGTGGAAGTTACAAACTCGGCATATCGAAACATTTACAATTGTTTCACCGGAATAGGTAAAGCAAATTTACTTTGTAACAATAATATATCAAGGTTAGTGTCTTGTTGCATCTATTATTTTACTAAGGGACGTATTACACTATCATATATATATATATATATATATATCTATATATATATATATATATATATATATATATATATATATATAGTGTAGCAATTAGCTATAAGCTAACCGCTCGGTAGCTTCCCACAGGGATCGCAGGTACGATTCTTGCGTCTGACTGTTACCATGGACCCATGGAGGCGGGTTATTTTTTGTAACTTTTTTTTTTTCAAATGTGACACGACACTAAACTGTTAATACATAATAAGAACTAACTATGTATTCTTAGTTTAAAATAAGACTGTTATGTAAAGACCGATCAGAACATACACTTTATTTGTTTATTCATTAAAACTCCACTATCCTGTTATATATTTATTTTAATAAATAATAAATAAATCTATTTCAGGTACATAGATAGATAGATACTCTTTATTGTTCCCTCCAGAAGATTACAATAGTAAACTTATTATAGATACAAACAATTACAAGAAATGATCACAATGAGAAAACAATGGGCGACCTTATCGCTAAGAGCGATCTCTTCCAGGCAACCTTTGGATGGAGAGGAGTAATTATAAACAGTTTGATCGGAGGCACGATGAAATTCTATTACTTGTAAATATGGAGATGTAATAATGTAATCCATAGTTTACATTCACTATAATAATAATTTCATCATCATCATCATTCAGCCTTTAACCGTCCACTGATGAACATAAACCTCCCTCTTGGGGGGTTTTACCAGTATTTGCCACGCTTGGCAGGTGTATTGGCAACTACAGTCAGGCATGTGAGTTAAAATAGCAAATAAATCATGAACCCTGTTCTCTGCGAACATGCCACATACACTGAATCGCCATGGCAAGTTGAGTATCGCTCGGAATGAGTTAAACTTTTGTCAATGTGAATTAGTAATATTGGCGTGCAAAGTGCTATTGTTTGTTATTAACACTGTAAAAATATCAAGTTATTTTTTTTTTTTACAATTTTAGTAAAACAAATTAGTTTTTATATAACTAAAAAACTTCAATCAATTTTATTGGAAATTAAACATTGATTCATATGTACAATTCCATCTCTTCTAACTCCTCCCTCTCCCGCCCTCTCCCCCTCCCCACCACTTACCGTCTCTGTCTTCTCTCAAGTGGAGTTATATATATTTATGTATATATGTATCCAACGTTCTGATTGGTCGTTCAATGTGATTTATGTAACTTTTTTATAGAGTGCATCTATTTGTAAGGGTTAACGGTTCTCGAGGCTTTAAGAAGGGGCGCGGTTCGAATCTGACTAAGTTACTATAGTTACAAAACTATAAGACAAATTCACACTGACCGCATGACGAGACCGCGTCGTGCGTCGCGTCTAGTGTGAATCATACTTTATATATTTTGAAATAAAGAATTTGACCAAAATGTTACTTAACGAAATTTTGTTTTTAAAGTAAAATATATTTTATGTATACTTTATTGGCAGTTTTGTTATTACAAGATCAAGGGTTGAACCCTTAACCTTTTTATTAATAAAAAACTAAAACCTACTAACTTATTTTGATATTTTAGTATTGTTATTTTATCTCAAGTCGATAATTTAGAATCAAAAAACAAGACTTCAGTATCAAAAAATGGATTTTTATAGATAAGATGACCTTATCAAGTTTTAAACATATATGTGGATTCAGAAGTCACAAGTAACTTTCACCAAAATACATATCGAAAATATAGTTGGTTTTATGGATGAAAATTAAATGGTAGCATGCTCTATCGGTATACGCTGGCAGGACACCAGTAAGGGATGACAGGTGAGAGCAGGCAGGTCAGTTGACCCTTCGTGACAACCACGTTGATTCGCAGGGATCACATGGAAGTTGACCGGCTAATCTTCGTTAGTGACAATCCTTCTAGTAAACAAAATTATTTTATGTATATTTTAGTGGAAATGATGAGTAAAATATACAGAAGAATGTCAAAGTCGTAAGCATCCTTTGAAGGCATTGTTCTACCATCAAAACTGTATATTCTTTCAAAAATTTTTTTTGGTTTGAAATATAATTTCGAGCCCCTTGCACTAACATGTCGCGTTTATCTGTCAGTGTGGAATGGTTTAACCGTGTCAGTCGTTAAATGACCTCTGTTGAACATAGGCGTCTACTTATGGTGACCTCTGTTGGCTCAACATAGGCCTCTACTAATGGGGGGGGGTTGATAGTAGTTGCCACGCTTGGGAGGCAGATTGGCAAGTAAGGCGTAGTTAGGTTTTGGTGATATTTTAAAAGGGGCACTGCTGCCTATCACCTGAACATTAAGATTCCTTAGTCGCCTCTTACGACACGCACGGGAAAGGAAGGGGTGGTCCATTCTATGCCGGGACCACATAGCAAACGCTTTAAATATTTGCTTATTTTGACCTTTGGGTAAAATGATCACTTTCGTTGGTAAAACACTCTTCGAAGGGTGCTTACTATTTCGACTTCAAACATTGAGGTTAATGTAAAGGATTCCAAAGAAGATTCGAATCTTGCCCCTAATCTGTTTGACTGTTTATCTGTATATATGTATCTAATATTCATTATAATAATTAAAGTAACCCATTCCTTAAAACTAGTGTTAGTATTCATTAATAAAGTCATTAATTTTTTTTTTTCTAATAGTAAAATCTTTTTTTTTTTATACAACTTAGAATGGCAAATAAGCTGACGACCCACCTGATGGAAAGTGGTAACCGTCGCCTACAGACACAAGCATAAAAAAATCAAATTTTCAAAAAAAGAACACCGTATTTGTACCAACAGCACTACATAATATTAAGTTTGTACACACATTGTACTGTGTAGTGCTCTTGATACAAGACACAGCTTTTTTTTTTCGATATTCTTTTTAGTTTATGGTAATACAGTGAACGCTCTATATAAGCAACATTCTTTATATTTTATTTCTTCTACTCAATGTAGTTAGTAAAAGAAATAAGTAAAAATATTTTTTCAGACGGTAAGTATTTTTATACTCCTTTTTCCCCTATAAACAAATTTTCCCAATAAGAAACTTTTTTTTTTTTTATTGAAATTGGTTCAAATCAGTTGTTTATATAGAGCGTTCACTGTATTACCATAAACTAAAAAGAATATCGAAAAAAAAAGCTGTGTCTTGTATCAACAGCACTACACAGTACAAGGTGTATACATACCCTAATATTATGTAGTGCTGTTGGTACAAATATAGTGTTCTTTTTTTGAAAATTACTTTTTTTTTATTACAAATAAAAACAAGTTTTCTTTTTTCGAATTTTTTTTTTTATTACAAATATTTTTCTATGAATTGTTTTCTGAGATAATATTAACACTTAACGTACGGGTCGAATCTGCTCTGTTTTAGTTTCAGGGAATTTTTAAGGGAAATTAAATAAACATGAATGTATGTACTTAAAGCGCTGTAACCACAATCAAGCTTTATTAAATCAATAATATTTCATAATAGTATATATTGAAGCGTTTAGTATTTTCTAAGCGTGTTATATATTGTAAAATATTCAATGGAAGGTATGCAGTGAAAAAACGTAAATTTACAGGGTGCGTCCGTTAAATGTTAATGAATATTAACACAAATTGTAAGGAATGGGTAACGTTAACATACTGTATTATATACAGGGTGATAATTGAAAACAGTATTGTTATAAGGGACTGTTCTATCAATGAAACTACATTTATATGTCTGCCCAAAAAATAGGTTGTAATATTTGAGTATGTTTAACTCGCCATAACTTCTAAACGCCTGAACAGATTTGGATGTATGTATGCATATCGTTAGAATCTTTACGTCCTCCCAAATTACATTGGCTATAATTTTAAATAAATTCTTAGAAGGCAATCGTGTTTTATATATATATATATATATATATATATATATATATATATATATATATATATATATATATATATATATATATATATATATATATATATATATATATATATATATGCAAAGTAAAATGTACTTGTCACCTAAGATATAGGTCGGTGGAGGACCAAATCATTTTAGCCTCCCATACTGACACAACCTGTCAAATTGTCAGTATGGAAGACTCAAAATTGTTTGTAATTCTTCAATCCATATTTCTTTTAATGAAAAAGTTAAGTTTCGACGGTAGAACGCTCCCTTCAAACGACATCAGCCTGTTTAAGTAGGTAATAAAAGGAGTTTTGCAAATATGAAGACGACGACGAAGACGGGTTCAGTACATTATATATTTACTATATGTAAACATAGAGTGAAACTCGTACATATGTATTTTCGCATCTACATCTGAAGGTAAGGTAAATAATATAATAAGAAACATTATGTATAAGCTTTTATTAAAATGAATTATTAAAAATGTACAACTGTTTTTTATAATGTTTTATTTAATCATCATCATCATCATCATCACCATATCGCGCCGTGTGGTCCCGGCATAGAATAAGCCATCCCTTTCCTGTAGGTGGCGTAAGAGGTGGCTAAGGAGGGCGAGGGATGGGCAGCAACGTCTCTTTGAAAACAACGATAAAAGACTTACTGCGTTTGCCCAGCGTGGCTATTACTGGCAATACCTCCTTTATGGGGAAGGCTTATGTTTATGTGTAACGGCTGATACCAGCCGTCATCTGCCCACTGCTGGACGTATGCATTCACCACAGACTCTCTCTTTCCATTTAAGAGTTTCCTCCTGTCGGTGCAACAAATTCATGCATCCTCTTCCAGCCATGAAATGAAATGAAATGAAATGAATTTATTTTGCTAGAATGCAGGTAATTTTAGATGATAGAGGTTTATATTTCCCGTGTACATTCTGCCTCTATGTCGGCGTGCAAATTTTTAACAATATAATAAATTTATATATATATTCTACATTATATTTCCTTTCCTTAGTCATACAATAAATTATTATTATTTATTACAGTAAACAGAAAAAATAAAAGCCTATACAATAGTTGTCCAAATTAATAAAATATTTTAACAACTGTATCTCTAGTGTAGGTTGTGAAGTGCATTTGTTTTTTTAGCGAAATATTCATTAATGGTATAAAACCCGTTACATAACAGCCAATTTTTAAGTTTACGTTTAAACACTGTATGAGCTGTTACTTCTCTAATGTTATTTGGTAGATGGTTGTAAACTTTAATAGCCATACAGTATGCGTTTCTTTTATGTAAATCTAACCTGCACTTTGGTACATATAATTTGTCGTTTGGTCTAGTTGTACGTGTTCTCGAGTCCGATATTCTTTTAAAAAAGCCAGCATGTTCCCTTACAAATATACACAAATCTCTAATGTACATACATGGCAGTGGAAGAATATTTAATTTCTTAAAAAGAGGGCGACAACTTTCTCTAATTTTTGCACCACATATAGCTTTAACACACCTCTTTTGCACAACAAATGCTCTGGAAATTTCTGCAGAGTTTCCCCATATTAGTAATCCATATGAAAGTATGGAGGATACGTATCCATGATAAGCACTCAGTGCAGCCTGTTCTGATACTGACAATCTTAATTTTCGTATCGCATGCACGAATCTATGGAGATTGTTACACAAGGCCTCTATATGGGCCTTCCAGTTACAATTTCTATCTATAATTATGCCTAAGAATCTGGTACTATCCACTAATTCCACTGATTGATTTTGGTAATTTATATTTATTTTTACAGATTTTGAATGATGTGTGCCAAAATGTAATATTTTAGTTTTATTTAAATTAACTTTTAAATTATTTTCTGTTAACCATTTTATAACATTTTGTAATGTGTCATTAATTTGTGTTTCTAAGTCATCTTTATTTTTACATTTTATTAATATAGTTGTATCGTCAGCATATAGTATACATTTATGTGTGATTATATTAGGCAAATCATTTATATAAGTCAAAAAAATATATGGTCCAAGAATGCTTCCTTGAGGAATTCCTACTTTATTTAATTTTGGGATAGATCTATAGATTTTTTTATAGCCATTAATAATTTTAAACGTCTCGGTACATTGTTTGCGATCTTGTAAATAGCTTTTTAGCCAACTATGTGCATTTCCTCTTATTCCGTATTTATATAATTTGTTTAATGCTATATTATGATCTAAACAGTCAAAAGCTTTAGTCATATCCAAAAATATTGCAGCTACGTGCTCCCTATTATTCAATCCCTCCGTTACAGATTTTATTAAATCGAAACAAGCCAAAGATGTTGAGCTATTTTTCCTAAATCCATATTGTTCTTGTTTTAAGATATTATTTTTAGTCATAAAGTCATTGAGCCTTTTTAACATAGCTCTCTCAAATATTTTAGAAATTACTGGGATAAGTGCAATAGGCCTATAATTACTCATATCACTTACATCCTCTTTTTTATGTAATGGCTTTATTATAGACATTTTTAGACTATCTGGAAAACAGCCTTGTTCAAACGACATATTAATAATGTAGGATAATGGTTTACACAAGTGAATAGAGCATGTTTTTAAAATTTTTGTGCTAATTGAATCATAACCTACTGAGTTTGTATTTTTTAATGTCTTTATAATATCCATAACTTCTATATCGCTACTAGGTGTCAAAAATATTGTTTTGGCATTATCATTCATACTGATATTATGGGTATAATTAGATTTTAATGTCGATTTTTTATTTATTGAATTTACGAAATAATCATTGAATAGATTGCATATTATATTTGGATCATTATGTATTATATTATCTATTTTAATCATATCAATTTGTCTATTTTCAGCTTCATTATTAATGTTATTATTAATTAATTTCCATATAGCTTTTCCTTTATTTTTGCTTTTTTCTATATATTTGTTGCATTGTATTTGTTGTGAAGTATTAATACATTTTTGTAAAATTTTACTATAGGTCTTATAAATTTTCGCATTTACTTTTTTTATTGTGATTAGCATGTTTAAATTTTAAATAGTATATTCTCTTTTTGAGACAACTCTTTTTTATTCCTTTAGATAACCATATAGATTTCTGATTATTAGATTTTAATTTAATTTTAATTATCGGAAAGCACAAATTATAAAATAACAATAGCAGATTATGAAATGCATCGAATGCTTTATTCACAGTAACTTGCTCGTACAATTCACTGAAGCTCAATTGCCTCATGCTTTCACAAAATTTATTAATATTCAGTTTACTATAATCCCTACGATATTCTGTCCAGGACGTGCTACTTTTTCTTTTATTTATTTTTAGTGTGATAGTTTGTGCAGTTTCGTGATCAGATAACCCTAAGTAGTAAAGCTTAGCATTCACATTTTTTATATTGCTTGCGATTTGGTCAATACAGGATTGTTGTCTTGTTGGATATTTTATATGTATTTCAAAATTATAACTTTTTAGTACACTTATTAATTCGTTAGATGTTTTATTTTTTTTAAGGTGTCAATGTTCCAGTCCCCACAAAGAATAATTTTTCTATTTTTATATTTTTTTGTTACTAAATCTAATAATTCTTCTAATCTATTCATAAATATTGACGTATCCCTTCCTGGTATTCTATAAATACAAATGACAATTATATTACAGGATATGATATCAATCCCGGAACACTCAAATAGAAATTTTTGTGATAATTGTCCTAAAGCAGAAATTTGTTTAAATTCTAGTCCTTTTTTTATCAAAATACAGCTACCTCCTCGTTTGGTATCTCGAGAAAACGAAGACGCTAATTTATAGTTGGGGATCTTTAATAAATTTTCAGTGCCCTTTCTAATAAATGTTTCACTAAGACACACTACATCAACATCCAACCTTTCATTTTTTGTTAAGTCCGTCAAGGCTATTTCTAATAGTTCCGATTTATTTAAAACGCCCGCTATATTTTGATGTAATAATGTGAAATTACTAATTTTGTCAGGGGCTTTAGTTTTATAGTTCACGAAAAAGCGTAGTTTGTGCGTTTTGTATTTCTATAATTTCGTCAGTTTGGGTACCTTTTTCTAATAAATTTGAGGAAATTATTTTTGAATTCAATACTTGATTTCTATATTTGGAATATTTTATTTTATGGTCTATGCGTAAGACTTCTCTGAGCATTAATTGACATAGGTGTAGTGCAAAAGAACTGCGTCTAGGTCTTTCATAATGATAGTGCATATCAACAAAAGTAGTGTTGTCATATTTAGTACATATAAACTTTAGCTCGTAATTTATTTTTCTTTCGTTTAAATAATAATTATATGGTATTTCGGAAATCAAAATGTTAGTATTAGATATAGATTCAATCCACTTATTTATATACATTTGAAACTCGTAGGGATTTCTGTCATTAGTTCCACCAAGTACTATCACAAAATCATTTTTATTCAACTCGCCAATAGACTTTTTTTCCGACAAGAGAACCTCTTGTAGTTTAGCTCGGGTTTCCAGAAACAACTAACAATATACTCCTTTCCGACTAATTTTTGAAGATGTTTCTGTACATTCCTTCCTTGATCATCTGCTATAACAATAATTTTCCTTTTCAAATTATGTTCTTTCGCTTCAATTCTGTATTTCTGGCTGTCATTTGGTTTTTCTTCTTTTTCTACATTTATTAATGTTAGTTGTGAATTCATTTTGTCTTCAATAGCTTGTTCTGGATGGTCAGGTATAAACATCTGTTGATCTTTATTTAAATTCTTAGATTGTGGACTTTGATCTAAAGTAGAACTACTTAATAATAATGACTTTGCTAGAGTGGCCGGTTTGTTTTTAATAGGATTTCTTTTCTTTCGTCCTGATAAAGGAGTTGCCGGAGATAAATGCACTTTCTTTAAAGATTCTACTAATTTGCAGCTTTTGTCGAGGTCTGATTTTAATTTAAAATTTTCAGTATTTAAATTTTCTATTTCTTGGTGAGCGATCTCTAATTCACTTGTAAGGTCTTTTATTTTTTGTGTTAATTCTGCATGAATTTGACTCTCACTGAATGATGTGTTATTAGGTAAACTCATCATAGTTGAATTAAATATAGAGGAATGAGAGTCTGAAATATTATGCAATGAACTCGATCGTGTCGGTTTTCGGTAAGTTACATTTTCATATGCCATTGTCTTCTTTATATAAAATCGGGCAATAAATCAATTAAAAAAAAAAAATACAATTAAATAACAAAATGTCAAAATTAAATAAAAGTTTCTGCTCTTCACTAAAAATGATCTTCCTTAAAAAAAATGTCATAAAATGTTTATCTATGTCTTCTAGAATTAAATAATAATATTAATCCACACTCTAATTTATTATTAAAAAAAAAAAAAAAGAACGAAAAATAAACTTTATGTTCGCCTGAGATTTGAAACATCAACCTTCGGGGCACAAGTCGTTCAGCGTTGCCGCCAGACCAAGTAACTTGTTGCGTCTTAGTGTGAAACATTCAATTATAATCTTTGCTAATTGACAGTTGATGTTCATAAAAATCTTAAATTATTGGAGGTGTTTGAATTTATTGCTTATCCGCTTTGACCTTCAACCGTCACTTGCACTTGTTATTACTATATATGGAATATTTATTAATAGTTCTCTTCAATATCGCTTGTATTGTTGTTAGTAAGAATATATTCATTGCACTGTTGTCATCTTATTATTGTTGATTTTTATTAATGTGGTTTACAATCATTACTTGATTTTTATAACAACCAGATCGAACTTAAATTTTACTTTTATGTTTTCTTCAGTTTGGCTGAATAATTTTTATTACAAACACGAACACAGGATATTTAATCACTAACACACAGTTTAATCACGTGTAATTTAGGTATATTCTAAATTTTCTATTTTTATTAATAAAATATACATGAACTAGATTATACCGCTAGTGCAGTCGTTGTTGCCGTAGCTCTATCCCAGGCCATATCATTGACCTCCCTATACGACATGACACCTAGTCTTTTTTTTTATACTACTGAGGTGGCAAACAAGCATACGGCCCACCTGATCGTAAGCGGTTACCGTAGCCTATGAACACCTGCAATACCAGAGGTATTACGCGTGAGTTGAAGACCCTGGTGTTTCTTTTATCTGTCCCATGTGGTTATTCCTTGATCTTCCCCTTCCTCTTTTGCCTTCTATTTTTCTTTCTACCAGACCATAAAGGTCCCAAACCACTTGTGCCTACTGACTCCCTGCGATGAATTTGAGGTCTACGTACTAACAAAAATACATATTTGCTCAGAGAAATTTAAATGCAATCCAACATCCTTCCCCCTTTTTTATGGGTAAAAATGTCATGGTAACCCCACCTGCGCTATTGGACTGGGAAAGGGATTGTTAGCAATGGGGACTAACCTCCCCATTATTAACAATCCCTTTGTCCCTAATCCTGCCTCTTTATGATATTGTACCACGAGGATGGTCAGCGAATACATCCATACACGATGGACAGCCCGCGCTCGAAAATGTATTTACTGAGCCAGCATATACTGTGCCAACATAGTGCGGTTAACGACAACGCACCGCGCTTTGTGCCACAGCGTTTCGCCTCTAATTAGGGGGCAGCTCCCCACCCTGGGCGGGAAAAAAGTTATTTTATATATGCCAACGCTAACCTCGGAAATAGTGGAAGGGATTGTTAGTAATGCGGACTAACTATCCCATTGCTAGCAATATACCCTGTCAGGTCGATCTCGACGTGCTCTCCCCTGGAAACTATCGTCCAGGTGTTCCTGTCACGATGGGCTAATTGACCTGCCTTTTCATTCTCACCTGTCAGTCCTCACTGGTTTCCCGTCAGTGCATACTGTTAGCGCGGGCGGGGTTACCATTCCATTACCATCCATTAAAAAAACTTCTTGGAAATGATAAATACTATTAAAAAACCTAATTAACCTAAGATGTTGAAAAGTTTGTCAGTATTGGGGTTTAAAATATATATATAGTATACACTATTAGGTCGACCTCCACGCGGTCTCTCCTGGAAACCATCGTGGTTAATTCTTGTGGAATTCGTTACAATGGGCTAACTGGCCTGCTTTTATTCTCACCTGTTATCTCTCACTGATGCCCCGGAAGCATACACCGATAGCATAGATAGAGTTACTATTTCATTATTATTATTAAAAAAAAACCGTAAGATTATTTGAAATGCCTGAATTTGAATGGTCTGCTTGTATACCACTATCTTACCTGTGTTTCTGCCGTGACCCAGTTGTACCTGCATGACTGTTTTCCGGTTTAAAAGATGGGGTATGGCAGTGAAATTACAGGGCACGGAAACACCATTTTTGTCCTCAGGACAGGCAACGCATAGGCGTCGCAGTATATTGTGATTCCCATACATTGAGTCTAAAGGTAGCGGTTATCCATATCCATCAGATACACTGTCAGCTTGTCATTAAAAATGTATACAATTGCTAATTTCAGTTATGTAATATTCTTATGTAGTAAATAAGTAAGCGCCTACTATTTTCTTTATAGCAAATATTTGCAAACACTATAACTAACTTTATTATGTAGGCGCTTCTTTCGTTTCATAAAATTACAGAATAAAAACATAAATAAAATTTACAATTTTTCAACAAACAAAGTTGTAAATTAAATGCCGAATGAAATAGAATTGTATTCGCGTGTTTAACATCTCCGCATAGCGACACAGCTCAGCCAATGCCGGTTACACTGTGTTGCCCGCTTCTATGTTACCAATTTTAAATGGAAGCAATTTTTAAGTGTTAATCAAAGTTTTACGTTAATTAAATAAAAAAAAACCAACGCAATGTGCTATATTAGTGCACCCCAATGAACAATTGACTTATATAAGTATATATTAATCGTATAACTAATATACTTAATATTTTCATGCTTATAATATAAGAGTTCATAGGTAATGGTTGGAAAAAATAACAACAGGAAAGAAATTTGTTGGTATTTTATTCCATTGTCGAGATTAGATTTAAATTTTCAATATAAATATACAAATTAATATAACCAAATAAACACTTTTAAATATATTTTCTCCCTAAAGTAGGTAACAATTTTAGTAATCTAGTAACATTGTCAGTCTCATTCGAGCGCGCGGTGGCTTGACTGATTCGTCCCACATAAAATGGGCTCAAAACCGTACTATAATCACTGTAAAACATTATAAAACCTCCAAAATAAACTATTCCTAATTTAATTATGTGTGACGACCATTTATAACGTTTGTTAACGTTTTTAGTAGTGTTAAATGTAATAAATACATGTCTCGCGGGGTGTAATAATGATACTGGCCGGTAAGAATTCGATTATATTTTTAATTATAAATTTTTTTTACGTCCGACGGGCTTTGGTTTTTAAATTAATTCCTTTTGATTATCATAAATAAAAAAAAAACTATCTCTGAAAAAGGCGAAGTTGTGATTTATAATCCTATTTTTTTTTTTTTATTTATTTAAACATTATATTCTAATAGATTATTAAAAAGTAAAATGTGAATAGTGTGTCAGTGTTTTAGTAAACATTTGTACGGCAGAAACTCAGCAGTGGCTTGATAAAAATCAATAGTGTCCGCGCATTGTACCGCGCGTCGAAATTATTCTACGCTATACGATGGTGAAGGCTCCTCAACTAACATGTTTTGTATCTTGCTTCCTTTGTTTAGGTCATCTTGTTTAACACTTTAAAATTAATATTGAAATCTGAAAGAAGTACTTTTCGGGGCACATTATAAAAAAAAGACGTTAATGATCTTGTAGGATGGTCTTAATAAAAAAGAAAAAATAACTTAAATAGTAGGCACTATAAAAAAATAAATTTAATTTTACAAGAATCTCGTGTTAACTTTTTTTTATACCCTTGCTACGGATGAAAATTTTACAAGAAGAGTAACTGACCAAGTCAACCAATAGACTGTTCCTAAATTTTTTTTTTACAAACTTTACAGTACTGCAACTGGGAAACAATAAAAAAAATATACCTATCCAATTAGCTAAAAATTTAAACATTTAATAAGATTGTAACTTGTAATAAATCTTGATTAAATACCGTAGTAAAATTAATTTATTTAAGTTAATTTTAATTTAATACAAAATTTTACTTTAAGTATATAATTTCTAGTTTCATATAGTTTTTGATAGGAAATTTTAATTTATATTTTACGGAATATTATATATATATATATATATATATATATATATATATATATATATATATATATATATATATATAATTTGCAACATCCTAGCAAGGTTTATGTAGAGGACAATTAATTTATTAATATCTTTATAACCTCAAGATGCATTCATAGACAATTGAACAATTTATTAGGTTTTGGCCAGTAACCGGCAGCCAAAATACCATAGACAATATTTCGAATCTAGATATTTAATTACTAATGACTATGCTAGTAACACTAGATACGTAGGAATGATGTAAATGCCTATGGTAACGATATATAATGACAGGACCTCAAAGGTAGAATGAAGTCAGCTTCGTTGCCAATTGCGAGGAATTTCTTTTTATTTCACATACTTATTTGATGAGACGCTGACACGAATTCTTTTTTTTTTATACAACTTAGAACTAGAACTTATTTTTATACAAATTAGAGGATTTCATAGTACATAATGTTTACTAGAGGGAGACGGTAAACATTCTGTACTATGAAACCCTTTATTAAAGTGTAAAAGTACATATGTATAATAGACACCAAGAAACTCCATCCTTCGTACGTTAACAATGTTGTTTCAAGGTAAAATTCTCCCGCAAACGATCAGAGACTTTGTACAATAGCCGTCTGCTTAGGTACCTCTGTTTCATTCGTGTTTCTGCCGGGAAGCAGTTGTGTTTGCATGGCTGTGTTTCGGTATCAAGGGTCCTCACCCTTATGGTAATGAAATTATAGGGTACAAAGACAACATCTGAGTCCTCAGGAATGACAACGCATGGAGGTATCATGGGCGAAACAGTATACTCTGTTATGTCCATGTTACTGTACATGTCTATAGGCGACGGTTACCACGTGCCATCAGATGGACCGTCAGCTTGTTTGCCATTTTAAATTGCATAAAAAATACAGGATTCTTCAAAAACATACTTCAGAATCGGCAACGTGCAACAACGTGATACCCCTAGTGTTACAAGCATAGACTAAACTATTTACCACCCGACGGAGTGTATGCCAGTTTGGCACTTTTATGGTATGCCAGATATAAAAAAAAAAATTAATATTATAAATACATCTATACTACACTAGTGATACAATGATGTAGTTAAAATAAAAAAAAAAAAACATGTTGCTTCGCTAGATAGATCCTCAGCTTCCCGCCATTTAATTTAACGAAAACTTATTCGCGCTTATTTACCTACTTTTTTTTTTATTGTTTTCTGTCACGGATATTCTGTCATGATTCATGAGTAGTTAGGTAGTTATATTCACCTAAATAAAATAGTGTTTGACACCATTACAAGGAATGTCGATATGTATATTTATTCATTTGTCTATATCTCGCGTAAATGTTTTTTATACCCTTGCCCCAGATTAAAATAAAACAGTTTCATAAATATCACAAATTTAGTTATATGTATTATTAATACATAGATTTTTTGCAACTTAAAATAGTAAACAATTAGCGTCATTCATTGTCAAAATTCATTAAATTTTAATAAAGAAGAAATTGTTTGGTTTTCTTTGGACCATACGGATCATTAGTATTTCTGCAGATATCCATGTTTTCAGAGGAAAACTCAGGGAAATTCCGGATATAGTCCTCACTAGTAACGTGCGGGTATATTTAAATTCTATATCTATCCATCTAATTTTTAGACATAACACTTTTCCCGCCAAAAACACGCTATCTTTCACTATAGGCACAGATTATGTATAACAGGTAGGTAAGTTTTATATTACGTCTTAAATAAAAAAAAAACTAAAGTATGCTTTATCTACGTTTCAAACTTCTTTAGTGCAAAGAAAGATCCTAAGAACAATTAGTATTAGATTTAAAAAGAAACAGTTTTATTATGTAAGCGCTAGAATCATTCTAAGTGCGTTCTAAATTGCATGGAAGCCTTCTAGTTGTAATAGAAACTTATACACAAATGACGTTGTGTGTTGAAGCGGCGATGGCTGGCTCGAGCTGAAGATTCACTACGCGCCATCTGGATTACAAAATGCACTGGATATTCCCCATGCCAGGTACATGTGAAATATTAAAATTTATATTTCATTACATTTTAGACAGTTTTTATATAATATCTCAAAAAATAGAAAAAAATTAATTTACAAATTAGTTTACTGGCTTAAATGTGTTTTAGATTATTTATTTATTTTTACGACTCTATTACCTCTCGTCATGTGCTATATAAATGTAAAATGGAAGTGAAAAAGCTATGTAAAAATATAAATAGGTACATTGTACATATACAAAATTGTACAAATGAAATTATTTTGTGAATTTATTATTCTAATTTATTTTTAAGAAATAAATAAATATGTAAATAGAAATAAAATATTCATCAAATATTACGTAATTGATAGTTATTTAGCTCTCTTCACACGTTATTTCTAAAATAAAAAAAAGTGTTTCAAATATTAATTAATAAATAATTCGAAATTACTATTGTGCTAAGAAGTGAAACAAATTTGTAAATAAAGATGTGTTAAATGCATTCGCATTTATTATACTTGACATTAGCCTTTTTTACATATAGTGTATACTAACTGGGCACACCAAGGATCATTTCTGAAATACCTTTTTTGATTTCAATCAAATAATTCACACACTCTTTGTCGATAAAATGTGACACACCCCAATTCCATTTTTAAAATTATAACGTCACTCGGGAAGCGGGAAATCGGGATGATGGCGGCCGTATGGCGACCGCAGACACCACTAAAACTAATGTAAATTGTAAATACATCGACAACAATGCGAATCATTAAAAATGTGCGTGTTTCGAGTGACATCATTGTGTTGAAAATATATTTTATTTGTAAACTAGTTTGTTAGCTTTTTTATTTTCTTTTTTTTTTCAAAGTTATCTTTGATGTAGTACTCGTAATATTGCTAAAGCCAATTTGGATTCTGATACTTATATGCATGATGAAATGTGAACATGTTGTATTGTTAAATTCACTGCAACGACCATAGTTAATCAATGCTTTTAACTGCAATGATTAAAGTCATGAGCCTATTTATTTTAAAAAAATACGGTATCGATAATTATCTATGTCTTTATATATTATGCGCTATCTTTGCCAATTATGAACTGGTTTATATATATATATATATATATATTTGAATTGTTTTTTAGTAAAATCTGTTTGTTTTCCATTATCGCCTTTAACATAAAGCGCATTAAGTCAAAATTGGTTTATTTCCAAATCATTTTACATCATACCTACTGGGCCTTTGCCAATGTCTTGATCAATATTTACTGTTACACCGTCGTGTTTGTTTAACTCGAGATTAGTCGTTTATAATTCGACCTATTTATTATTTTCAACCGTCGTATTTGCCATTATGGTCCCAGCATAGAATAGGTCACCCCTTCCTTTCCCGTGGGTGTCGTAAGAGGCGATTAAGGGAAATTAATAGTCGAGAAATGGGCAGCGGTGTCCCTCTTATAATATTGCCAAAACCTAACTGCGATTGCCAACCCGCTTGCCAAGCTTTGCAACTATTGAAAAACCTCCTCTTATGAAAGTGGCTTAATAGTAACCGTGTAACTTTACCATGGCTATCACCCAATTGACATTTTTATGTAGCGTCATAAATATTAATTTGCTATTAAATTTAATGACAGTTCTCTAGAAAAAACTATGGGTCGGTAATCTATTTCAATACTCCAATTTTGTTTTTCTACGCCATAAATAATCATTAATATCAGTTTTTTTTTAAATCTAAGTATAATATAAGAATGTCTGCAGATGTATATATAGGTATCTAATGTGATAAATATATAAATATGTTTGTTGAATAAATATATTGTATTATATATATAAGCTAAATTGATGGTTAGTTCTAACAGCCAAATAAAACTAAATCTATTTTTGTACTAAATATTTTTACTTTAATTCTATTATAATACATATAAATCATTATTTGGTGACGAAGTAAAATATACCAAATATTTTTAAATACAATCTCCATAAATTAATATTCAAATGTATATAATAAAACTAAAAAGAATAATAAATTTATTTTCCAGTTCTTCTCGTGTCCTGGTTCGGCGTGGACCAAGTAAAAGCTAATTCCTGCATCAGAACGGGTAATAAAAAATAAAATAAAAAAAAAAAAAACACTCTCTATGTGTATCAAATTAATAGATGTTACAAAATGTTTAGATCTGTGTTGTGAATAATAGCTGCAAATACTTATCGATGTCGATCTGACGCATTTCACAACACTGTTTTAAAGTTAATGTTTTTTTTTTCTTCTTCAACAAAATAGTGATGTGCAAATTGCATTCGATTGTGAATAATATCGACTTAGGTATTCGTAGCTCTTTAAATGTTTACTTTGATGTGTCTGAGTGTCCACAGGAATGTGTGTTGCAATGTTTCGAGGAATGGGTAATATTGCATGTAAACAAAAAAAAATAGTTACACATTACACACTCGAGACAATAAATACAAAACATCTTTTGTTTTTTGTACAACACACTCAAACATTACTCCTGTGAATAACTGACGTTTGTTTTTCAGATTATTTCAAATTTTTTATTCGATTCACACAGCAATATACAACACTAACCACGGTAGCTAATTCGGTAAGCGTCTGCTGGGACATGTTTTTTTTTTTTTTAGAAAAAAAAATGTTTCGTGCGTTCCTTCTCTCTTCATTAGTGTATTTCCATTTTTAAATTTATTTCCCTAGCAACCCTAGCCCAGTCTACGGACTTTTTTTTTTAATATAAATACATCACTTCAGTTATTTACAGGATCGTTTCTAATACTTTTCTCTGTTTCTTGTGATACACTCTATTTAGAAAACTGTGTAGATACAAATATGTACATTTTTTCCGATATTTATTTACTTTTTTACTAATTCAAGCATGGATTTTCAGCATTGTGGGCTCTAACTCTCAGCCCCCTAGTACAGGCGGAATGCCAAAGTAAGTACTCGTTTATTACTAGAGAGATTCAAACTTTTTACTATTTCACAAAAAAATTAAATCGCTTTACGCTTAAAAAAAGCAATGGAAACATTTTATTATCAAGCGAACATATTGCCATAAGCTTATTAATCATTTGCTTATAAATATCTGAATATTCCTTTGAAATTTGGAATAATTGAAGTACTGTGAGTAAATTGTTAAAAATTACTTGAAAATTGTTTGAGAAAATATTCACATATTTACTTTCTTTTTTTTAATTTTTTTTTTTCACTTCAAATCATTTCTATAAATTTAAAAACGCCGTAGACTGGGTCCATTTGATTATATTTATTTTCATTATTATATTTTTATAACTGCATGTTTTAATTATTGTGAAACAAAATACGTCAATTTCTTAAAACAATTAGAAAAAACAATAACTAACTAAACTACCTAACTCACAGTTGTTTACCAATAATAATGTTTTTTTTTTTCTAAGAAAATGGCGTATTTTATTACATTCAAAGCACTTTGATTAGTAAATTTTCCTATAGATACACAATATTGTTGTAATGTACACTTAAACAAAATACATACGAAACAGCAATGCAAAATATTTCTTTTTTATTAGGTAATCAATTAAAAGAAATATTCCTAATTACATACACTATACTATATAATAAAAATAAAAAAAAATCCTGATAGAAACTTACAAAATTAATTTGATATTTTTTTAATATCTCTCTCTCTCTCTCTACCTCAATCTCTCTCTCTCTCTACTTACTTGCTAATCTTTCCTTGCTAGTTCTTTTAATCATTACCCCTACAAATAAGCGAATTCTTAGACTCCTAGGCCTTTGACGATCATCATTAATGATTCATGACAATAAGCACTAGTCAGTAACATAAGTAAGAATACGGACACTCTAGAGGTTCTGTTGTTAAATGCTCAAATATAAAGATTTAATATATTTATGGAATTTCTTTTTCACCAGAGGGAGGCTTTGTTCGAAAGTTGTTTTTTTTTTATAGGTGTAGATGAAATGGTAACCCCGCCTGCGCTATCGGTATATGCTGGCGGGGTACCAGTGAAGGGTGACAGGTGAGGACGATGGCAGGTCAGTTGGCCCATAGTGATCAATTGAACGAGAATTAACCACTATGGTTTCCGGGGGGAACTGTGTGGAGGTCAACCTGATAGGGTATGTTAATAACAATGGCATGGGGGAAGGGATTGTTAGTAATGGGGTCTAATGAACCCATTGCTAGTAGTATACCCTATCAGGTTGACCTCCACGCGGTTTCCCCTGGAAACCATAGTGGTTAATTCTAGTGGAATTCATCATGATGGGCTAACTGACCTGCTTTCGTTCTCATCTATCATCACTCACTGGTGCCTCGCCAGTGTATACCGATAGCGCAGGTGGGGTTACCATTCTATTATCACCCATTTAAAAAAAAATAGCAATGGCACCCCCATTGCTCATTATTCCCCTAAAAAAGTTGTTTGCTTGGGCACCTCTGTCTCATTCATTGTTTCTGCCGTGAAATAGTCATTTATTAATTAATTTATTTCATGAACTGAGTGAGCTTTACAGTCTCCCAATACGCTCACCCAGGAAAGCATCAGTACAATAACACATATGTATAATATTAAAAAGATTTAATTCACATAACAATAATAGAAATAACATTAGATTTTAAATCTCTAAACACAAACACTCCGTGGTCATCCGACGAAACTCCAACAAGCTGGAGGCGAGCACGTCTAATTGTGGATACCGGCTCAAAACATCTTTGAACAGTTTCAATGCTAGAGAGAGGGGAGCTTGCTTGGCCAACTCTGTTCTTCTTAAAGGAATATCAAATAAGTGCAGTCTACGTGCTCGCACATAGTTACTGGGTAAATAATAATAATAATCCATACTAATGGGGGGAAAGGGATTGTTAGTAATGGAGACTGATAATCCCATTGCTAGCAATATACCCAACCAGGTCGATCTCCTCGCGGTACCCCCTGGAAACTATCACGATTAATTCCTGATGAATTCATCATGATGGACTAACTGGCCTGTTTTCATTCTCATCTATCACCCTTCACTGGTGCTCCGCCAGCGTATTCCGTTAGCGCAGGCGGGGTTACCATACCATTTTCACTCATCAAATAAAAAATCCATACTAATTCTCGATAATATATTTGCCTAACATTATCCAAAGCTATTTTAAGATCCATAAAAACAATATAATTTGTTGAAACTAATACAAAAGCAGCCGAGGTTGTCATAATTTAAAAATCACATTTTGTCGATCCGCTTTTAGATTTTATTCACGGTATAGCTATTAATAAAGTGTCGTTTTAAAATAGATACGACCGGCCAAGCGGCTATTGAAATTTGCACCTATTCGTGCTTTAATCGACTCGCCAGACGATGATTTTATCCCTTCTTTGCATAACGATGGAAATTTCCATCATAACATTGAAAGTCAAAAAAAATATTTAAAAGAACATGTTCACTTTAAGTTGATCGTGTCTGGATACCTTTTTAATGTCTATTGCAGAAAAAAAACATAGCTGTCAAATTTCTTTTTTTAATTATTTTTCCTTTAATTTTCAACATGAATTATATTACTTTGATTTATTTCACCAATAAAAAAAATAATGCAAAGAAAGGTTAAATAGATAGATATAGGAACTCTTTGTTTGCATCAAGAGATACACAAGAATTGTGACAATAGCAACAGAAAAAAAATAAACTGTGACAAAAGGGCGGTAAACACAAATTTTTATACATAATATAATATGTGAAAATGTAAAATGTACACACCATAGTGATGTAAAAAGGCAATATCTCGGTGAGTTTTTTTTTTTTTATATAACTTAGAATGGCAAACAAGCTGACGGCCCACGTAATGGAAAGTAATAACCGTCGCCTATAGACATGAGCAGTACCATGGACATAACAGAGTATACTGTTTCACTCATGATACCCCCATGCATTGCCATTCCTGAAGACTCAAGTGTTATAACTTTGTACCCTGTAAATTCACTGTGATATCCCACCCTTCAAACCGAAACGCAGCTATGCAAACACAACTGCTTCACGGTTGAAACACGAATGTGACAGAGGTACCAAAGCAAACGACTTTTGTAGTAAATCTCCCTCTGGTTCCGAGTTGTTTGCTAAATAAGCAAACCACTGATTTCCAGTTACTGCCTGAACATTAAGTAATAAACGTGTTGCCAATACTGAGGGACTACCATTAAATATTTTCCGAAATTTCGGGGACGAACGAAATAGAAATTTGACGTTAAAATTACATAATACATGCCGTTTAAAATTACTAAAAATATTAAAATATCGTTCCTCTGAACTTGGAACTGAACGGACAGGATTTTTGATGAATGAAACGTTAAGCTCCATTTACGGGGTCGATTTAGGTACGAACAAAAACACGAAATTGAGTCCGAAAATTCGGAATTTCATTTCATGATAGGCCCCCTGTCTACTACCAGACAGCCGACAGTCGATTTTCCATGCATTGAAGTAATACACTATGGATTATTTTTACATTACCAAAATTGGCAATGTGCATATATTCTTTATAACAAGATAACTCTTGCAACTTACAAGATCTACTTTATTCATTGCTAGCTTTTACCCGCGACTTCTTTCGCGTTTATATGTTCACTGACTAAAAAAATATATATATATATATATATATATATATATATATATATATATATATATATATACACTCCTCACGGAAATCAAAGTTTTTGACAAAAACTTTGATTGATGATCGATTTACCGCCGGCATTAGCGTTACCCAAAGCATACCACGTGGAGGTTGCACGGTCGGATTCGTCGTGCAAGTTTTTGTCAAAAACTTTGATTTCCTTAAAAACGAAAAAAAAATTTTTGTAAACTTCTTTCGACTTTTCAAAAAAAATTTTTCTTAAAAATTTTCTTGATTTTTTTCGAAATATTTAGAAAAAAATTATTTTCAGCTTTGTTTAAGAACTGCATGGAAACCGGAGCTCAAAAAATTTTTTCACCAAAAAATCTGAAAACTAGAGTTTTCAAGCTTCAAAACCCTTTTTTTAAATTTTCTGTACGATTATTTTTCACTGAAATACAGCCTGTTGAAAATCACCCAAAAATTTCAAAAAATTTTATGTTCCCTTAATTTTTGCGAGGAGTGTATATATATATATATATAATATTTTATTATTCCTATGTAGGATGGAATATAATAAGAGATTTGACAGTACACCTGTTTCTTAAGTCTATTAAAATATTATAGATTCAAGAAAAAAAACATGACAATTGCCCGTAACTATTATGTAGGCAGCATGGTCACCGACCTTAGCCTGTTCCGTAACGGAACAAACGTACTAAAAAAAATGGCGGGAATCTCATTTAATATTCTTTTTTAACCTTGGATTGCTACGGTTTAACTTTTTGACTAAACCAAAATATTAAATCAAAAACTCCGTATAAAAACAGACTAACGCGAATCGCAACTTTGTTTTTTACTATTCAAAGATTATCTGATACCAATAATTCTCCTGCCTGTGCCGTTTTCTTGTTATCTTTAAATTGAAGCAGAACGTATCCTTTCCTATAAACTGGCATTTCTGTATTTGCTTACTTATAGATACATTTACTATATTTTACACAATCCATTTTATTTCATTTCTCTTTTGTATTTTCCTTTTTTTTGTATATGTATTTATTTATTTATTTATTTTGTGATAGATAGGTAACAATGGATGGTAAAACAATATAAGTCCTCTATGATCAATCCCATCTATCGAGATATACAAATTTACAATTACATAAGAAAAAAATTATATTATATAAAAAGAAAAATCAGCAATGTCACATTTATAGTAAAAAAATATAATTATGGAAATTTATTACATTTATCTTCAAGGAAATCGTCAATTGAATAGTATGTTCTGTTTACTAGGTATTCATACAGTTTATTATTATTCTTTTATTTCTTTTTCTGTGTATGTATCTATATATGTTGTTATTTGTGTGCTGTAAGTAATACAAATAAATTATATATCTATCTATCTATCTATCTATCATTTATTTGTTCTTAAATTTCCCACTATACACTACACACTACTGCCATAAATATTTTTAAAATAATTTAGTTTAAATACTAATACAGTGAACGCTCTATATAATCAATCTCTCCATAAGCAACATTCTTTATATTTTATTTATTCTACGCGGCTTTATTAGTAAAAGAAATAAGTAAAAATATTTTCCACACGGTAAGTATTTTTATACTCATTTTTTCTCCTATAAGCAACTTTTCCTAATAAGATTTTTTTTTATTGAAATTGGTGCAAATGAGTTGCTTATATAGAGCGTTCACTGTATTATGTAAAAAGAAAATATTATTTGATACTAAATACATTCCGCAATTCAAATATTACATATAGACTTTAATTTACATCATTACATATTTTAAATTTTGCATGAATACAAATTAATTTGTAGCGATAAAAAATGAAGAAATCTTTAGGAGATATTACATTTATTGATACTATATATATATATATATATATATATATATATATATATATATATATATATATATATATATATATATATATATATATATATATATATAATAATGCACGTTTCTAAGTTAGTTACCAGAGGGAGACTTTGTACAAAAGTCGATTGCTTGAGTACCTCTGTCCCATTCGTGTTTCAACCGTGAAGCAGTTGTGTTTGCATGGCTGTGTTTCGGTTTGAAGGATGGGATATGGCGTGAATTTACAGGGTACAGAGGAATAACGCCAGAGACCTCAGGAATGGCAACGCATGGGGGGTATCATGGGTGAAACAGTATACTCTGTTATGTCCATGATACTGCTCATGTCTATTGGCGACGGTTACCACTTTCCATCAGGTGGGCCGTCAGCTTGTTTGTCATTCTATGCTGTATAAAAAAAAAGTTAGATTTGTCGTTTGTGATGTTATTGGGATTTTGCAATGGTTTGTTTTTGTGGATGGAAATAGAATCGTAACCTTGTCTGCGCTATTGTGGTTTACGCTGATGGGATGGGATGGATTGGTTTATCAATAGTTTTTATTCCAGTCACTTCTCTAAAAAGGTCATAACCCTTAGTACCTTAATTTTATTTATTTATTTTATACACATTATTGCACCATTTATAAAATAATAAATACAATTAATTTCAATGAGAATTGATACAAAAGGTGGCCTTATCGAATCATTATAAGCAATCTTTTCAAGCCAACCTTAATCCAACAATAAAACATTGATTTAATAGAAAATACGAAATAATTAGATTTTAATAAAGATTCCTTCATTTTTTTATAGACACGCTTTTTTCTATATGTCTATGTACTTATGTTATTTTATTAGAAACTATAAACTTTAGTACCAGGACTGCAGGTAAGTGAATTAATCTTAAGGTAACAAAAATTACATGTCGTGCATTATTTCACAACAAAATACATGTTATACATTGTTCATATCAAGATCGAGGTATAATTTAACTAGTATTTAAAAGTATTTAGAATAATAAACGCTTTTAAATAATTCAGTTCTTTATTAACACTCCCATTTTGTGCTTTCATAGAGATATAATTAGACATGTCATTATTTTTTAATTAATCGATATCGGCATAATCATTTATGCTTACATCACTAATATTATTCGCGTTAGTGCTGCCCGCTAAACATGTCATTTGTCGATTGTCCTTAAATAAATAAATAAATAAATAAATCATGTGAAGCTTTAATTTCTAAAAACTACAATCGCTCAGTCGATAAACTCTTTAACACTCTCATTCATTTTATAAAAAAATCTTCATTATTACGTATCTAGACAATGTATGATATTATATTAATTGTAATACATACCTATATGTAATAAACATGTAACTAAAATAGTATATTTTTATAATAATAATAACAATGTATTAAAAATACTATAAAAATACATAGATCTCTTTTTTTTTTTCTAGTTTCCATACAGTTGTTACTGTTAAGCTATTTAAATACCAGTGTCAGTAACTATCAGATGTTTATTACAAATACATAATCCATAGTATAAACTCTACTTAATTTATTTTACATTAGATGGCGCTGTGGGTTGTGGGTGTTCAAGTATATTACTAATTTTATATTAAAATTAATCGAAGTAACTTATTTAAACTATAACAAAATATCCGAAGTCCATATAACCTGCATAATTTAAGGTTGTGTCAAAAAAGTTAATTTTGCTCTAATATATAGTACATACATAACTTAATGGACTTATAAATGCATAATTTCACAATGTGTTACAAGGACCATGTTAGCTCGCGTGACCTGGCCTCGTACCTTTACAAATTAGGTCTTGATTTACAATATGCCTATGTTAAAGCGAGGACTTACAATACCAATCGATTCACAATGCTGATAGAAAAGTGAAAATCGTTGCAAAATTAGAGATATATGCTACATTTTTACTAATGAAATAAAGGTAAAATTGAGTTTGTTTCTTATTGCTTGGCGCTGTATTAAGTCAATCAATCGTATTGAAATCTTCTTTTACTTTTATCTTCTTATCGCGTGGACGAAGTATACCAATTTTATAAAAAAAATACAGTTATTTAAGGCAAAATGAATTTTTATTAATGCAACTTAGAATGGCGAATAAGCTGACGGTCTACCTGATTATAAACGTCACTTAAAGATATAAACAATACCATGGGCGGAACAAAATATTTGAGTCGCCCATGACACCCGATGCGTTGCCTTTCCTGAGGACTAAGATGTTACGCCTCTGTACTCTGTAATTTCAAAATATAACAAATATCTTTACAATCGTTTGTATAATAATATAAATAGGACTAGCTTTGCCAGCGAATTCGTCCGCGGTCTCGGGATAAGAAGAATCCTTTGTTCTATATGCCAAATATAAATCTACTTATACCCCTTTCATAACGATTGATTGAGCTTTTCAAACGTTAAGAACTGACAAGCAAAACTTACTTGTTCTCCTTAAAACGCGATGCAAAGTGCTTTTATAAAATAGAATTACCCACTACATCTATAAAAAAAAGTATGCCTATTGAACTGCTGTCATTTTATTTCCTTGATACGCCACGGAGACCGCTTTCACGGCACAATCATCGCACTGACAACGCCACTAACGCTCGCTCGTGTGGAAATTGCCATCCATTAAAATGTCAAACGTTACGTCCGCAGCTCGGACGATATACTGCTACGAATGCGACAGTTGGACGGATTTCCGGTGTAAGGATCCGTTCAACTACACAGCGTTGCCGCGGGACCAACCCCCGCTGCAGACCTGCAACGGCTGCTGCGTGAAGATGGTCCGGTATTCTAAGAGTCGTGAGTATTTTGGACTTTAATACGTTAATATTATATGTAATAGCATGGCATATGATCACACTATACAATCCTTTTCCATCAGACGGGCTGTATGCTTGTTTGCTACCTTCGTGGTATAAAAAAAAACTGAGCAAACTACTCCCAACGGTTGACTCCACTATGGCAGTTCACTAAGTGCTTCTTCATGCTATGTTTAATGGATCCAAGGTTATGGGGTGAAGTAGTAGACTAACTGGTCATTTCAACACTTGTAGAAAGATTATAGTAGAAGACCTGGTGATGTTGCTTTCCAGATGCCATTTGCTGCGAATTGCAAAGTACGAGTTAGTGCAATCTCTGAAACAGGAGATAAAATAACACCCCATAGGTTATTTTAGGTACTGATTTATGGAGGTAAAATCGCGGGATACAGCAAGTATTTTTATAATTCTCGTATTATTCATTTTATAAGCAGATGCTTATAACTTTCCCTCAGGTGGTTTACAGCTAACTCTTTTTCATTTATATTTAAAAAAGGGGGAATTTCTCAATTCGATTGTATATTTTTTTTTTGTTTTTTGAAAAACTTTATTTTTTTTTAAAGAATATATTTCAGGTTGGTCTTATAATGTTATCAAAAATCGGGTCACTAGTTTGATTTTTAAATCAAAATAACTGATTTCGCTACGATTAAGGTTTCTTCTTTCCTTTTTGTGGAGCAAAATCTTTGTGTTTAGTTATAAAAGAAATTTATTTCATGACATGCTCCTGTAACAAGATTTATCTAATCCCTAGGCCATTATCAAAAATAGAGGAAATAAAACAATAAACTGATAAACTCTTAACGTGACCATGCCACCACTATTAGTACTTTTATCCTGCTATACAATGAACTAGAAATAAGCTACACCAAACCACCTGGCCAGCCTTCTATTCATCATCATCGTCATATCAGCCTTTAACTGTCCACTGCTGAACATAAGCCTCCCCTTGAGGTTTTAACCAGTAGCTGCTACGCTTGGCAGGTGGATTGGTAACCGCAGTTAGGTTTTTAAAGATGTTATAAAAGGGAAGTTGTTGCCCATCCCTTGCCATCCCTTAGTCAGCTCTTACGACACCCACTTGATAGGAAGGAGTGGCCTATTCTATGCCGGGACCACACAGCGTTCTAATAGTAGTGTAATATTCTTTCTTTACGAGATTTAAGTTCAATAATTATGATATATTTGTTTCTATCATCAAGCAATTGTGCTTGCTGCTCATCTCAGCATCACAGCTCATGTGTTGCAATTTCTGAGGACTAGGGCGCATTTTTTTAATGGATGCTAACGAAATGGTAACCCCACCTGCGCTAGCGGTATACAGCTAACAGGGCATCAGCGAAGAATCATAGGTGAGGATAAAAACGCTACACTTGCAACTGAGCACTGCAACTGCGAGTGATAATATCCAGAAGGAACTGCGAGGGATATTGATCTGACAGGGTTTATTGTTGGCAATGTTAGCTATATTAATAATTCCCATTACTAACAATCCCTTCTCCCCCTAACTATAGTGTACTTACTTAGTTACCATGGGTACAATGCAATTTGTGATGTATATAGGTGACGATTATAACTTTACATCAGATGGACAGCTTCTTTGCTAATCTAAGTATCATAAAAAAAATATCTTAATTTCAGCGTACGAGGTGGTCCGTCGAACCTGCACGTCTCAACTTCAAATAAACTTATTCATGGTAGACCACGTTTGCATGATGGAAAGTACAGGGACTGGCCATATGTGTTTCTGTGAAGAGGACATGTGCAATTCGGCATCAGCAGTCGACGCAACGATAGCCACGATCGCGGCACTAGTCTTGATCGCATGTGCATGCTGCAGGTGAAGTAGGAAGGTAGTGGACGCCGGATGAGCCAGTCGATCGATTCTACAATGGTCTGAGTCGATTTTCTAATCGATTTGCGAATCGAGGTTTCACTCGTGTTCTGCGAAGGCGGATCTCAGATCACAAATTGGTAGATCAATAAATCCGGGTATTAAATCGTCTGACGGATGAACGGGGACGAAAGTTTGTTTTTATAATTATTACACTAGCTTTTAATTTTTAATTAAACATTAAATGGATAAAAATTAAAAGTTTCTGTGAGTTTTTGATCACCGACTTTTTGTTTATTCACAATCGAGTTAAAAATCGATAATCACATCGAACGACTGGCTCAATCGGGCTACAACCCTAGTTTTAACCTAATTACATTCTTCGTCCAACGTAGCTACGTAGATTATTTAGTCTTGGCTGCTTAGTTTTTACAGCACTTGCCAATCATCAATTCACTTACAAATACAAATAAATAAATCTATTTATACCTATATCCTTAAATTTAAATAAGTTTTTGCATAGTTGTTTGTCAAAAAAAAAGAAAGATTATCAAGATTTCTTTCGATTGATTTTTTTTCGTTCGTATAAAAATGGCCGAAACAGTGTTGTAAAGCTAAGCGCAGTTTTTTCATCTAAGGCAAATTTCTCATGTTCAGCATTTTTTGCTCTAAATTATTTATAAGATCGTGTAATAAATTAGTTGATAGTTTTACGCAAAAGGTTTTCCAATTTAGAATTTAGCATGTAAATATTGCTCAGTCACATAGTGATGCGAAGTTAATAATATCGATATCGATAAATCTGCGAAGTTTTCTCCCGCGACGCTTGATTGGTCCAATTTTGACCATATGGTATTGCTCATAGGTGCACTTTATATAGACGTGTGGCACTTTTTAGATAGAGTATAATAAAAAAAGAAAAATGAGGTATGACTAGCGTGAACTGCCCTAAAGTATAGAATGGATTAACTAATAAAATATTTAGAGGTTAGGTGCCTAAGAGATAATATTATGGAAATTCTAAAGTTTTGTGTTTTATATTAATTTCTCTTTGTTGTCATTAAAAGGATAGAAGAGACAAAAGTTTTTTAAAAATGTAAGGATACACGTAGTTAAAGTTTTACCAAAAACTATTGTCGGTAATTCGGTATCTAGTTGCATAGACAACCACTACGTCATTAATGTACTTATATAAATACAAATAAAAAATTCTATTATTTAACTTTGCTAAGGTCACGTTAAAAATGACAGTTGAATAAATTGTAGTTAGAGAACGGTTATTGGGATTGAAAAACAAATGAACATTAAAATTGTTTTAGAATTGATAATTTTGAAGTGTTCACAATATTTTCCGGTAATAATTATTACGATATAAAATAATATATGTATTTTTTTTTCTTTTGGTTTTTAATAACAAAAGTTTTGCAAGTTTTCGGGTGTGGTTTTGGCTTTCAAATGATATAGTTATAAGAATAGTGGACAAAAAGAAACTAAATGCTAGACATTAGATGCTATAAAGAGACCTCGTAAATTTAAGTATAGTGTAAATTAATTTATGAAAATAAACACCAAATAAATTTTAATCGTTAATGTATAAATAATATTTTAATTGTTAAGTTTTCCGCTTAGTATTTGATATAAAGTTAGCATTAAAAACTGTGGTTTGAATCACAGTTCAAGAATATGTATGGTTAAGGCTAAACTAGAGCCCATTCGAGTTCCCTAATTCACATTCTTACCCTTTTTAAATATTCGTGAGCGGACATAGATTGTAATAATTAAATTTGGTCAGTATTTAACATTCCATAATTGAGTATTCCTTTTTCATTTTGCATTTTTAAGATACTGTATTAATATATGTTACTATACATGCAAGATGTAATACAAAGTTACGTTCTCAATTAAGTTCTCAAGTATTGTTTTCCATAAATGTTATAATTATAATTTATTATAAAGTTTATTATACTGACTAATAAATTATGGATCAGTTCGAATCTGGCCAATATTTTGCATATACATCTATGACCAACTCTTCTGATGACGCCAATCAATAAGGCAGTAGTGTATATGGCATTTTCTATGTTTGATTTCAGAACCTCAATGAAATTCTAAAAAATAGAAACAGATTTTTAGGCATCGGAACGGCAACAGTCAGCAAAACCAACTATTCGGATTACGGTCGTGAATATTTTACTTATATGAAAGCTGGAGAGTCCAAATTTACAAAAAATAAGCTTAAATTATTTTATAGACGTCTCCTAACTGAGCATTTTAAATGATGCCACTGAATAAATATAGTTATTGATTATTGGAGTTGATATAATCGTAGTCCTAATTTGACAAGTCCGCGTAGATATAATACCTTCTCTTTTTCCTAATTCACTTGCTCTCTATACGTTCTCACTCCGTTGAAGTCGCCTTATTACGTTAATATTTTGAAAATGACAGTAGGTGAAGTTATAATAGTCGAATTAAGTCACTAAAATAATCCATCTCTTTTTACCACAGTGCTTCAAGCAGCACTAATACCCGAGCCAAAGCATTCATAAGGTAACCAAATTAATAATATATTGTAAAAAATCGAGTGCAAAGCATATTAGTAATATTTGTAATATATAATAAAAATATATAGATACGTATATCCAAAATTAGGTTACAATCTTCCTAATTGTTGTTAATTATTTAGTGATTTAATATTTACGGACTTTTTAAATATAATTATTATAAAACTTGACAAATATCCAAATATTTATATAGCAATAATATATTGAAAGTTTTTATTTAATTATATTATAGTTTACACAAAACTTAAACGAACGGAAAAATGGATTGTTTCATGGAAAACTAAATTTTGTCGTATTTACTATATTTAATAAACATCGAATATTAATTACACGTATAAATTAACTTGTTTCATTAAAATCTTCGCTTTTTTTCTTTCGATAGAATTAATACCATAATTCTCATCAATATTGTAGGTATATGCCGACTACTTAAATTAAAAATAAATTTAAAAAAGCTTTATTGAAAAAATATATACGGTATAAATCACATACACAGATATTGCAATTAAAAAATATAAAAAAACAATATTACTGCTATGAAAAACAATTTTTCTGCAAAGAAACAAAACAAAAAATTAACTTTTTATAAACAATAAATTAAAATATGAAAAGTTTTTTTTTTTTTGTTACTTTACTAGGTTCTGTAGTTTTGTTCAATTTAATATAATTCACGCGTGAATCTAACGTGACGTTATCGTTTTTTTATCGATATATCATACACTAGCGTCACTACGTGAAGTCAAAAAGGCGGGAACAGAAAAATGGCCGCTTAATACTTGAACATTAATTTTATTGTTAACATTAATAGAAACGACTGAACATGCATACTGTTTAGTACCAGCTCTTTTCTACATTGTCTATGACGTTTGCTTAAACATAACGTTTACAAACATAGAAACGTTTTGTTTATGGTCCGGCCCTACTTATAGTGAATAAATTTTACTTTTTTAATAAGTAGCAGGCATATATCATATACCTGTTTAGTTTTATCGTTATATTTAAAAGGAAAAATCAGATTAATGACATCATTTATGTATAAAATTACGCCCATTGCATGAGTTAAATCATAAGCAATATTGTTATGGTAAAAGAAATAATATCTGGGTAGAAGCGACATTAATCTACTCTGTAATCTAGCCCTGATACCGCCAAAATGTACCCTTCTCCCCTCACACCTCTTATTTGTCATATATTTAACAGAGTTGCCACTTTAATTTCATGTATCATCATTAATACTGTAATATAAATCGGTAATTCCAAATTAGTCTTAGACGATTAACCATATCAAGAATATGAAAGTTTCGACAACCACCATCTTGTTTAAAAAAAAATCTGTAACGTAATAACGAAACGCCGCGTCGTGTAATGTTGAAACGACGCGTGACGTTGCAAGTAAGTCATCTCTTTGAGTGGCGCACACCCCTATTAATAAAGGACTTTAAGCCCAGCAGACAGCTAGAGCCATGAACGGGGATGAAGTCTTATAATTATTAAATTAGCAAATTTTTTTGTCATTTGCTTCATGCTTTAGAGGGCACGTGAAGCCATCATTCGATAACCCACGTCGGAGGCGACTTGGAAACTCTTCTCACAGATGGCGTTACTGTCACCCGAGTGTTAGTAGCGGGAGTGTCGCTTCTACGCAGTATTCTTTATTCTTATGGTTATGGTATAAGAGGCATGATGCACCGTAGTGGGCTTCCCACCGAACGAAACACTGAGCTGAAATTATACGAAATTTTCACACGTTATGCGCCCCTATTGGATAGTAAAAAATGAAAAGGTATAAAAACTTTTTTTGTAATAAAAAAAAAACTATGTTAAAAAAAGTTTTTTTTCTTCTATAATATTTTTTACTATTTAATACTGGCCTTGTATTTAAGACAGCCTTATATAAGTGGACAGTGTCACTTTATGAAAAAGATGTTTCTAGAATGTTCCGAAGTAGAGATATATATGTATATATTATATACAGTGAATACAATGAAATCTTGAGGCTGTCTTCAATTATAGTGTGGGATCATTATCTATTTTGAGGTAGCTGTTACTTTTTTTTTTTATTACAATTTTCTTTTATTTTATACAAAAAAATAAATAAATAAACAAAAGTGTAAAGTAAAAAAGTTTTTATTTTTATTAATATTTCTATTTATATATTGTCGCAGCTAACTCAAAAGTAACTATTATCTAGTTAATTAATTAAACTAAACGCTGTTGATAAGTCATAAGTAATATCATTTTAATTGCTTTAAATTTTAAATAAGATAAGAACGCAATGTAGTGTTGAAATACATTTCAAATAGTTTATCTAATGTGTAAAAATAATTCCTAGCTCTTTTATTTTTAAGTGACAAAAGTTGTTTATTTTAATTTTTCTTCTTTTTTTTTTAAAGTTTCCAAATGTATTTCAACACGTTTATTCGAAAATGAATAATAATTAATAACTAACTCTTTCTTCACCTTCTAATATTGCATATCACACGCATATTCAGTATGAATAGCTGTTCTAAAATTAATAGTCAATTAAAAAAGTATTGCCACATGATAAAAAACCACTTTTTTCAAATATACTGAGATTCGTAAGTTAAATTTAAAAAATGCAAGTTACAAAAAAATATTATTTCGTTTATAACTCGGGAAACAAACCATAAATTAAGGAATGCACTGAGTACTTTAATTTTTTTTTTTACAAATAGATATGTATCTATTATCTACATTTAAAAATGAAAAAAGAAATACGTCTTTTGGAAAGAAATAATGAAGGATAATAAAACAAAAATTGCGAATTATAAATCAGTATATTTCGAAAGTGGTATTTTAAGTGGTGTTATAGACAATTTTTAATATTTACGCGGTTACGGGCTTACGTGTGGGATGCTTTGCACCCATCGGGTTCAGTCCCGTCAGCATGTATTTTTTTTTTACAAAAAAAAAAGATACTTGGGTAAAACCTGTCATAATTTTTTGTTATTTTCCCAAAAAAATTATAAGTAAATTAATATATTCACTATTTCATGTTTAAATTGGACATTTTTTTGAAATGACTTTGTTTTACCCAAAATATTTGATTAAAAATTAAAATTGCACACTTAATTTATCAGCCCACTAATCAGCTGAATGCTTTGAGATTATTTTAAGTGAATTGGCAATTCGTTGAGTCTACTGCCTCCGAACCTCTTTGTGGCCACGAATCCTGAGATGAGCGTAGCGGTTATGTTAGGAGCGTTTTTAGTAAAATCGCTCCTAAACAAACTAACGAACAACATTTGATGCCGACGTCAAATTTTATTTAGATTTGAATATATTTAGATTATTTGTTTCTTTTTTAAATCTGTAAACATTTACAGTTTAGTTACGTAGGTATTAATATATAACCAACTAATAAATTTATTATAAATTATGTACAAACAAGTAAATTAGAAAATTTCTTTTAACTTTAATGGATAAATTTAATAAAGCCATCTCATATAAATTAACGCTACACGTCAACACACAGTTATATGCCTTTTAATCGCTACTAGCTCACTTCGTGGCCTCAAATGAAACACTTGTGGCCCACTTGTTTTTTTCTCATGTCATCCGATGGTCCTGTGAATGTAATAATATAAACTGTACGCTCCACATTAGATCTGTCACATCTCCTAGACAAAGTACAAACGAATCTATCAATGGAACCGCTTTAGTCAGCGCTCACATGACATAGAATAAAATAACACACGTCTTCTTATTCTATCACATACGACTCGCTAGCGATAACGATTCCATCAATAGAATCGTTTGTACTTTTTCTAGGGTTAAGGTTATTTTAGTGCTTACAAATAATTTCTATGGAGTTTTGTAATCCTTATTGAATTATATGTGTACGTAATTTGAAAAATATACTGTTTCTTGTTGAAACACAAGTATTATATATACTTGTGTTGATGTATTAAATGTGTTACAATATTTTTATAATCCTTAATTCAGGCTTTTTTAAGTGTTTTTTTTTTCTCTGTATATCAAATATATGTAAGCAGTCAATCTAATTTGTTGAATGTATCTAATTATATATTTAACATTATTATCTATATGTTTGTTGTAAAGAAACCATGTTTATATCAAGATTTATATTTTTATACTTACCTACAAGTGTATTATAAATTTGTATGTAAACGTTTACTTACTAGAAATTATATTACGTGTAATTGGGCAGGAGTGAAATTCAGTTTTTTTCCAATTAGGCAGTCTGAATGGTAGGTGCATTGGTTTAATATTGGCTTACTTGTAATTAGGTTTGATGTGGAGCGAAATACAATTGTCAAACTGTCGGTTTGTTCACTAGACAATAAACAACAGTATTAATAGTCTGTGAACCATTGCAATTTGTGAATGAAACTAAATCCGCTCCTTAAAGTGTTAGGAGCGGGATATAAAAATGAGTTTCGCTACTAACTTTAACTCAATTTATGTGAAAGAAAATATTAATTATAATTTTTGTTTTTAATGTTTGTATAGAAAGCAAAAGACTACGTTTTTTACTAAGAACTTTGGTACATATTTTTTTTTTTTTACCAAAGACAATCATGAATTAAACCTTATATTATTTTATTACAATAACATAATAATAAGGTTTCAAAAAAGATTAATTATTTTAAAAAATATTGTTGTATGCGCATAAACATATAATACACAAAAATAGCTATTCCCTTTATTTAATGGATAAGAATGAAATAGTGATGTCACTTACGTTATTAGTTTTTTTTTTTTTTTGGTGGGTTACTTTAAATTCAGAATTGCAATGGGATATTGACTAAAGATTTTAATTTTCCATAGCTAAACTGCGTATCTATGGTATCAAGCATGTGTTTTCGTCAAATATTCAAGTGCCATAATTATAGAGAATATTGTTATATTAACATTGTTTTATTTTTAAATTGATACCTGCCCAAACAAAGGAGAGACTTTTAAGTCTTCTGCTTGGATAGTTCTATTCCCCTCGTGTTTCTGTCGTGAAGCAGTCGTCCTTGCATATATAGCCGGATTGTTTATTAATCAGTGTAGGGAACTGCCTAAAGTCCCCTAAAAAATTTTATTCGTGAAGGTTTAATTAAGTGGAAATTAAATTTGAAAATTTGTTAATAAGTAAGTAAAAACACATGTACAAAATATTAATATGTTATTACCAAGTTTTAATGGTTTTATGTTAATAAAGTACAAAGCAACGTATACGAGGTGAATCCGTTCGTTTATAGAAAAATATAGCAGTTTCTAAATTAGCGAGACGAGAGTTGGAGTATGCCAGTATAATTATAAGGTACAGAGTCAACACCATACTCCTAAGGGAATACGATGCATGAGGGTTACGGGATACCATGGCCATTACAATTACAGAATATATTATATTAGAATATCCACTATGATGTTCATATCTATAGGCAACGGAAACTACTTTCCATCATATGGACGTTCATATTAATTACTATTTTGTGTCATAAAAAACTTGATAATTGTAAAAAATTGTATTACGTAGCACAATTGCTCCCTAATCGATAGGTGAAATAAATGTACTTTTCTCTGGCAAACATCCCCATCTGCGATCAAGTGGCAAAAAGGAACGGATGTACATTAGCAATTTTAGTTCCTAAATCGCTCTGCAGAGGCGGCATCAACGTTTATTGTTAGTTTTTTTTTATGTCACTTTACACTACTCACCCCTTTCCCCCTTATCACTGACCGTCCCTCTTGACCTTACTAAGGATTTTTAATAACAAAAAGACCAAACTGTTGCCAAATAACGCTAAAGCGTTATTCACTAAACCTATGAGCCACTAGATGGCGATGTAACAACTGTATAAGGCGATATTATTAAATTTTATTCTTTGTACATGAAAAGTAATATTGTACTTTTTGTTTACTGTGATAATACCTAGCAATAAGAAAAAAAAAGAATTGGCAATTTTTTGCAAAATGTAAGTCGTATGATTTACATTTCTATCATACGAATAATTAAATAAGACTCATTCATTCATTCATTCACACCAGAGGAAGACTTTTTACAAAAGTCGATTGCTTGGGTACCTCTGTCTCATTCGTGTTTCAACCGTGAAGCAGTTGTGTTTACATGGCTGTGTTTCGGTTTGAAGGGTGGGATATGACGTGAATTTACTGGGTACAGAGGAATAACACCTGAGTCATCAGGAATGGCAATGCATGGGGGGTATCATGGGCGAAACAGTATACTATGTTATGTCCATGGTACTAATGCCATTCTAAGTTGTATAAAAAAAAAACAGTGAACAGTTAATGGCTGATATAAATAATAAAAAAAAAATATATAACCCTCAATTCAGTTTTTAAATTGTTTTTTTTTTTTCTATATATCAAGCACATGTGATAACCCTTTATAACTTAGATTTTTTAATTTTTTTTCTATATATCAAGCACATGTAGGTAGTAAACAAACCAATCTTATTTGTTTAATTGTATTTCCAATATTATTATAAACTTTTATATATATATATATATATATATATATTTGGCAAGAATTATACTTTCATATTTACCTACTACTACTAGTTTTTTAGTTACCTAGTAGTTATATAGTTACTTACTTAAAATTATACACGAGTACTTTGTTAAGAGTGACACTCGATTTTTAACAGACTTAAAAAAGTAGGAGGATTTCGATTCGCTATTCGATTGTTTTTTTTTTTTTGTTTATTACTTTATAACTCTGTCAGTTGTAAACCGATTTGGATATTTTTTTTTTGTCTGAACGGATATATTTTATCAAATTTATATCAAAATAACACAATTAAAGCCGACTCTGTTTGTAAAATACAATTTTGATCTCATACCTAATTATATAGTCTAAACGATACACACATTGGTTTAATATTGACTTACTTGTAATTAGGTTTGATGTGGAGCGAAATACGATTGTCAAACTGTCGGTTTGTTCACTAGACCAGGGGTTCGTAAACTTTAAAGATAGGGGGGAAAGGGATTGTTAGTAATGGAGACTGAGAATCCCATTGCTAGCAATATACCCAACCAGGTCGACCTCCACGCGGTTCCCCCTGGAAACTATCATGGTTAATTCCTGATGAATTCATCGTGATGCGCTAACTGGCCTGTTTTCATTTTCATCTATCACCCTTCACTGGTGCTCCGCCAGCGTATATCGATAGCGCAGGCGGGGTGGGGTTACCATACCATTTTCACCCGTCAAAAAAAAACTAAAGATAACGAAACGCCCCCCAAATATCTTTTATTTTATGGGAACGATAGAAAGAAAGAAAGAAAGAAAACATTTATTGACAACAACAAAAAGTTACATAAATTATGAATTAAAAAAAAAATTATTACAAATCGAATTGTAATTTAAATAAAAACAAAAGCTTTTATTAAAAATATTTTAAAAGTGTAACAGTTTATTTTTAATGTGAAGAATGAAATTGTTTCACATTGCCCCCTGTGTTATAAATTAAAGGATAACAACTACTAGCAAAACCCCCCCAAGGGGAGGCTTATGTCCAGCAGTGGACAGTTCCAGGCTGATGATGACGATGAAAAAAAGTAATGAACATGAATAGACCAATGTTTAGGAACATCACTCGTTCTCGAGTATGACGGATGTGTCCGTATTGTGCTTACTTGTCCACTAGTTCCTGCTACTAACAAGTCACTAGCCAGCTCTCTTACAGGACTAAATAAAACCAATTTACATTTTTTATTATATTTACATTTATTTTTCTTATTTTTTTTTTATAACAAATAATAATTTAGAGGCGGCACAAGAATACTGTGATGTGACAATAAAAAAAAATGAAACTTCTGACGGGCAAAGTACATTATCCAAACTGCTATGTATGTACCTAAAATATATAGTACCTATATGTATTAAAAAAAATAACAAAATTCGTTTTGAAATAAATAAATTAAAATTTTTTTTGAATTTATTATTATTATTATTATATTGCTCATGTCTATATGCGACGGTTACCACTTTCCATCAGGTGGGCCGTCAGCTTGTTTGCCATTCTAAGTTATATAAAAAAAAATTACTATATACATATATATACGAGGTCTGTCCGGAAAGTTCGTATAAAAGTGTTCTGGAATGCGAGAAAGAGGAGTGGGGAGGCCAGGTAAGCGCAGGACCCCTTCCTTATGTCCCTAACAATGCTTCAGTTCTGGTCTGACCGCCGTGCGGTGCGAACTGGCTTGTCACGCCATCTGTGAAGTTACCTCTTAACGAAACCCCGTCGGCATGGAGCCCGCTTCCGTTGAAGAGCAGCGCGTCGTAATCAAGTTTCTCTCGAAACTCGGCAAGAATGGCCGTGAAATTTTTGCCGATCTCAGAACAGTTTATGGGGATGATGCTGTGAAGGAACCAACCGTCCACAAGTGGCTAAAAAGATTCAGAGAGGGCCGAGACAATGTTGATTGTTTTTTTCGATGTTCGGGGGATTGTCCATCAAGAATTCGTCCCTCCAGGCCAGACAGTTGATGGAAAATTCTACGTCGATGTGCTCAGACGCCTCAAAGCTCGTGTGGCACGAGTTCGTCCAGAATTGGCGCGAGAGGGGCGTTGGATTCTTCACCACGACAATGCCCCTGCCCACACCTCTCTTGTTGTCCGTGAGTTTTTGAGTAAAAATTCCATTACGGTGACCGAACACCCCCCTATTCGCCGGATTTGGCCCCGTGTGACTTCTTCTTGTTCCCAAAAACCAAATTGGTACTTCGGGGGCGGCATTTGGGGGACATAAATGAGATAAAAAAAGCTACGACGGGGCAGCTGAGAAACCTACAACCAGAGGACTTTCAAGGAGCCTTCTCACAGTGGAAACGGCGTTGGCACAAGTGCATTATGTCACAGGGGGAGTACTTTGAAGGGGATAAAATTGATTTACCTGAATAATTGTAAAATAAAATTTTTAAAAAACTTTTATACGTACTTTCCGGACAAACCTCGTATATCAAACAAGCTGACGGCCTGCCTGATGTAAAACGGTAACCATCGCCTAGCTCCACTATAGTAGCGCCGCTAGCAGAACACTCCTTTCAAATAACAACGATTTCAATTCATTCTGTATTTACAATTGGACGTTATTTTATTATATATATATATATATATTATATATATATATATATATATATATATATATATATATATATATATATATATATATATATATATATATATATATATATATATATATATATATATATATATATATATATATATATATATATATATATATATATATATATATATATATATATTATATATTTGTACTTGTATTGAAAGTCATCTTTTCTTGAATTATTCCTGTAACAAAAAAATCTAAAATTAAAACAGCGACATCTAGTAGCGAACTAAGCACAACTACTATTATGGATTTTTTTTGATAGGTGATAATGGAATGGTAACCCCACCCGCGCTATCGGTATACACCGGCGGGGCACCAGTGAGGGATGATAGGTGAGGATGAAGCAGGTCAGTTGGCCCACCGTGACGAATTCAACAAGAATTGTTCACGATGTTTTCCAGGGGGAACCACGTGGAGGTCGACCTTATAAAGCATATTGCTAGCAATGAAGCTTTCAAACTCCATTACTAACAATCCCTTTCCCCCCTGCACAACTACTATTATAGATGTTTTTTGAAGGGTAAAAATGGCATGGTATCCCCGCCTGCGCTAACGGGATACGCTGGCGGAGCACCAGTGAAGGGTGATAGGTGAGAATGAAAATAGGCCAGTTAGCACATCATGATGAATTCATTAGCAATGGGATTCTGTCTCCATGACTAACAATCCCTTTCCCCCCTATTATGAATGTTAGGCGACTATTATTACTGGGGGGAAAAGGGATTGTTAGTAATGAGATCTAATTGACCCATTGCTAGCAATACATCCTATCAGGTCGACCTCCATGTGGTTCCCCCTGGAAACCATCGTAGTTAATTCTTGTTGAATTCGTCACGATGGGCTAACTGACCTGCTTCATCCTCACCTATCATCCTTCACTGGTGCCCCGCCGGTGTATACCGATAGCGCGGGTGGGGTTACCATTTCATAATCATCCATTAAATAAAAAAAAAAACTTTGTGTCAGCTAATTGTCAAATTCAATGTATCTTGACGTATCTATATTTATTTATTTAATAAATAAAATGAGTGTTTACGCATTAGAGATGCAGAAATTATAAGACAAAATAAATATAGAAGTTATAAAGGAATCACTCGTAACTATTTATCACGCAATATTGTATGAAAAAGTTGAACCGCTTTTGAAGCTTTTCTTGAAGCTTTTGTACGGAGACACTCTATCTGTATAATCTAAGGAATACTAGAGGGAGACTTTGTACAAAAGTCGTTTGCTTGGGTACCTCTGTCCCATTCGTGTTTCTACCGTGAAGCAGTTGTATTTGCATGGCTGTGTTTCGGTTTGAAGGGTGGGATATGACGTGAATTTACAGGGTACAGAGGAATAACACCCGAGTCCTCAGGAATGGCAACGCATAAGGGATATCATGGGCGAAACAGTATACTCTGTTATGTCCATGGTACTGCACATGTCTATAGGCGACGGTCACCACTTTCCATGAGGTGGGCCGTCAGCTTGTTTGCCATTCTAGGTTGTATAAAAAAAAAAGTATAAACTCACTGAGATCATCAGCGTTGGGGCAATTCTTCATGTGTTCGGTGATGAGAAGCTTCAACTTGGCATTCTCGGCCGTTAGTCTCTGGTTTCTCTCGTTCAACTGTTTTATCTCCAACTCTTGTATTGCCATCGACTTTTTTAACCGCTGCCTGTAAAACAAATATTAAAAAAAATATAAAAAAACATTTGAAGGACTTAAAGAAACTTTTTTTATGACTGGCATACAGGCGCTGGAAACCAGATGTAAGAAGTGCATTGAGTTAAGTGGAGATTGCGTGGAAAAATCAAAATACTTTTGTTTATATTTTATATTGTTTTGCTTGCTGAGGCCGCGAACTTTTCAATACATTCTCGTATAAAAAAAAATACTTATATTTTTTTTTTATACGAGAATGTATCGGCGTGCAAAGTGCTATTGTTTGTTATTAACACTGTAAAAATATCAAGTTATTTTTTTTTACAATTTTAGTAAAACAAATTAGTTTTTATATAACTAAAAAACATATGTACAATTCCATCTCTTCTAACCCCTCCCTCTCCCGCCCTCTCCCCCTCCCCACCACTTACCGTGTCTCTCTTCTCTCAAGTGGAGTTATATATATATATACTTATGTAGTACTTACCTATACCGCCTGGACGCTGCTACTCTCGAGTCCAAATCCTTATCGGACAATTTCCTCCTCGCACCCTGCGCACCACTGTCCACCACCACGCAATCATCGTCATCACCTTGCCCCGGCTGCTTCTTATCACCGTCCTCTATACGTCTTCTCTTTATTGGCTTCATAATTTCTCTATTGTTAATCACATTTAACGGTGTAATTGGTATCTTGTTCACATGATTCGAATGCAATATGGTCACTGGTATTAAAGTACCGGCCGCGATAGGCAAGTTGGTTGTGACCGGTACATTTTGTATTACAGGAATGTTCGTCAGTTTATTCGTCAGGGCCTTTTTTAGTTTTTCCTTCGTGTTGCATTGCGGCACGCTCTTCTCTGGACTGTCACTGTCCACCGACTTCATCCGTATCTGCTTACCGCCTGGCAGTGTTATCGTTACTGTATACTCTTCTATACTGTCCGTTGTCGACTTGGTTGGCTGCGGCTTCTTCTTACTGTCTACAACCTGTTCGTTCCTACATATATCCGATGTTAGACTGTCCACAACGAAATCGTACGACTTCTGACTCATCATCGGCGGTATCCCCATGTGTTTGCCCTGTTCACTAGACGACACATCTTTGCTGACGTTGTTAACGTCTCTCATAACGGAATCCGTTGTTATTATAACAGGATTGTGACAATTCTTGCTAGTTTCTAAGTCTTTTCTTATTTTTATTATGTTATTCGTGTATGATACAGTCTCGTTTAGTATATCCTTGTTCCTTATAGCTTCTGTGTGCCTGGTGTCGTCGTGTGCTTTGTCAACCACGTCGTGTTTCTCCACTCTCCGGCTGATGGTGGTCACTTCGTTGGTCAGTTTCGATATGGTTGTGGTCTCATATTCCTTTATGACGCCCGACTCGTCGCTCGACGATCTGTGGAGTGGCAGTTGTGTCGGTTATTGCCAGGAATGGACAGTGACAAATAAACCATTTAAAATAGTCTCTTTAAATAAAACTTAATGTGAATGCAAGCAAATGAATAGTTAACTCAATTACCGTGAGATACTCTGCTGATGTTCATCAGACAATCTTCAGAGATATCGTAGGAATAAACATATAAACATGCTGCAATATATATGCAAACAAGCTGACAGCCCACCTGTATGGAAAGTGGTAACCGTCGCCTATAGACATGAGCAGTACCATGGACATAACAGAGTGTACTGTTTCGCCCATGATACCCCCCATGCGTAGCCATTCCTGAGGACTCAGGTGTAATTCCTCTGTATCCTGCAAATTTTCAAGTACCTGCTAATTGTGATGTTCCTCTGATTGTTGGTGGCGCTGTAGAGTGCCGAGTCAGCATGATCGATCATGGGGAATACCATCTGCGGCGTGTGGAGGTCGTCGGTCGACGAGACTGCGGCTGCAGGCTCCATGGATAGCAGCCCGTGCCTGACAACAAGATATTTATTATTAAAAAAATATTTATCATTGGAGATACCAGCGCCATCTATTTATATTTAACTGTACTATTATTATAACTACTCATGTGAAGATGGCGCCCTCTGGTGACAAATGTTTCTAATCCGCTTTCATCGTCTATGAAAGCCTTAGAGGCACAAAGTAAGCAACAATCATTTCTTTAAAATAATAATAAATAATTCATTGGAAAAATTCTGTGGTTTAGATTGGGATTCGAACACAGGACCATCACCATTCATTAGACAGTGACAGATATGCATAAATATCTACCTATACCTCCATACCATGCAATTTCACTGTAATATTCCATACTTCAAACAGAAATACAGCCATGTGGATCGGCTGCTTCACAGCAGAAACGTGAGTAGGATAGAGGTACCCTTGCAAACCACTTTTATAGTTTTCTTTCCTTGTTATGGCAGTTAAACAACCTATCTCAGCAATTTGGAGGGAAGGGATTGTTAGTAATGAGAACTACCAGTCCTATTATTATTATATTGAATTCACTTATTATATTACATGTACTTAGTAAGTAACCCTGCGGAGTGAGTCCCTGGTGACCTGTGATACAGGTATTCTCATACCTATCTCGGGCACCAGTCTCTCACAATTATATTTATAACTTGACTACTTTAATATAAGCATGTCTCATTGTATTTCACTGTGATGAATTGTGAAGGGGAAATAAATCTATTTATTTATTAATTGATAGTAATATACTCTGTCATGTCGACCTCCACATGGTCCTCTCTAGAAACCATCCTGCTGAATTCCAGGGGTATTCATCATGATAAGCTAACTGACCTGCCTTTTCATTCTAATCTATCGTCCCTCACTGGTGGCCCACCAGCATACACCAATAATTCAAGTGGGGGTTACCATTCTGTTATCATCATTAACAAGGACCATGAGACAAGCTGTATGCGGGGGAAAAGGGATTGTTAGTAATGGAGACTGAGAATCCCATTGCTAGCAATATACCTAACCAGGTCGACCTCCTCGCAGTTCTCCCTGGAAACTATCACGGTTAATTACAGATGAATTCATCATGATGGGCTAACTGGCCTGTTTTCATTCTCATCTATCACCCTTCACTGGTGCTCCGCCAGCGTACCCCGTTAGCGCGGGCGGGGTTACCATACCATTTTCACCCATCAAAAAAAAAAGACAAGCTGTATGCTCATTTGCCATCTTTTTTTTTATACAACTTAGAATGGCAAACAAGCTGACAGTCCACCTGATGGAAAGTGGTAACATGACATGAGCAGTACCATAGACATAACAGAGTATACTGTTTCGCCCATGATACCCCCCATGCGTTGCCATTCCTGAGGACTCAGATGTTATTCCTCCATACCCAGTAAATTCACTCCATATCCCACCCTTCAAACCGAAACATAGCCATGCAAACACAACTGCTTCACAGTAGAAACTTGAATGGAACAGAGTTACCCAAGCAAAAGACTTGTACAAAGTCTCCTTCTGGAATAAATTTTTAATTCTTTCGAAAAAAGAATGTGATTGTTATGTTCTCACTTGGCTGACTCCATGGCCCTCTTGAATCCTTCATCGAAAGGGTTCTCTTCACTCTGCAAGTCCAGAAAAAGGCCGACTTCCTCACAGTTTCTGATAAATCGTGTCGGAGTGGGGGTCTGGTCTGCTGTGAAAAATGTTTAATATGTACCAAATAGACCCAATTATATTTATATAGAACTCATCAACAGTAATTTAATGAACTTACTATGTACATTATTTCCATATAATTGTTTAATAAAATAAATAAAAAAATAAGGACTTCAAAAAAGCTGCTCTAGGGGCCTTTTAAGGTAAGGCGTTGCCTTACTAGGGGGGGGGGGCTTGCCTCTCATTGCCCACCCTAGCTACGACTATGTCATTACATATTACATATCAAAACATACCAACAAACGCAGCCTTCTGTTCCAGACCCAATTGCAATACCATGTCATGTTTCTTAGTATGTACATGCAAATGATCCTCGTTTGTGAATGTCATTCCACAATCAGCTATGGTACAGGCGAACGGCTTCTCTGGCTCCACCATTATCACTTATATAGATAAGAACTAGGAAGTTTAACAAAACTGTTTCAACTTCACAAATTTTTGTCTATGAATGCTCATATTTACACAGTGAAATTGCAGTGGTTTAGCTTTATATAATAATAGCTTTTCAGATATTTATAAAAAATACATATAGTTCATTTGTCACGACAATAAAAATTATTGTTAAAATTTTAAGGAAAAAATGTAAATAATTCGAAATATGCTTTGTGTCAGTAATATATTGGAGAAAGTGACAGTAACTGTCGTTGTCATTCAGGCAGCTGATCGCTGTCAATGCGACATTTGAAATGAGTGCGGTACACTAAAACAAATAAGTTATATAATATAGGTGGCGCCATGTTACTATACACTCCTATTTTTTCCTTATGTGGGGATTATACTTTTTCTATTTTTTTTTTATACAATTAATTTTTATTTTTCACAGTTTGATGAAAAGGTTTAATTTTGTCAGATTTAATAAAATTTTGACATTCAATTTCTCTTTAAAATTCTTTCCGTACTTATCTACTATTTATATTAGGTTGCCTGTAAGAAATTGCTTTAACGATAAGACCTCGTATTATTAAATATACTTTTCAACATATATGTGGTGTATGTTGAAAAGAGTCTATTTACGGCACAGATAATATAATACTATACTAGCTTACGGGTTCTTAACCACATGTGTATATTTTGTAAAAATTTGTATTCTATTATGCTTCCTATTTTTTTTTTACCTTCATACATATAGACATATGAAACATAAGTTCCAATTGCATATACATTAAAGAATATAACCGTTCAAAGGATATATTTGAGAGTCGAACATATAGATCCCAATTTTCTGAAAATTGAAGTCAATGCTACTTTAAAAGAAAATACTAGGTTATTTATATCTTACCATATCGTGATACTGTAATAAAACTTTAATTTAACCTTTAATAAATACCTTTATTAATAACAAATGATAAATAATCATCCATTACATTAATAAAATAATAATAACAAAACATAACAGAAACAATTATAAATACATGAACACATATTCTAACTACTTATCAGTTCATTGCATTGATTTATTATCGTTTTAATGTAAAAATATATTTTGTAGTGACAGGTAAATAAATGTATTTATGATGAATTAAAAAGCAGTTTAGGGTTTGAAACCCCTTTTACGTTATTTGAGAAATAGGAAGTGTATTTTTCCGGTGTATAACCGTGTATTTTAATTTGGTGCGGTTGATAGGACCCACGTTCGCGCGCCAGACGTCTATCAAATAGGGAGTAGACGGTTGCTCTCTTCTTTCTTGGCGAGTCTTGCATTTGTTGAGTCGGATAAGGGTCTACGTAACGCCGCCCGTTAATATCGCTGCCATCCGCTGTCGGGAATATCGTTGGCTAAATTAATAAAATACTTTCATTAAAGTATTTCGTAAATAATAAAAGAAAAATTAAAAGGCATTATTATATGAACTATGAAAACAAAAAAAATATCATGGTATTACAAAATAGTTGTGTATTTATAATTGTAAATATTTTTAATTCAATATAATTAAATTTTTAAAATAAAATTGAATTCCAATTATAATTAATATTTAAAGTTATAATTAAATATATTTAGTTATATAAAAATACATTGTTCATGACTCCAAAAAAACAAAATATTTCGACATAAGAGGTTTTATTAACTGCTGATCACCATTAGGAGCGATCACCAGTCAATAATACCTTAGCTTGCTTGCCTGCGCCCCTATTGTTGAACATTCCAGACGCTGGTTGACCTTGAGGCTCGTTGCTAATGGTATTCTGTTGGATGGTACCCATGCCTACTACCGCTGGGTTTGGCTCATTCTGTTGTCCTTTCCAAGGTCTACAATATTGAAAAGTTCAATTTATTTAGTAAAGTATTCTGTTATTTTTTTTTTTTTTTACTAATATTCATTTATTTTGAGGTTATATTTTAGCATTAAGACTTTTTCTTGATGTTTATACTTAAAAACGAAACAGATGAAAATTTGTTGAATCGTAAGTACCTTAAATTTATTATTATTTTCAAAAGATTTAATAAACAAAGAAGTTTCTCAAATTTGTTTGTAAAAATGTATTTTCATGTTTGTTTGAATTTTTTTTTTCTGAAAGTATATACTTATAAATTGATTTCACAAAAATTTTGTCAAAATAGGTCCTGTAGTTTATTTTTAAAATAAAAATAACTGGTTTTGCCTGAATTAAAACTATTTTTTGTGGAACACAATTCAATAATATTACATAATAAAACGAACCGAATTAATACCATTTTCAATATATTTCAATTTTACATATTTACTTAAAAATATAAATATATTATTACATTTTATATCTAAAACAGTTATAAAATATATTTTACTGTGTTTTCAATGTTAAGTTGAAAACATAGTAAAATACAAATTAAATGAATAAACACCAATCTAAAATAATGTCATGGGATCATAGTGTAGTGGCGCCATCTGTTCTCTTTCGTCAGCCCGCCATATATTTAAAAAATGAATTGTAAGCACTATTTCACTCACTTGTCCGGGAAAAGTTCACCTGGTTGACCTCTAGTTTGAACAATTCGTTCACCATTGATCTCGACCACGCATCTTAACCGGGCGCAGCAGGTTGGGAATTCTAACAAGGGAATGTTCATTTAGGTACTTGTTATAATGAAATAATTATTAACAAATCAATGGAACACACGTACCAACATTCTCGTCTTCGATATATTCGTGACATTCCAAAGCGTTCTCGGGAATTTTGGGTTTACGACATCTGAATAAAAAAAAGCAGTCAAAATATTAAGTAATATAAGTTTTGTAGGACTACAGAATAACTATTTTTTTTTTAGCTAAGGTTTATCAATATAGCATCTTAGTACTTAGGAACGATAACGCAACAGGAGTTTTTTTTTTTTTAGATGGGTGAAAATGGTACGGTAACTCCGCCTGCGCTAACAGGATACGCTGGCGGAGCACCAGTGAAGGGTGATAGATGAGAATGAAAACAGGCCAGTTAGCCCATCGTGATGAAATACACTAAATTTAATCACAATGGTTTCCAGGGGGAACCGCGTGGAGGTCGACCTAATAGGGTTTATCGTTAGCAATGGGGCTAATGAACTCCATTACTAACAATACCTTTCCCCCCTAACGCAACAGGAGTATCATGGCCTTTATAATTAATTTTGTACTAATTATGATCCTATTCATGTTATAAAATGGCCATGAGCATATTTAAACAGAGGCCAGGTGGATCTTACCCATTTCAGAATTGACTAAAGCCCGCCTCAGGATTTGAGAAGAATTTCAGGTATAGACAAGGATATGTGTGAAAGCAGACGCATACCTTTTTTGTAAGAGACCAGAAACCCTGGATGATAATCTGCCCTAATTTAACGCAAATGTGATATGTGTTTTAGTTGACCCGCGCGCTCCATCTTAGACCACGTCGTCGCTTTCTATCAGGTAAAATCATGAAACTAAAAGCAAATAATACATTTGGTACTGGCATTCAGCTTGTTTGTCATTACTAATTATATGAAACTGTACATACTTGTTGCTAGAAATCGCTCTAGGAAGTTAATCCTTACTCACCCAACAGCTGCAATGAAGTATTTCCCATCTCGTATCTCACACCGGTACCGGTGACAGGTATAATGATCTGACCACTCCTGCCACGGTTGGTAGCCTTTCCTGGAGTATTTATCGACACAGGCTTGATCTGCATTTTATGATATTAGGTTCATGTAATTAAACCCTTGGTGAGTTCGCTGGGCCAATTGATCTGAGTTCATCCTCACCTACAATTCTTCACTGGTGCCCCGCCAGTGTATTCCAATAGTGCAAAACTGGGATACCATTCTATTTTGAACTCATTAAAATATTTCCAAAGTGACATTTAGTACAAAAATTGTCTATATCAGCTATGAAGCAGCTGTGTTCGCATAGCTATGTTGAAAGGCATTGATATGGCAGTGAAATTATATGGCACTAAAGCGTAACACCTTAGTCCTCCAAGATGATAACACTTTATTTATCATCTACAACGTTCTAAAATTAAAATATCATCAATTATACACAGATTTCAACTAATTACTTTTATGTTCATTTCCATGCCGTATTGTCCCGGCATAGTCCTACGCGCACGCACGCACGCACGCACGCACAAACACACGCACACACACGCACGCACGCACGCATGCACACACAGACGTACTCACCTTTTCATATAGTTTTCCTTATTTATTTATTTTTTTGTAAATAAAGTGTACTAAATAGGTAATCGCACTTATAGTCCCCAAGATACAGGTCTGGCCTAGTTTGGGGACTGATGGTAATGCAGATATTTCCTTGTTGAATATAAATTGTAAAAATTGTAAATTGTACCTTATGCAACTGTATCTTTCTTAAATAAATATTATTATTATTTCTTATTATTTCCCGTGGGTGTCGTATGAGGCGACTAAGAGAACAATGATCGAGGGATGGGCAGCAGCGACTCTCTTAACACATCACCAAACTCTAACTGTGGTTGCCAACTCGCCTGCCAAGCATGGCAGCTACTGGCAAAACTCTCCATGTGGGGAAGTCTTATGTTCAGCAATGGACAATAAATGGCTTATATGTAGATGGCGTTCATGTCATATTAAATTACTTTAGTTCATATAAGTAAATTTCACTACTGTGTAAACAATAACATTATTATGAAATATATTCATCAATTACTTACAGCTCACGTCTTCGGCAAATATGGCGGGTGCCACTAAATAACTAACATAGATAAGTACAAATAAATACATCTTTGTACCACTGGCACCTGCAATTAAAAAAAAAAACTCGATGTTATCTGTACAAAACTTCAATGTCAACTAGCCACGTAACAGACATTTTCAAATAGAAATACACTTCGTATTGTTTAATATTTATAAAACACAGCTACAAGACTTTTATGGTTGACCGAAAACATAAAATGTTTATGTGGAACGGTCGAAGATTTCCGTGAAAACTTCAAAACAGATAGCTCGTGTGGGAGAGTTTCATTTAGCATTGCTCTCAAAAAATATTTTGACAAATTAGTCGAAAAAAATATTATGATTCTTTATTTAAATATTTATATAATAAACACTCGACTTTGTCCGCCATGATATATTCATTGACTGGGATGAACATTTCTCCATTCCATATCGTACGTGTATACGAAATTTTATAGTATTTTATTAAATCAAAATGCGAAAAGGTAACAAACAAATACAGTCATATTTACAATATTATGAAAGGGTTATATGTATCCAAGTACTTCGCCTGTATAATTTAAAATACTCGTATGAAAGTATCTAAATCAAAATCAGTCAAATCTATTTTATACCAAAAGCGATTAATGCCTATTCAGCCATTATGAATTAGAATGCCCAATGCTAAGTTCGCCTTTTATAACACATTTTATTGGTCAATAGTTTAAATGGAGTGATTGACATTATTAATGCATTTTAGTAATTCAACAACAGAGGGCGCTATCTTTATAAGACCACTTAACGGTAATATAGAATAAGTACATAAATTAGAATTAAAATTCAGTCAACAAAACTTAGTATCTCCTTTTTTACACAATAACTATTTTATTGCTTCGAATAGGCGACATTTTGAATTATTATTTATATTATTGTTACTTACCCATTTTGTTCCAGTTATTAATTGACTTTTATTATAATTAACAAAGTAATAAAATAAAGGTATCATACAGTATTTATTTTTTTACGTTTGTATTTTTTTTTTTTTTTGGAACGAAATAAGCAGCAATCGATTCGAACAATAATTTAAAATGCGGACTGCTTTGGAATATTCGCTTATTGTTACGGTTGTATCTGTTTTGGGTTTTCAAAGTATATTCTAGGAAATCTTTCATTGTCCTCAATTCAATATATTCGTTCATGTTGATTAAAGTGTGTTGAACTATAGAGAAGTATGTACTGGGCCTCTAGACAAGTGGCAAGCGAATTCGTCGTTGGAATTGATATCGATAGCAAGTCCGTGAGTTGGAATGAGTAATTTGGTGTTGCTATCTCATTCTATTTCACGGACTCGCTAGCGATGTCGATTCCATCGACGAATTCGCTTGTCACTTGTCTAGAGGACCTATTGCTTATAATAAATGTATGTAACGAAATATGTAGGAAACTGTTTTGATACTGTTTTTTTTTACTTTTACAAATTAAAAAATAGGCAAAGATAAAAAATATAACAAAAAAATATCTGTATTCAACCCTAGAAAATTCAGACTCAATTGGAATTAAGAAAGGATTTCTTTTTAATTTTCTATTTACGAAAGGCAACTTCATCCTCGAAGATCGTTTATTAAGGCGTTTTAGGTCATAATTATAAGGAATTTTAGGTAATAATTGGTAAAATTTAAGTTAAATATTAGCAACACCGGTTGTCAATGTCAGTCTTCATCAGTCAGGACATGACACACAGTAATGTTGTGAAGTCAATCAGTCAATTTAGTACGAATTTGTTGTGTTCGTGTTTTATCTTTGCTGTCTAACGATTTATTTAATTTTATGTTTTGAATTGTGTTTTGTGAATTCAATTAGGAATTGCACGTAGCTCAAAACCGTTTCAATGAGGTAAGATTTAATTTTAATAGATTCTTTTGCTGTTTTCCTTGATATTAAATTTTCAATTTGGGAGAGTATAATTTGTAATTATTTTATATATTATATTGGCTTTACTAAACTGAATAAGGAAAAACAAAAAGTATATATACAAACTAATACTGATATTTATCAGTATTAGTTTAGTAATGTAAAGTAATTATTACAGTAATTACATTACGAATTGTCAGTGTAAAAAATATGAGGGTAGGTGTAGGTACTATAAGAATTAAATTTATAAATCAACTATGAAATTATAAATGTTTTACGCTTGTTTATGGTAAAAGGATAATTCCTGCTTGTTCTATATTCCCCACCACTCACAAATGTTGTTATCAAAAGTAAATGAACTTTATGTTCACAAAAATGGTGATTAATACTGAACACATGTGAAAGCTGATAAAAATGCTTGTTATTCAATCATAGTTAAGGGTTGAATGAATTTGAATTTTATTTAAAAAGTTATTTAAAAAGTTGAATGAATATATATTTTATTTAAAAAGAAAAGAATTCGTTCATAGAATCATACAACACATAGAAAAATAAAACAAACAGTTTAAGTGATACAATAATATAACCCATTAAAAATAGAAATAGAAAAAAAATTACAAGTCTTGCAGCACAGTTTTTGCACTACAATAGTTGTGAGATTGTATGTAAAAACAAGTCATTGACATTTATAATGATCATGTCAATATTGGATATATTTATTTTAATATAATTATAATGACTTATTAATTAGATACTAATTATGTAGCTATTAATTTATTTTTTAATAATAATAATAGTTTATTTACACAAAAACATGGTATACAGATGGTATTTGTAATATGTTATGAATATGTTTGTTTTGCCAAAACAATGGCACGCAAAACTTAGGTACAATAATGTCAGTAAACAATTGACATAAGTTGCCTACGACATATTATGCCTTATTAATTAATTGTACATTCTAGGAATATTAAATATTTTCCCTAATACAGTAAAATAACATAAATTCTTTTGCAATCAATTAGGTCTATTTTTATCGGTGCCATAGAGTTTTGTGACAATTGTAATTACTATTTTTATTTTATATTCCATTTTATGGCCTGTGATCCTGGCATAGAATGGACCGCCTCTTCTTTCCCTTCCCTTCTTCCTTACCTTCCCGTGTGTTGTGAGTGGTATTTGTTTATATGGTACCACCATAAGAGGATTATTTAATCTTAAACCACATTAGTATGGTGAAGAAATAATTTAAGATTGTTTCACAAAAGAAAAACAAACCAATTTTTTTTATACAACTTAGAATGGCAAACAAGTTAACGGCCCACCTGATGGAAAGTAGTAACCGTCGCCTATAGACATGAGCAGTACCATGGACATAACAGAGTATACTGTTTCGCCCATGATACCCCCCATGCGTTGCCATTCCTGAGGACTCAGGTGTTATTCCTCTGTACCCAGTAAATTCACGCCATATCCCACCCTTCAAACTGAAACACAGCCATGCAAACACAACTGCTTCACGGTAGAAACACGAATGGGACAGAGGTACCCAAGCAATCAACTTTTGTACAAAGTCTCCCTCTGGTCTTGTTTATTTTCATCTATATCTATGTACAGACCTTACATCTTAGTACTATTTTAATTTCTGATTAATTTTCTGGTAATTGTAAACATCGATAATAAGTCATGTTAATCCTCGTGCCAGCAGTAGGCTCGCCCCTACAGCGTTGTATTTTTTTTTAATGGGCGATAATGGAGTGGTAACCCCGCCTGCGCTATTGGTATACGCTGGTGGAGCACCAGTGAGGGATGATAGGTGACGATGAAAGCAGGCTAGTTAGCCCATCGTGACGGATTCCACTAAAATAACCACAATAGTTTCCGGGGGGACCCGCGTAGAGGTCGACCTGATAGGGTGTATTGTTAGCAATGGGTCAGTTAGACCCCATTACTAACAATCCCTGTTCCCCGTGCAGTGGTCTATTCTAGCATGCTCAACGAAATGTGGACACTTCGAGTGTTATGTTCACTGTAACGGCGACAGGCGGCAGATGGCTCTGTCTGGGGGGAAAGGGATAGTTAGTAATGGGGTTTAAAAGTTTTATTACTAGCAATATATGCTATTAAGTTGACCTCCACGCGATTCTCGCTCGTAATCATCCTGATTAATTAATGTATTTTTTTTTTAATGTGTGATAATGAAATGGTAACCCCGCCTGCGCTATCGGTATACGCTGGCGGGGCACCAGTGAGGGATGATAGGTGAGAATGAAAGCAGGCCAATTAGCCCATCGTGACGAATGCCACTAGAATTAACCACGATGGTTCCCATGGGGAACCGCGTGGAGGTCGACCTGATAGGGTGTATTGCTAGCAATGGGTACCTACATTAAACCCTATTACTAAGTAATGGAGACTGAGAATCCCATTGCAATATACCCAACCAGGTCGACCTCCTCGCGGTTTCCCCTGGAAACAATCATGGTTAATTCCTGATGAATTCATCACGATGGGCTAACTGGCCTGTTCCATTCTCATCTATCACTGGTGCTCCGCCAGCGTATCCCGTTAGCGCAGGCGGGGTTACCATACCATTTTCACTCATAAAAAAAATACAATTACAAGAAATAATCACACTAAGCAAACAATAGGCGACCTTAACGCTAAGAGCTATCTCTTGCAGGCAACCTTTGGATGGAGAGGAGTAATTATAAACAGTTTGACTGGAGGCACGATGAAATCTATTTATTTAAATATCTGATGAAATAGTTAAATATAGTTTTTAATGTATCACCATTTGTAAATAAGTGCATTTATGTAAATAAATATAATTCAAACGCACTCGCCTTACACTGACACTATCTAAAGTATAACGTTTCGTTTCATAAAAGTGTGTATTTCGTGTTAAAGTAAATACTGAGAATGTGTTTAACATGTGTGTGCATTAATATCGTATTGTATTTAATGTTTGTTATATATATATATATATATATATATATATATATATATATACGAGGTCTGTCCGGAAAGTTCGTATAAAAGTGTTCTGGAATGCGAGAAAGAGGAGTGGGGAGGCCAGGTAAGCGCAGGACCCCTTCCTTATGTCCCTAACAATGCTTCAGTTCTGGTCTGACCGCCGTGCGGTGCGAACTGGCTTGTCACGCCATCTGTGAAGTTACCTCTTAACGAAACCCCGTCGGCATGGAGCCCGCTTCCGTTGAAGAGCAGCGCGTCGTAATCAAGTTTCTCTCGAAACTCGGCAAGAATGGCCGTGAAATTTTTGCCGATCTCAGAACAGTTTATGGGGATGATGCTGTGAAGGAACCAACCGTCCACAAGTGGCTAAAAAGATTCAGAGAGGGCCGAGAAAGAGTTCGATGTTCGGGGGATTGTCCATCAAGAATTCGTCCCTCCAGGCCAGACAGTTGATGGAAAATTCTACGTCGATGTGCTCAGACGCCTCAAAGCTCGTGTGGCACGAGTTCGTCCAGAATTGGCGCGAGAGGGGCGTTGGATTCTTCACCACGACAATGCCCCTGCCCACACCTCTCTTGTTGTCCGTGAGTTTTTGAGTAAAAATTCCATTACGGTGACCGAACACCCCCCCTATTCGCCGGATTTGGCCCCGTGTGACTTCTTCTTGTTCCCAAAAACCAAATTGGTACTTCGGGGGCGGCATTTGGGGGACATAAATGAGATAAAAAAAGCTACGACGGGGCAGCTGAGAAACCTACAACCAGAGGACTTTCAAGGAGCCTTCTCACAGTGGAAACGGCGTTGGCACAAGTGCATTATGTCACAGGGGGAGTACTTTGAAGGGGATAAAATTGATTTACCTGAATAATTGTAAAATAAAATTTTTAAAAAACTTTTATACGTACTTTCCGGACAAACCTCGTATATATATATATATATATAGACATGAGCAGTACCATGGACATAACAGAATACCACCCTTCAAATCGAAACACAGCCATGCAAACGCAACTGCTTCACGGTTGAAACACGAATGGGACAGAGGTACCCAAGCAATCGACTTTTCTACAAAGTCTCCCTCTGGTATGTTGTTTTACTGTTACCACTCCGTGGTATTTCGAGTCCATTACTTTTCAATGAAAGTGTCTGCGTTGCATACAATATACGCTATTGTCTCAAACTTTCACCCGCGTGCCGTGTGTTTAGGCAGTTAGCGATTATACAAGTATAGGAGATCGCAATTATCGCTAATTGGTTGCTGTGTTGTTACCCGACTACGGCGTATTAAGGAGGGTTTTTTTATAGATGATAATGGAATGGTAACCCCGCCCGCGCTATCGGTATACGCTGGCGGGGCTCCAGTGAGGGATGATAGGTGAGAATGAAAGCAGGCCAGTGACGATTTCAACAATAAATCAATCACGATGGTTTTTCTGGAGAACCGCGAGGAGGTCGATCTGATAGGGTACATTGCTAGCAATGAGGTTACCAATTCTTATTACTAACAACCCCGTCTCCCCCTACTCGAAATATTTGGAGCCGCTGTTACACGCTGTCCATTTACAATACGTCCATAAAACAGGGGTGAAAGGGATTGTTAGTAATGGAGACTGAGAATCCCATTACTAGCAATATACCCAACCAGGTCGACCTCCTCGCGGTTCCCCTGGAAACTATCATGGTTAATTCCTGATGAATTCATCATGATGGGCTAACTGGCCTGTTTTCATTCTCACCTATCACCCTTCACTGTTGCTCCGCCAGCGTATCCCGTTAGCGCTGGCGGGGTTACCACTCCATTTTCATCCAATAAAAAAAAACTCGACCGTTAAGTTCCTTAGTCGTCTCTTACAACACTTAAGGGAAAGGAAGGGATGGCCCATTTTTATACACTTTCATATTTGTATATTTCATACACTATGATCCGCATGTTTTGGTATACTCGTATACTCGTAAAATACTTGTGTTTTAGGATACTTTGTACAAAAGTCGATTGCTTGGTTACCTCTGTCCCATTCGTGTTTCAACCGTGGAGGGAGGTATCATGGGTGAAACAGTATACTGTGTTATGTTCATGGTACTGCTCATGTGTATAGGCGACGGTTACCACTTCCCATCAGGTGGGCCGTCAGCTTGTTTGCCTTTCTAAGTTGCTTAAAAAATAAAGCTTGAGTAACAAACATTGAAATATCTTTGACTAATATTAATTTATGTAGGATTACTGTGAATATTTATAATATTATTTGGATAAACAGTACCAATGTACGTATTTGTTCCAGCAACTTCAAAACGCCTCGAACTGACGATGAGGTACTCACGTCCCCGTCCTCAGACGAGAAAATGGACACCGGTTCTATGTTCTCATCTGAATCCTTCAAATCCCAAGACACTCCCAACTCGCTATCCTCAGATTTCGAGGAAGGCCAAGACCAGAACGTGCTCCGTCTGCAGAACCCATCGGAACCAGACAATGACAATCTGCGTACGGCAGTCACGAAATTTAAATCAGAACTGAATGATAGCTTGATAACAAGAATGACAAATCTTAACATCGAATCTCCAAAGGATATCCGGCCCAGGAACTTGGGTGTCAGCCCTCCAAAGTTCAGTTCAACCTTAACACTGACAACAAACCATCCCCTAATGGCTTTAGGGAGTCCCGAAGAGAACTTCCCCGATGTAATACCCAAAAAGTTGCACAAGATCGAGGACGAGAAGGACCTGAGTTTGTCCAGTATAGAAGACGAGAGACCAAATGAGACGAACGGCTTCTACAGTCCGCAACGCAACACCTCCAAGAATAATTTGTATTTCACGGAAAACTTCGTCACCGCTGATAGTCAGATGTTAGATTCAAGAGATGGTCTGACACCAGACGTCGCTAGAGTGGACAGAGAGAAGGAAGGAAGGAAACTGTTGTCAAGGTTTACTGAGGTGAAGAGAGATGTACCTCCGCATAGGGTGACGCGCGAAGGACCCGTGATTAAGTATGTAGAAAAGAGACAGAAGGAAATGCACAGCACGCCCAAAGTGTTGGCCGTGGATATTCCTGAGCCCGAAGAGTTTCACTCGGGGGTAAGTGTTTAATATTTTTTTTTTATGGGTGATAATGGAATGAAATGGGGGAAAGGTATTGTTAGCAATGGAGTTTGACAGCCTCATTGCTAGCATATAAGGTCGACCTCCACGTGGTTTCCCCTGGAAATCATCGTGAACAATTCTTGTTGAATTCGTCACGATGGGCTAACCGACCTGCTTCATCCTCACCTATCATCTTTCACCGGTGCCCCGCCGGTGTATACCGATAGCGCGGGTGGGGCTACTATTCCATTATCACCCATTAAAAAAAAATAGAATGGAATGGCATGGCCTGCGCTATCGCTATACGCTGGCGGGGCACCAGTGAAATATGATAGGTGAGGATGATATGAGAGACTTAGAATTCAGCACGATAGTTCTCAGGGAGGACTTCGGGGATGTCGTCCTGGTCAGGTATATTGCTAGCAATGGGGTTCTTAGTCTCCATTGCTAACAATCCCGTCTCTCAAACCTTGATGATTAGAATTCTTATAATTTATTTTCGCGTCAGGTGGCCGAATGGTGCGAGAGTCCATCCCACCTCCGAGCGATCCCCAACTTCGAGCTGCCCATAGAGCTGTCCAGCAATATAAGTATTAACAATGTAAGTATATTTATTTATATAAAAAAAATAAATAAAAAAAAATCTATCAAGTAAATTTAAATATTTTCGAATAGTCATTTTTTCTGGTAGAGAATGCCATGTGGCATTATGCTCGCCACTTGTACAAAGTTTTATTGTGCAATAAAGATTAAATAAATTATAATTTGCATGTGTACCCGGCGGGCAGGGCCCGGAGTCCCCCGACGTGGTGTCGTCGTCCACGGCGGAGGACCGGTCCGCGTACCAGGCGCTGCTCGACCCCTACACGGGCAGCGTGGCGCTCCGCCCCACGCCCGTCAAGGCGCCCACCACGCAGAGGCGGAAGATAAAACTGGTAAGCATTAATAACTGTCCGCGCGTGGTCCCGCCATAGAATAGGCCACCTTTTCCATTCCCGTCAGTGTCGTAAGCGGCGACTAAAGGAACATAATGGTCGAGGGAGAGGCAGTAATTTTTTTTTTATACAACTCAGATTGGCAAGCAAGCTGACGGCCCATCTGGTGGGAAGTGGTAACCGTCGCCTATAGACATGAGCAGTACCGTGGACATAACAGAGTATACTGTTTCGCCCCTTATACTCCTCATGCGTTGCCATTCCTGAGGACTCAGGTGTTATTCCTCTGTACCCTGTAAATTCACGCCATATCCCACCATTCAAACCGAAACACAGCCATGCAAATACAATTGCTTGACGGTTGAAACACGAATGGGACAGAGGTGGCCAAGCAAACGACTTTTGTACAAAGTCTCCCTCTGGTGAACACACAGTTAGTGACTCATATGAGTAATGTATGTAATTCTTACACCACATTATAGGGGACATTTTCCCATGTATTTATAAATATTGCGTTTGTTATGGTACGTCATTGTAGGCCATTGTGTTGATACGCAGTTCGTTTGCGATTCCCACAGCGTATTGCTTCATAATGTGAATGCTAATTCACACATTTTTAATCGATTACTAAAGACACGTGAATTACGTTCCTATGTCTTAAAAAGGCCGACTTATAAACTTTAATCCCTTTTATTTCTAGGCCTATTGTCGACGAACCGTCCAGTGTTAAGTCCGCCATATGTACATAGAATTACACTGTGCATTAAATTTTAAATAAATAATATTATATAAATAAATAAAGATACATATAAACAATATGTTTAGTTAAATTTCTTATATTTTTATTTAGAATTCGAAGCAATTATATGTAGCTATTAATTTTTTTTTATATATAATAATAAATTAATAGCTACATGTAACGCTTCGCACGGGTGCAATGCCGCACCGCTATGTCCCCGCATTTTAAATCTGTAATATCTTCGGAAATATTCATTTAAATTGCATGCTGTAAAGGACCATACTGATCTATATTAAGTGGACAATGTATTTAAGGTACTTAATTGGATAAAAATTAATGCTGTATTGCTTAAAATCACTTCGCAAATAAGCCATTTTTTCCCGAAAAATGTAAAGGATAAAAAATGGTTATAGTGGGTTATCCTTAAGAGATAGACATACACCATCGCGGACTTTTTTGTTGACCATTTCAAGGTGTACAATACTGTAGTATATTGTTTTGATTTATCTCGTGCGGTTCAGCCAGCGTTTGCAATGTAAGCGCAAAAAATGTGTTTATTTACGACATCACATTAGAAACCTCTAAGTTTATCAGTGTTTCTCTACAATATTACGCATGTATTATACATGTAAACCTTCCTCTTGAATCACTCTATCTATTAAAAGAAACCGCTTCAAAATCTGTTGTGTAGTTTTAAAGATTTAAGCATACATAGGGACGGACAGACAGCGACAGCGGCTTTGTTTTATACTATGTAGTGTTAAAGTATCTTAAATTTTAAAGAAGCTACCAAAATATTTATACTTTATAAAAAAAAAAAATATTAATGTAATGACTTATAATAACCCTCAGCCCCCCGAAGAAGACCGCTGCAGCCTGGACAGCGTCAGCGCATGCTCAATGGAGTCGGAGGAGGAGCCACCCGAGCCCGAGCCGTCGGCGGAGCCGCCGCCGCAGCCGCCGCCGGCGCATAGCGACGACGAAGACACCAGAAGGTATTCTGGATTTTTTTCTACATCGAACCCATACACGTCTCTTGCGGGTAACAACAATTCATATTAGAGGTAAATTTATGAGAAGAATATGGCGTGAATTTACTGGGTACAGAGGAATAACACCTGAGTCCTCAGGAATGGCAACGCATGGGGGGTATCATGGGCGAAACAGTATACTCTGTTATGTCCACGGTACTGCTCGTGTCTATAGGCGACGGTTACCATTTTCCATCAGGTGGGCCGTCAGCTTGTTTGCCATTCTAAGTTGTATGAAAAAAGTCTTGCCAGTAGTTGCCATTCTTGGTAGACAGATTAGCAGCCACTGCTGTCCTTTCCATGACTATTAATTTTTTTTATACCACTGAGGTGGCAAACAAGCATGCGGGCGACCTGATTGTAAGCGGTTACCGCAGCCTATGAACACCTGCAATACCAGAGGTATTACGCGCGCGTTGCCGACCCTGAGGAAACCTCTTTACCCCCCTTTTGAAGAACCCCATGCTGTAGTCTCTTGGGAAAACCTCGGCAGGGAGCTCATTCCATTACCTGAGTGTTCGTGATAATATTTATTTATTTATTTATTTATTCATTAGTACATATATGTGTACATGGCGGACTTAATGCTAGAAGCATTCTCTCCCAGTCAACCGTAGGGAAGTGTCAGAATACTCGAATGCGGTACTAGTAATTATTGATATACATACATACTAAAATTACATATATAAACGAATAAATATATATGAATAACAAATATACTTACACATATATGACATATACTATATTGTACACGAAATTTAGAATAATATAAAGCACTTATTGCTCGGATAGAGATAAAAAGTGAGCGTGAACGCTTTTTTTGAATGACGGTTTAGTCGGTGGTCTCTTAATGGCATCAGGAAGCGCGTTCCAAAGTCGTGAAGTATGTAGGAGAAAAGAGTTTGAAGCGTAACCAGTACGGTGAGAGGGGAAGGATAATATCATTGCAATGAGAAACTGTATTTGTTCATAAAGAGAAATCATTGATTGCCCACCTCTGTTAGAGAAACTTGAATACAATGTACCTACTAGAGTGCCGCGGCATCCTTGCGATCTATTTAGGAATGCAGCTTGCAGAACAAACTTGGGCCGCGAATCACCTATCGTCCGCATAACGCGTCTGTATAATGATATTGTAAAAACCAAGCCCGAACTTGATATTCACAACGATTGTCACTCTGTGTTCATGGCTAAATTAAAATGTTGATGTACCTCGCCGTTGCATTATATTTATTTATAATTTAAATACAATTTCCATTATTTATATTATGTTATTATTCATATTGTTAATATTTTTACTTGTATAATGACAGTTAATAATTTAATTCTATTTCAATGTTTATCAAACACAAGGCACGCTGTGGTCGCCTATAAATGTAAGAACAGTTAGATCTAATCTGCCAGTGTATTGTATTGAAATGTTTAGCTGTATCTTATGTTGGTGATCCTATAAATAAATAAAGTAACCACCTTGTCCCCGGGCAGGTCGAGGTCGACGAACACGCTGAGCGAGTGCAGCGACCCGATCCCGGAGTACTCGGCGGCCGAGGAGCTCAGCAACGAGCGCTCGTGGCTGAGCGTGCCGCGGGCCGGCCGACACCACACCTGCGACATGAAGGTAGCCAAGGGTCTTGCAACCGACTTCAAAAAATGAGCAGGCTATCAACAGCGTCGTGTTTTTTTTTTTGTTTGTTTGTTTGTTATGATCATAATCTAATGATGAAGGAGGCTGGAAGCGGGGAGGGGGAAGGGATTGTCAGTAATTAGGGTTTTTTATGGGTGAAAATGGTATGGTAACCCCGCCTGCGTTAACGGGATACGCTGGCGGAGCACCAGTGAAGGGTGATAGATGAGAATGAAAACAGACCTGATAGCCCATCATGAAGAATTCATCAGGAATTAACCATGATATTAACCACTGTTGTGGCCTGTAATAAATGAATCGATTCAAGTCGCCTCCCATCCCCTGGCCAGGTGATCGAGCCGTACAAACGCGTCATATCCCACGGCGGCTACGAGCCCCGCGGCGCCGCCGTGATCGTGTTCAGCGCCTGCCACCTGCCGGACAGCGCGCGCCCGGACTACCGCTACGTCATGGACAACCTGTTCCTGTGAGTATACTGGGCCGCCCTATCCGCCTACCGCCACGGTATGTGCGTCCTGGGACCTAAGGGGGGTAAAGGGATTGTCAGTAATGAGGATTTTTTTAGATGGGTGAAATTGGTATAGTAACCCCGCTTGTGCTAACGGGATACGCTGATGGAGCACCAGTGAAGGGTGATAGGTGAGTTGCAAATGATACTCAATTAATAATATATGCGGACGATACCAATGCCATAATCTCCGCTATGGACATAAAGGACCTAGAAATAAAAATCAATAATGTTATAGCTCTCTTAAATGAATGGTTTTCTGTTAACAATTTAAAACTAAATATAGACAAAACATGTGCCTTACTATTTAGGTCAACTTCTTAAAATAAGGATACTTTGGAAGTGTGCCTGAATGGTAATAATATTAAAGTTGTTAATGAAGTAAAATTTCTAGGTGTGAAGATAGATTCTGTACTGAATTGGAAATCTGAGTTAGACTCTATAACTAAATCAGTTAGTGCATCATGCTATGCTTTGAGATGTTTGAGGGATGTGTTAACTGTTAATCAACTCAAACCAGTCTATTACTCATTGGTTGAATCAAAATTTAGATACAGCATTAAACTGTGGGGAAACAGCTATAATTACAATGTGGAAAGGGCTTTCAGGTTGCAAAAAAGAGCAATTAGAACTATCGCTCAGATTCCGCAGTGGCAGTCTTGCAGGACTTTTTTTCACAAAATATAGTATTCTTACTGTACCCAGTTTGTATATATTGATTGTGGTTACAGACTATTTTAAGAATCGTCTGCCAAATGAAACGAGAGAAGAGAGAAATATACGCATGATTTCTAGACGAAAAAATGTTGCATATGATGTCCAACCAAAACTAAATATAGTGAAACATGGCGCAAAATTTCAAGCGGTTAAATTGTATAATAAATTACCCACTGCATTAAAAACTATTAAAGATTGGAGAATTTTTAAAATAAAACTTTATACTCTTTTGTTGGAAAGGTGCATCTACTCAATTGATGAATTTTAAAATACTCTTTCATTATTTTATGCCTTACTGATGACTTTTAAATTGATTGTAATGTTATTTTTTGACAATTATTATTGGTTATTTTGTTGTTTCATGTTTTTTTTTTTTGTTTTGTTATATTTCACGATATCTTCTTGTCACTTGCAAAAATATTCAACACAATGCAATATTGTAACGAATAAAATAAATTGAATTGAATTGAATTGAAAACAGGCTAGTTAGCTCATCATGATGAATTCATCAGGAATTAACCATGACAGTTTCCAGGGGAAACCGCGAGGAGGTCGACTTGGTTAGGTATATTACTAGCAATGGGATTCTCAGTCTCCATTACTAACAATCCCTTTCCCCCCAGTAATGAGGATTAGCATCCTCATTGTTAACAGTATACCTTGTCAGGTCGACCTCCACGCGGTCCCCTCTGGAAACCATCGTGATTGATTTATTATTAGATTCGTCACGGAGGGCTAACTGATCTGCCTTCATCTTCACCTGTCATCCGTCACTGGTGCCCCGCCAGTGTATACCAATAGCGCGGGTAGGGTTACCATTCCATTATCACCCATTAAAAAAACCTGCATCGCTGGAACTGTCAGTTTACTGCATCGAATTAAAAGACCTACTATAGTAACTTACACAAGACCTGAACAGAGCTGTTTGAACGTTTCAGCTACGTGATATGGACCCTGGAGCGGCTGGTGACGGACGAATACGTGCTGGTGTACCTGCACGGCAGTGCCGGCAGCCGCAAGATGCCCACCTTCCACTGGCTGCACGAGTGTTACAAGCTCATCGACAGGAGGTCGGCACAGTATAACACTTCTACTATACAGTATTGGAATCCCACTGTACTGTATTAGGGTCCTACTATACTGTGATGCCACTATATGGTGGATGTAATAGAGTATACTGTTTCGCCCATGATACCCCCCCATGCGTTGCCATTCCTGAAGACTCGGGTGTTATTCCTCTGTACCCAGTAAATTCACGCCATATCCCACCCTTCAAACCGAAACACAGCTATGCAAACACAGCTGCTTCACGGTAGAAACACGAATGGGACAGAGGTACCCAAGCAATCGACTTTTGTAGAACGTCTCCCTCTGGTTTATTTATTTATATATTTAAATTACTGTTTTCAGGTTAAGGAAAAGCTTGAAGCATCTGTACTTGGTGCATCCGACCTTCTGGCTGAAGTCTTTCGTCATATTGACCAAACCATTCGTGAGGTGAGGCCTTTGGATTTAATAATACTTACGCCCATTTATCATCGTACAGCTCCCCATCCATGGGGAGTTCACCACCATAGAGATGCTTTCTCCCACGAATGTTCCAGTGATGGAATGAAGTCCCTGTCGAGGTTTTTTTTATACAACTTAGAATGGCAAACAAGCTGACGGCCCACCTGATGGAAAGTGGTAACCGTCGCCTATAGACATGAGCAGTACCATGGACATAACAGAGTATACTGTTTCGCCCATGATACCCCCCATGCGTTGCCATTCCTGTGGACTCAGGTGTTATTCCTCTGTACCCTGTAAATTCACGCCATATCCCACCCTTTAAACCGAAACACAGCCATGCAAACGAATGGGACAGAGGTACCCAAGCAATCGACTTTTGTACAAAGTCTCCCTCTGGTAAAAGGTAGAACCGCATGAAGGTCGACCTATTAGGCGGTTAGATCCTCATCTCCAACAGTCTCTTATCGCCCCCATCAATTAATATTAACTCCATTTTTTTTTAATATTATTTCAGTTCAAAATTCTTCCGTAAACTGAGCTACGTACGGAACTTAGACGAGTTAATGCGACTAGTTCCGGTCGAGCCCAACGCCATACCGGACCAGGTGAAACTCTTCGACGCCGGCAGACGGTAGGAGCTGCGTCCCAGCAAGGTACACGATGCCTCGGGACGTGGTCGTGGCTCATTTTATAAGTGATATAAACGCTAATGCACATACGAGGCTGTCTCGTCCGTTTCATATTTGGTGATCTGTTAACGCAAGGTCCCAGGTTCGATTCTGAAATAATTAGATAGGTGTCCGTCTTAGGTTATATACATATTTAGATTATAGGCGACGGTTACCGCTTTCCATCAGGTGGGCCGTCAGCTTGTTTGACATTCTAAGTTGTATAAAAAAAATATAGATAGATAGATAGTGCGTCGAGCCACAAAAACGGGTCAACTTTTTGTCGGCTAATTGTCAAATTGGCTGACTCGTTTGTTGTATCAGTGTTCTATATACTTACGCACACAATGTACCTTGACGTGTTTATATTTAATTATTTAATAAATAAAATGAGTGTTTATGTATTTAAAAATGCAGGAATTATAAGACAAATATAGAAGTTATAAAGGAATCACTCTTAACTATTGTTTTTTGATGGGTGAAAATGATATGGTAACCCCGCCTGCGCTAACGGGATACGCTGGCGGAGCACCAGTGAAGGGTGATAGGTGAGGATGAAACAGGCCAGTTAGCACATCATGATGAATTCATCAGGAATTAACCATGATATTTTCCAGGGGGAACCGCGAGGAGGTGGACCTGGTTGGGTATATTGCTAGCAATGGGATTCTCAGTCTCCATTACTGACAATCCCTTTCCCCCCACTCGTAACTGTTTATCACGCAAAATTGTATGAAAAAGTTGAGCCGTTTTTCTCGAAGCAATTGTATGGAGACACTGTATATATATAATCTAAGGTGTTCACATTTCTGTATTAATTTGAGGGTAGATAAATAATGTGTTATTTGTTGGTTTATTTGTGAGTTTATTATTTAAAATTACTTTGTTTTTTCTTTTCACGATGAGGCAGTCAGTCTGATGGCTCGCTCTAAAGAAATTGTTATAGTAATGGACAATAATTTGTTTTTTTTTTATCTACAATTCGTTATAATGAAAAAATATAAACAATTTTTTTTTAAATTTCTTTTTTACGTTTATAAAGACGTGTCATTGTAATATATTTTTTTCTGAATTAAAATTTTTTAATTTTCTAAAACTGTGTGCAATCTAAGGATATATATATATATATATATATATATATATATATATATATATATATATATATATATTATAATAAAAATATAACAGGGTTACAAGAGTAAGTTGGGACGCGCTAGCGCCGGTACTGGCGCGAGTTAGAACGCTAAATTTGGTTAAATCGAAAGTGGAAAGTTGCATTTGTAAATAACGTTTATAAGGAATTTTTATTTCGTAAAAATATTTAAACCCCAAAAACATTCCAAAAGTCCCGTGGAAAACACTCCAGCCGATTTACAATGTAAGCAATCTGTAGCCATTTTTTTTTTTAATTAAATTCATTTTTTTATCTTTAATTAATCAATATGTTTATTTAAAAATGAAAGAGTGTAGTCCTAAAGAAAAATCGAGTTTTATTGTGGTAAAATCTGTTATTTTAATATCAAAATTAAGTAACTAACTAAACCGATTCTGATAAAACTTCTATGTGAATAATTTGAAAGTAAAAAAAAAGAAAAAACTTCAAAAACTTTTAATAAAATAAAAATCGATCCACTAGTTTAGTTTTGAAATGAAAATAACTGTATTTTTTTATACAACTTAGAATGGCAAACAAGCTGACGGCCCACCTGATGGAAAGTGGTAACCGTCGCCTATATACATGAGCAGTACCGTGGACATAACAGAGTGTACTGTTTCGCGCATGATTTTCGTCGTATTTGCCACAGTAATTTTTTTGGTGGCGCATACAATCTTTAATTATACATTTTGATAAAAGAAGTAAAGATGGTAAAACGATGGTTTTGCATACATACATATCTTACTGTTATTGAATGGCGAGACTCGATAACTTGATTAATAATAGTATTAAGTTTAAACAAAATTATGCACGCATTAAAATATTTTCTTCATTGCATGGACATATGAAGGTTAAACTCGCGACGGACACGTGTTGCTATGATAGCGTGTCTAACGTCGGTTCATGTCTAAACAATAGACGCATCTGTCTTGTTATAAACAATAAGCGTTTGAGGTAAGATTTTGGCGAGTAAAATAACAAATAGACATTAGGTATATGTACGTTTAAACAATATTTAATCGCGTAGAGAGAGAGAGTGTTTTGTTAAACAATGATTAGATAAACATCGTTTGACATTATTCTTGCGTTAGAACATATAGTCACGCCCCACACTGTGATATTTCACAAATAATTCTAAGCAATAAATTGGACACTAATACATGATGTAATTGTACAGTAAATATGTAAAACATATGTTACGAAACTAGCTCTGTACCCACTATTTCCTTCGCGTGGACTTGTGAAATAGGTAACCCAATAAAAAAGATTACTTTTAAATGGCGTATCGAGATGAAATATACACCTGTTTTGAAGCTAGACCTTCAGGCGTACAACAGTGAAAACCGCATCCAATTTGGTGCAGTCGTTTTTGCATGATACCATACTCCTATTTCTAAATAAATCACATACCATAGACTAATACAATGTAAACATACCATAGAGGTCGCTAGCGTTCGCAATAAATAGAGTAATATATATATATATATATATATATATATATATATATATATATATATATATATATATAAGTTTATTTTCTTACCTAACGCGACAAGATTTCAAATAAATACTCCCTACATATCTGAATTTTTGCCCATGTGAGTTTCTGCTCAGATTTTAAAACGTGGTCATGACAGGACCAGCGTTTTAAAAATAACTGAAAAGTTTAAAAAAAAAAAGAACGCTGAACAAATTTAATAATATTTAATAATAATAATAAAAAAAAAAACAACGGATCTGCATGTATTTATGAAATAATTGTATACTTACACAAAATTGACATAGTAGAAACAAATATTATAGTAGAAATGTATGGTAGAAATAAATATGTTACGGTGGAAACAGTAAATGTCACCGCGTCGTTAATTATAATTCTTAGCGCAAATGTACAAACGTAATTTTTGGTATTTTAATCTTCTCGACAGAAATATGATTTTAATAAACTAATTTAAAAAAAAATATTATGCCATAGACTATAAATGTTCTATTGAACTAGGTGTTATCTTGCGGTAAGTCCATATCACTGGTTATTTGATGACAATCATTTTGTTTAATTCCGCCACCATTAGTATGTGTGCGACTGGCAACACTAGAAGATTGACTATTATTATTAGTAGAAGTTCTACAACCTTCCATCATCGTCATCATCAGCCGTTTATTGTTCACTGCTGAACACAAGCCTCCCATTGGAGGGTGTTATCTCGCTTGGTAGACAGACTGGCAACCGCAGTTCACCCTTTCATATTAAACATTCTACCATACGACCCGCTACAAACTAAAGTTCTATCCCAACCATCTGGACGAGTGGCGGTCTTCCACCGTGCGTTTTTCAAGACACTCTCTTCCACGCACAACCACTCTGGAATCAACTTCCAGCAGCAGTATTTCCGAACCGATACGACGTTGTAACCTTCAAGAAAAGAGCATATTCCTTTTTAAAAGGCCGGCAGCACACCTGCAATGCCGCTGGTGTTGTAGGTGATCTTGGGCGGCGGTAGTCACTTACCATCAGGTGAACCACATGTTCGTTTACCCCCTGTATTATAAAAAAAATCTCCGTTCTTTCAAATGACCATACCTTTGAATATTTTTTTTTGTGATGGATGATAATGGAATGGCAACCCCGCCCGCGCTAACGGTATACGCTGGCGGGGCACTAGTGAAAGTTAGGTAAGGATGAAAGGGCAGGTGAGTCAGCCCATCTTGATGAATATACCTGGAATTCAGCATGATGGTTTCCAAGTGGGACTACGTGGAGGTCGACCTAACAAGATATATTGCTAGCAACAGGACTGGTAGTCCGCATTACTAACAATCCCTTCCCTCCTCACCTTTGAATGTTGCCAGTCGCACACATACTAATGGTAGCGGAATTAAACAAAATAATTCTAAACAAATAACCAGTGATATCGACTATAATTCCAGACGGGGTAGCCAGAGGTCAGTTGTCAACTAATAATAAATGTATAAATACTACGTACTAGTTAATTGGACGCGGCGTTACTTGTTTTATTGTTACTAATCTCAAATGAGTTTGTCTTGGTTCCACAATTAATTTAAAACGGGACCAGTCAGCCAGATTTTGAAAAATACGTAACGTGGTTAGTGGGGAATTACAATTTGATTTAAAAGTGCATGCAAAAGGTTTGACACGATCCAAATGTGATATAAGCGTCGATTCTGATGCGTCATTTTCTATCTCGAATGTTAGAAAGAAACGAATAGGATAATTCTTTAATGGCAGAATTGTTTAAACATTAATATTTCTATAAAAAATATCGTTTTTTTTTTACAGTTGGATCATGTCAGATACGTAATTGAAAATCGTAATTGTATTTAGTAGATTAGTAGAAAATAATTAGTGTTGCCATATCCAGTACATAAAGCCAGTAGCGTTTGGTTGTTTCTAGTTTTGTAATGGTAGTTTTTTTTTTTTTTTATTGTCACAGATAAGCGAGCGATGCTGTGAAATAGTATAGTTTTCAATACCTGTGCTTTAGCAGTTTTTTTTTTAATAATAGCTTACTTTAAATTATTTTGTTAAAGCTACAAAACTTTTTTTTTTCGGTATTTTTTTTTTATATATATATTAGTCTAAAGAAGTTGTTATACAATAAAATGGGCATACTACAGCTTATTTGTATATTCTCTTTGAATAGCAGTTAATTGTAGTGACAAATAAATAGTTAACTAAACATAAGACAGTATGCTGTTCGATAAATAATTTACTTGCGTTACTTACAGCACACAAATAACAATACAAACATACACACAATACAGACATGCACAGTAAAAAGAGATATTTGTTGAAATTTTCTTCAATATTGTAGAACATACTTTTGTTCTATCACCAATAGTCTCCGCAGCGCACGCGACCAAACATATTTTATAGCATTTTTTTACACCTCGAGTTACGTTACTAAAGTTTTAGTAAGGATCCCTAATCCTTTCTAGCAATAAACATAGCCTATGTTACTCAGGGTGAATGTAGCTTTCTAACGGTGAAAGAATTTTTGATATCGGCAAAGTAGTTTTTGTGTTTATTCATTACAAACATACATACACAGAAAAATACAAATCTTTCCTCTTTATAATATTAGTGTAGATATACAACGAAATCATGTATTTATATAAATTATACTATAATAATTAAGTTAATGTATGGAAATTTATATTGTGTTTAAGTAGTGTATTGTTACGTCACCCGTTAACTGTCCACCGCTGGACATAGCCCCATAAAGTGGGGTTTGCCAGTAGTTGCCACGCTTGGCAGGCGGGTTGGCAACCGCAATTAGGCTTTGGAGATGTTTTAATAGGGACGCTGCTGCCCATCCCTCGCCCTCCCTTAGTCGCCTCTAACGACGCCCACGGGAAAGGAAGGGGTGGACTATTCTATGCCGGGACCACACGGCTTATTAACGGACGCAGTATTATTTGCTTGTAATATTTTGAATCTATGAAACAGCAAAATTTAATCAACATTCTAAATGGTCGCGTACAGTGCTGTTTCAAAGAAATTTTCTCCCACAAACGCTCAAGCTGTGAAATGAGCTCCCTGCCAAGGTTTCTAGACTACAGTATGGGGCTCAAAAAGGATATATTAAGGTTCCTTCAGGGTCACAGGCGTCCATAGGCTACAGTGACTGTTGACAATCAGACGAGCTATATGCTAATTTGCCACCTTAGTGGTATAAAAAATTGATTTTTTTTTTACGTTTTCAGTCAGTAATATACTGTATATTTCTTCTAAATAATCATAAGGTACGTTTGAAGATATTTCTATTCCTCTCTGTGGTGTAAATGAAGGATTTTGAACTGTCTTAAAGATAAAAAAGCATTGGCCCAAGAATCGAACCCTGCGAAACTCCATACCAGAGCGAGAGTTATTTGTAAGTCCTGTCTCGTCTATGGTGTTTCTGTCACGTTCCCTTACCTATTCTGCTTGTATGCTTGAAGTGTAAG